TGACTCTGCTGTGTACTACTGTGCTGTGCAGCCCACAGTGACAGGAAACACCAAAACCCTTGACAAAAACTCAGGCTGACACACTGACATGCTGCTGAAAGCTTATACTAACATAGTTGACTTTGTCCTTTTACCTCCACTAGAGGGCCACATCATCTCATAGGTGATGCACTAGCTCAACACTGAGTTCAGCCATTCTGTCAATATGAAGTGCTGCTGAGAAGAAAAGTTTAGTCAGACTGACAGACTGAGCAACTTCAGCTGGTTCCTCCTGTTGATTTAATCCTTGTTGTAGAGATGGATCATTGGCTGTGGATCATTCTGGCTGCTCTTTTCTTTGGTAAGAAAACTCAACATGTTTCCTCTCAACACTCTTTCTACACAGTTACACATGAACGGATCTTTATTTGGCTTCTGCAAATTTACACTGAAACCTACTGATGGTTCTCCTACAGTCTCCTGAGTTTATTGATCATCTCTTCTTCTGCTTGTTTTCTTCTTCCTCAGAGTGTAAAGGAGAAGACTCAGTGACCCAGACAGTGGGAGAAATCTTTGCTTCTGAAGGACACACAGTTACACTCAACTGTACATTTGAGATAAGCTTTGGGACTCCCACTTTGTTCTGGTATCGACAGGATCTTCAGGATTCCCCAAAGTACATGCTGAAATCTTACTCGGGAACTGTTGAAAATGCACCAGAGTTCAACAAAGACAGATTTATAGCTGCAACAAATGGGAAACTATTTCCTCTGGAGATCCAGAACCTTCATCTGTCTGACTCTGCTGTGTACTACTGTGCTCTGAGGCCCACAGTGACAGGAAACACCAAAGCTCTCTACAAAAACCATTGAAAACACAATACTCCACAACATCCACTAGAGGGAGTCACACCCTGTTACAGTGATTGACTGTGCTGCTACATTCAAGACTTTTCTGTATTTAGAATAATGACAGCAATGAAGGAAAATCAAACAGATTTATATTTTTCTTTCATATGACTCAAAGTAAAAAGGGAATGATGTTCAGTGAGGTAGAAAAAGTAAAATGAACATATGAACAAAATATAATCATGCATATAAAGAATAAAATCCACTGACTGTTAGTTTTGTTTAATTTTTATCTAAATAAAAAGTCTCTTTTTATTTGAAGTGTCTGTGATTCTTCTCGGTGTACCACAGGGTTTGATTCTTGGTCCTCTCATTTTTCTTTTTTTTAAATTTTTGAATCAAATTATGAAGTGGTTCAGTTATTGCTAATGGTGGAAAGATTTTATCAAAATAAACTGTGATAATGAAACCACTGCTTGTTTAAATGAGTATCTGAAACTCCACCAGGGGGCGACTTTATCAACAAGGAAGTACAACACCTCTGCACACAGTTAAACCATTGTGTGAATAATAACTGCTGCTGTGAAGAGAACACTTCTCACAGTGACTGTTGAACATCTGCTAGCCTGTCCTGTTGATTTAAACCTTGTTGTAGAGATGGAACATTGTCTCTGGATTATTTTGGCGGCTCTTTTCACTGGTAAGAAAGGATGGTTATGGTTTATCATTGAAGAAATATTCAGATCAACTGGAGTTAAAAACAGAAACTTCATTACAGTTTAGGTCTTTAGGTCTAAAAAGTAAAGCATTACTTTCATATCTGACCCTGCATTTTCCTCTCAGCTACATGAACAACATCATTCTAATGACGTATTTTCTCCACCTTTTCCAGGACTAATAGATGGAGACAAAATCTCTCCTGTTAGAGATGAAGTCAGTGGAACAGAAGGACAACCTGTAACACTCAGGTGTGACTATGAGACAACATACGAAGGTGTTTACCTCCACTGGTACAGACATCAATCTGACCTCCAGGCCCCTCAGTTTATACTCTGGAAAGGAGCCAGATCACGTAGCGACAGTAAATATATTCCAAATGGACGATATGAATCTGAAACATCAAGAAGCTCAACTGAACTGACCATCAAAGAGCTAACCCTGGCAGACACAGCTCTCTACTACTGTGCTTTAGACACACAGTGATACAAAGTGTAGAAGAGGCTGTACAAAAAGCTGAACACAGATATCTGACTGCTCTTCAAAGAGGAGGGAAGTGGGATTCAAACCACAGCTTCATATCAGACGGATTCTGTTTTATCAGAGTCACTGTGGTTACAGCTGATCATCAGACACTGTGGGAGGAGCAAATACACATCCATGACAAACTGACTGGATCAACCTTTGAATACAAACAATTTTCAGTCTTTAACATTGAAAATGATTTAATTATGTTTATTTATAGAGGATTTATAAACAGAGATGTTCTCTAAAAGAAACAGGTCACCAGTGAAAGGTCGTTCAAACAGGAGTCATATACACTCTTCTCTCAGTTTAAAGTCCAGCTGCCTAATTTGGAGTCCATTTATTAATTTCTGATTTCTTCCTGAGGAAATACCATTACAGTAATCTAATAGTGAATAAATAAAAGCATGAATGGTTGATTGAGTGTCATTCAAAGTCAGCACAGATCTTCTTTGTGTGATATTTCTTAGATATTAAAAGCATGATTTATAACTGTGTTTGTATGTTTCTGAAAAGTGAGGCTGCTGTCAAAATTAACTCTGAGGTTTCTGACTGTTTGTTTTTAAATGAGAGAAAACCAAAGGAGGACTGAATTTGTGTGTGTAACTTCTCTGAGATGATAAGTACTTCAGTTTAGTCCATGTTTAATTTGAAGACATTTTCTTCCATCCAGTTTTTAATATCGATGAGACAGTTTGAGGTTTTCTCTGATGCTTAGATCTACAGGTAGATTCAGATGAGTGTCATCAGCGTAACACTAAAATGAAATGTTGTGTCTCTGCATTAAGTGACAAAGTCGCAGTATGTAAATAAAAAATAATATTGGTCCCAAAACTGACCCCTGAGGTACTCCACAGTTCACCTCAGAGTGAGGTAAAATCTTTGATTTGTTAAATATGAATGAAACCATTTCAAAGCTGTCTCTGATATACCAACCCAGTCCTGCAGCCTCTCTGTCATAATTTTGTGGTCGACTGTATCGAATGCTGCACTTCAATCCAGAAACACAAGGACAGAGCATGCACAAGTGTCTGACTGTATCTAAAGTTTAAATCCAACTATATAAATTGATAAAATTGTTAAAAAATTTTTAAAAAATGTCAGCGCTTAAAGACGAGTAGAAAGAACACTGATGCATGTGTCAATAGGTGATGTGTCTGAAAACAAGCCAATGATTGAAAAAAGTAAAGATTTGAACTCCCAATGATGGCTGACTACAAGACAGGCTCTGATTGGTTAAAGTTGTGAGTAGAGTGAATAACAGAGAGCTGTGAATGAGACCTGTCTCTGGGATCAGGCTCCTCCTTCTAATCCTCCAACTTAGTGCTGATGTAGACTAAACAGAGAGATCACAGCCTTCTTTAGACTTGCTGGAGCTCAGAGTTATCAACACTGCAGATATGATGTCTCTGTTGATCTCAGTGTTGCTGGCTGCTGTGTGCCTTGGTATGAACTCCACTCTGTTTCTTTGACATCAATCCAGCACTGACATCAACCTGTAACAGTCATCTAAAACTATTTGTTGTTGTTTTACAGAATGTATGGCACAAACAGACAACGTGCTGCAACCACAAAGAGATGTGACTGCAACTAAAGGAGAGATAGAGACACTAAACTGTCAATATACCAGCAGTTTAACAAATCCATCTCTATTCTGGTACAAACAGGATGGAAACAACAGACCCAGATTCATCCTGAGTCGCTTTCAAGGAGATGAAGGAAACACACCAGAGGAGTTTAAGGAGAGATTTTCCTCCACACTGAATTCCTCCTTCAAATCTGGATCAGTTCCTCTGAAGATCCAGAACCTTCATCTGTCTGACTCTGCTGTGTACTACTGTGCTCTGCAGCCCACAGTGACAGGAAACACCAAAACTCTCTACAAAAACCATTGAAAACACAATACTCCACAACATCCACTAGAGGGAGTCACACCCTGTTCATCTTTTCCTGGTCTGTGATGATTCAGTCTGGAGTCTTTTTGCTCCTGAGACATTTGTGATGAAGAGCTGCAGAAACTAAACTGACATCAGTCTCTTCTTCCTGATTTCAGAGGAGCTTCATGACAGAAGAAAGTTTGGTTTGACCATCAGACTGAAAATAACTCAGAAACTTTCATCACACTCATCATTCAGTCTCAGTATCTTTCCTCTGAAGCATGGACAAACTCATTGTTATTCTGTTTTTGTCTTCTATCATGGGTATGTATGAAATTATCAGTGTCATCAAATTTTCCCACTTTAAGTAAAGACAAGTGATTTAAATGTGACATGTATTTTCTCTCCTATTTTGACAGATAATATAAATGTGATTGAGAATAACCTGACCTTTAATCTGGACTGAGTCCTTTCAGAGAATAACTGAGTTTTTCTTGTTTCCTGCAGGTGTAAACTGTGAAGATCTCACTCCAGCTCAAAATGAAGAGTCCAGTTTAGAGGGCAGCTCTGTTACTCTGTCCTACACATACTCACTAGGTGATTATTTCTACTGGTATCGTCAATATCCAGGAAAACAACCAGAGTACCTCATTCATCACCTTGCTTCAGGAGAAATAATGAAAGAAGCTAAATCTGGGTTAAAGATTACAGTGGAGCAAAAACAAATCAACATGACCATCTCCTCTGCTGCAGTGACTGACTCTGCTGTGTACTACTGTGCTCTGCAGCCCACAGTGACAGGAAACACCAAAACTCTCTACAAAAACTCAGGCTGACACACTGACATGCTGCTGAAAGCTTATACTAACATAGTTGACTTTGTCCTTTTACCTCCACTAGAGGGCCACATCATCTCATAGGTGATGCACTGGCTCAACACTGAGTTCAGCCATTCTGTCAATATGAAGAGCTGCTGAGAAGAAAAGTTTAGTCAGACTGACAGACTGAGCAACTTCAGCTGGTTCCTCCTGTTGATTTAATCCTTGTTGTAGAGATGGATCATTGGCTGTGGATCATTCTGGCTGCTCTTTTCTTTGGTAAGAAAACTCAACATGTTTCCTCTCAACACTCTTTCTACACAGTTACACATGAACGGATCTTTATTTGGCTTCTGCAAATTTACACTGAAACCTACTGATGGTTCTCCTACAGTCTCCTGAGTTTATTGATCATCTCTTCTTCTGCTTGTTTCTTCTTCCTCAGGGTGTAAAGGAGAAGAGTCAGTGACCCAGACAGATGGAGACATCTTTGCTTCTGAAGGACACACAGTTACACTCAACTGTACATTTGAGAAAAGTAGTATAGCTCCAACATTGTTCTGGTATCGACAGGATCTTCAGGATTTCCCAAAGTACATGCTGAGATGTTTCTCAGGAACAACAGAATTTGCTTCTGAGTCTGACAAAGACAGATTCAATGCAACAATAAAGGGGAAATCAGTAAATCTGGAGATCCAGAACCTTCATCTGTCTGACTCTGCTGTGTACTACTGTGCTCTGAGGCCCACAGTGACAGGAAACACCAAAACTCTCTACAAAAAACCATTGAAAACAAAGACCTCCAGGATATCCACCAGAGGGAGACTCTCACTCTCAGACAACAAAGATACAGTCACAAAGGAAATCCTCTTTCTGACATTAAGCTTCTGAAACCAAAGTCACTTCAGATGTTTCTTTGGCAGACAGACAACCTCTAAAAAGGTTATTCTTTGGCCCCGCCCACTGATACTGGAGTCAGCCAATGAGATTCCCTCCATCTCCAGAGCAGATATGATGGAGTAACTGTGAGCTCAATCATCTCAGTGTTGAGGATTAGATCTGTGCAGCAAAGAGCTTCTCTGTGTTTTCATTCTCTATCAGAGGAAGGACACTGATCATCTGCTGTCTGTTTGACTTCAACTACTCCAAAGACATGTGTCTCTACCTCTTTTTAGTTGGCTCTAATTTCATAGGTAAGTGTTAGAACAGACAGCAAACTCCAACCTCACCTGCTGCTTTCAGCAGATATTTGGTCAACATTTCACAAGCAGAGCTTGATCTGAGTAAGCTAACATTTTCAGGGACTGATAGACATTTGCTGTTTGAAGAATCTCTCAATGATCCAGGATAACAGATGAAGTAAAGGACTGTTTTTCAGTCTCTAGGTGTCAGAGTCTCTTCTAACTAACATGAATTATACTCCTTTTTCAGCCCTGGCCTCCATGAACACCATAAAACCAGTCAGCCCTGAAGAAACTGTTAAAGAGGGCACAAACATCAACCTGACCTGTACTTATGATGGTGCTATCAACAATGTCCAATGGTACAGACAATACCAGAAATCCAGACCAGAGTTCCTGCTCTATATCACAGAGTACGGATTAATTCATCCAACTGACTCTAATTTCCCAGCTTACATTGATAAAGACAAAAAACGTGTAGATCTACAGATCTCCTCTGCTGCAGTGACTGACTCTGCTGTGTACTACTGTGCTGTGAGGCCCACAGTGACAGGAAACACCAAAACTCTCTACAAAAACTCAGGCTGACACTGACATGTTGCTGAAAGCTTATACTAACATAGTTGACTTTGTCCTTTTACCTCCACTAGAGGGCCACATCATCTCATAGGTGATGCACTAGCTCAACACTGAGTTCAGCCATTCTGTCAATATGAAGTGCTGCTGAGAAGAAAAGTTTAGTCAGACTGACAGACTGAGCAACTTCAGCTGGTTCCTCCTGTTGATTTAATCCTTGTTGTAGAGATGGATCATTGGCTGTGGATCATTCTGGCTGCTCTTTTCTTTGGTAAGAAAACTCAACATGTTTCCTCTCAACACTCTTTCTACACAGTTACACATGAACGGATCTTTATTTGGCTTCTGCAAATTTACACTGAAACCTACTGATGGTTCTCCTACAGTCTCCTGAGTTTATTGATCATCTCTTCTTCTGCTTGTTTTCTTCTTCCTCAGAGTGTAAAGGAGAAGACTCAGTGACCCAGACAGAGGGAGAAATCTTTGCTTTTGAAGGACACACAGTTACACTCAACTGTACATTTGAGACAAGTTATGGGACTTCCACTTTGTTCTGGTATCGACAGGATCTTCAGGATTTCCCAAAGTACATGCTGAGATGTTTCTCAGGAACAACAGAATTTGCTTCTGAGTCTGACAAAGACAGATTCAATGCGACAATAAAGGAGAAATCAGTAAATTTGGAGATCCAGAACCTTCATCTGTCTGACTCTGCTGTGTACTACTGTGCTCTGAGGCCCACAGTGACAGGAAACACCAAAACTCTCTACAAAAACCATTGAAAACAAAGACCTCCAGGATATCCACCAGAGGGAGACTCTCACTCTCAGACAACAAAGATACAGTCACAAAGGAAATCCTCTTTCTTACATTAAACTTCTGAAACCAAAATCACTCCAGATGTTTCTTTGGCAGACAGACAACCTCTACAAAGGTTATTCTTTGGCCCCGCCCACTGATACTAGAGTCAGCCAATGAGATTCCCTCCATCTCCAGAGCACATATGATGGAGTAACTGTGAGCTCAATCATCTCAGTGTTGAGGATTAGATCTGTGCAGCAAAGAGCTTCTCTGTGTTTTCATTCTCTATCAGAGGAAGGACACTGATCATCTGCTGTCTGTTTGACTTCAACTACTCCAAAGACATGTGTCTCTACCTCTTTTTACTTGGCTCTAATTTCATAGGTAAGTGTTAGAACAGACAGCAAACTCCAACCTCACCTGCTGCTTTCAGCAGATATTTGGTCAACATTTCACAAGCAGAGCTTGATCTGAGTAAGCTAACATTTTCAGGGACTGATAGACATTTGCTGTTTGAAGAATCTCTCAATGATCCAGGATAACAGATGAAGTAAAGGACTGTTTTTCAGTCTCTTGGTGTCAGAGTCTCTTCTAACTAACATGAATTATACTCCTTTTTCAGCCCTGGCCTCCATGAACACCATAAAACCAGTCAGCCCTGAAGAAACTGTTAAAGAGGGCACAAACATCAACCTGACCTGTACTTATGATGGTGCTATCAACAATATCCAATGGTACCGACAATACCAGAGATCCAGACCAGAGTTCCTGCTCTACATCACAGAGTACGGATCAATTCATCCAACTGACTCTGATTTCTCAGCTTACATTGATAAAAGACAAAAAAAGTGTAGATCTACAGATCTCCTCTGCTGCAGTGACTGACTCTGCTGTGTACTACTGTGCTCTGAGGCCCACAGTGACAGGAAACACCAAAACTCTCTACAAAAACCATTGAAAACACAATACTCCACAACATCCACTAGAGGGAGTCACACCCTGTTCATCTTTTCCTGGTCTGTGATGATTCAGTCTAGTCTTCTCTCTCAGGAGACATTGGTGATGAAGAGCTGCAGTCATGAATTGTTTTAACATCTAAGTCTCCTCCTCCTGACTGCAGAGGAGCTTCATGACAGAGATCTGTGTGAGTTAAGCTGAGATCATCAGACCACTCACAGCTCATCAAACTTCCTCAGCCTGATCCTTCACTTACAGCATTTCAACTCTACAAACATGGAAAAACTTTCTGTTCTTTTACTGTTTTCAGCTGTTTTAGGTTTGTATGATTCAAAGATTTTAATGATGAATAATTTATGTAACCATGAAAACAACTTTGAATATGAATTTAAATGTTTAACATAAAAATGTATTCAATATGATACTTTAAATATAATCAACAACTACACAAAATAATTTATGGGAAACTTTTTGCCTTCAGGTGTCAGCTGTGAAGATCTCACTCCACTGGAGAAAGAAAAGTTCAGTTTAGAGAGCAGCTCAGTTACTCTGTCCTACAATTACTCCAGAGAAGCATCTGCAAGTGATTATTTCTTCTGGTATCGACAATATCCAGGAACACCACCACAGTTTCTCATCTCTCACTCATTAACAGGAACATATTCAGCTCCAGTGTCTGGACTGTCTGCTTCCATGAGTGAGGATAAAACTCATATGAATCTGAGGATCTCCTCTGCTGCAGTGACTGACTCTGCTGTGTACTACTGTGCTCTGAGGCCCACAGTGACAGGAAACACCAAAACTCTCGACAGAAACTCAGGCTGACACACTGACATGCTGCTGAAAGCTTATACTAACATAGTTGACTTTGTCCTTTTACCTCCACTAGAGGGCCACATCATCTCATAGGTGATGCACTAGCTCAACACTGAGTTCAGCCATTCTGTCAATATGAAGTGCTGCTGAGAAGAAAAGTTTAGTCAGACTGACAGACTGAGCAACTTCAGCTGGTTCCTCCTGTTGATTTAATCCTTGTTGTAGAGATGGATCATTGGCTGTGGATCATTCTGGCTGCTCTTTTCTTTGGTAAGAAAACTCAACATGTTTCCTCTCAACACTCTTTCTACACAGTTACACATGAACGGATCTTTATTCGGCTTCTGCAAATTTACACTGAAACCTACTGATGGTTCTCCTACAGTCTCCTGAGTTTATTGATCATCTCTTCTTCTGCTTGTTTTCTTCTTCCTCAGAGTGTAAGGAGAAGACTCAGTGACCCAGACAGAGGGAGCGATCTTTGCTTTTGAAGGACACACAGTTACACTCAACTGTACATTTGAGATAAGTGGTACAGCTCTAACATTGTTCTGGTACCGACAGGATCTTCAGGATTCCCCAAAGTACATGCTGAAATCTTACTCCGGAACTGTTGAAAATGCACCAGAGTTCAACAAAGACAGATTTATAGCTGCAACAAATGGGAAACTATTTCCTCTGGAGATCCAGAACCTTCATCTGTCTGACTCTGCTGTGTACTACTGTGCTCTGAGGCCCACAGGAAACACCAAAACTCTCTACAAAAACCATTGAAAACACAATACTCCACAACATCCACTAGAGGGAGTCACACCCTGTTACAGTGATTGACTGTGCTGCTACATTCAAGACTTTTCTGTATTTAGAATAATGACAACAATGAAGGAAAATCAAACAGATTTATATTTTTCTTTCATATGACTCAAAGTAAAAAGGGAATGATGTTCAGTGAGGTAGAAAAGTAAAATGAACATATGTACAAAATATAATCATGCATATCAAGAAGAAAATCCACTGACTGTTAGTTTTGTTTAATTTTTATCTTAATAAAAAGTCTCTTATAATTTGAAGTGTCTGTGATTCTTCTTGGTGTACCTCAGGGTTTAATTCTTGGTCCTTTAATTTTTCTTTTTTTTTTATGTTTGAATCAAATTATGAAGTGGTTCAGTTATTGCTAATGGTGGAAAGATTTTTTCAAAATAAACTGTGATAATGAAACCACTGACTGTTTAAATGAGTATTTGAAGCTCCACCAGGGGGCGACTTTATCAACAAGGAAGTACAACACCTCTGCAGAGAGTTAAACCATTGTGTGAATAATAACTGCTGCTGTGAAGAGAACACTTCTCACAGTGACTGTTGAACATCTGCTAGCCTGTCCTGTTGATTTAAACCTTGTTGTAGAGATGGAACATTGTCTCTGGATTATTTTGGCGGCTCTTTTCACTGGTAAGAAAGGATGGTTATGGTTTATCATTGAAGAAATATTGAGATCAACTGGAGTTAAAAACAGAAACTTCATTACAGTTTAGGTCTTTAGGTCTAAACAGTAAAGCATTACTTTCATATTTGACCCTGCATTTTCCTCTCTGCTACATGAACAACATCATTCTAATGACGTATTTTCTCCACCTTTTCCAGGACTAATAGATGGAAACAAAATCTCTCCTGTTAGAGATGAAGTCAGTGGAACAGAAGGACAACCTGTAACACTCAGGTGTGACTATGAGACAACAAGTGAATATGTTCACCTCCACTGGTACAGACATCAATCTGACCTCCAGGCCCCTCAGTTTATACTCTGGAAAGGAGCCAGATCACGGAGTGACAGGAAATATATTCCAAATGGACGATATGAATCTGAAACATCAAGAAGCTCAACTGAACTGACCATCAAAGAGCTAACCCTGGCAGACACCGCTCTCTACTACTGTGCTTTAGACACACAGTGATACAAAGTGTAGAAGAGGCTGTACAAAAAGCTGAACACAGATATCTGACTGCTCTTCAAAGAGGAGGGAAGTGGGATTCAAACCACAGCTTCATATCAGACGGATTCTGTTTTATCAGAGTCACTGTGGTTACAGCTGATCATCAGACACTGTGGGAGGAGCAAATACACATCCATGACAAACTGACTGGATCAACCTTTGAATACAAACAATTTTCAATCTTTAACATTGAAAACAATTTAATTATGTTTATTTATAGAGGATTTATAAACAGAGATGTTCTCTAAAAGAAACAGGTCACCAGTGAAAGGTCGTTCAAACAGGAGTCATATACTCTCTACTTTTAGTTTAAAGTCCAGCTGCCTAACTTGGAGTCCATTTATTAATTTCTGATTTCTTCCTGAGGAAATACCATTACAGTAATCTAATAGTGAATTAATAAAAGCATGAATGGTTGATTGAGTGTCATTTAAAGTCAGCACAGATCTTCTTCTGGTGATATTTCTCTGATATTAAAAGCATGATTTATAACTGTGTTTCTATGTTTCTGAAAAGTGAGGCTGCTGTCAAAATTAACTCTGAGGTTTCTGACTGTTTGTTTTTAATTGAGAGAAAACCAAAGGAGGACTGAATTTGTGTGTGTAACTTCTCTGAGATGATAAGAACTTCAGTTTAGTCCGTGTTTAATTTGAAGAAATTTTCTTCCATCCAGTTTTTTTAATATCGATGAGACAGTTTGTGAGGTTTTCTCTGATGCTTAGATCTACAGGTAGATTCAGCTGAGTGTCATCAGCGTAACATTAGAATGAAATGTTGTGTCTCTGCATTAAGTGACAAAGTCGCAGTATGTAAATAGAAAATAATATTGGTCCTAAAATTGACCCCTGAGGTACTCCACAGTTCACCTCAGAGTGAGGTAAAATCTTTGATTTGTTAAATATGAATGAAACCATTTCAAAGCTGTCTCTGATATACCAACCCAGTCCTGCAGCCTCTATGTCATAATTTTGTGGTGGACTGTATCGAATGCTGCACTTCAATACAGAAACACAAGGACAGAGCACGCACAAGTGTCTGCTTTGTGGTCTTACTGAGGTCTGTATGGACTCCTTAGCTCAAACAATAACAACAATTCAGTCAGGTTATACTAGCAGCAACCTCTCCTGTCAGACTTCCAAGACCGAGCGGATTGAGAACTAGCAAGCAAATCATCCCTGAGCCATATGTCCAAAACATGTCAAACAAACACATGAAACATTTGGGATCTCATGTATTTAAAGTGAAAATCCAACTAAATAAATTGATAAAATTGTAAAAAATAAAATGTCATCACTTAAAGACGAGTAGAAAGAACACTGATGCATGTGTGTCAATAGGTGATGTGTCTGAAAACAAACCAATGATTGAAAAAAGTAAAGATTTTAACTCCCAATGATGGCTGACTACAAGACAGGCTCTGATTGGTTAAAGTTGTGAGTAAAGTGAATAACAGAGAGCTGTTAATGAGACCTGTCTCTGGGATCAGGCTCCTCCTTCTAATCCTCCAACTTAGTGCTGATGTAGACTAAACAGAGAGATCACAGCCTTCTTTAGACTTGCTGGAGCTCAGAGTTATCAACACTGCAGATATGATGTCTCTGTTGATCTCAGTGTTGCTGGCTGCTGTGTGCCTTGGTATGAACTCCACTCTGTTTCTTTGACATCAATCCAGCACTGACATCAACCTGTAACAGTCATCTAAAACTATTTGTTGTTGTTTTACAGAATGTATGGCACAAACAGACAACGTGCTGCAACCACAAAGAGATGTGACTGCAACTGAAGGAGAGGCAGCGACACTCAACTGTCAATATACCAGCAGTTACACAAGTAATTACCTCTTCTGGTACAAACAGGATGGAAACAACAGACCCAGATTCATCCTGAGTCGCTTTCAAGGAGATGAAGGAAACACACCAGAGGAGTTTAAGGAGAGATTTTCCTCCACACTGAATTCCTCCTCCAACTCAGGATCAGTTCCTCTGAAGATCCAGAACCTTCATCTGTCTGACTCTGCTGTGTACTACTGTGCTCTGCAGCCCACAGTGACAGGAAACAACAAAACTCTCTACAAAAACCATTGAAAACACAATACTCCACAACATCCACTAGAGGGAGTCACACCCTGTTCATCTTTTCCTGGTCTGTGATGATTCAGTCTAGTCTTCTCTCTCAGGAGACATTGGTGATGAAGAGCTGCAGTCATGAATTGTTTTAACATCTAAGTCTCCTCCTCCTGACTGCAGAGGAGCTTCATGACAGAGATGTGTGAGTTAAGCTGAGATCATCAGACCAATCACAGCTCACCAAACTTCCTCAGCCTGATCCTTCACTTACAGCATTTCAACTCTACAAACATGGAAAAACTTTCTGTTCTTTTACTGTTTTCAGCTGTTTTAGGTTTGTATGATTCAAAGATTTTAATGATGAATAATTTATGTAACCATGAAAACAACTTAAATTCTAATGTTTAATATGTGAAAACTCATTTAATATAAGATAGTCAATATAATCTACATCTGATCAAAATAATTTATGGAAACTTTTTGTCTTCAGGTGTCAGCTGTGAAGATCTCACTCCACTGGAGAAAGAAAAGTTCAGTTTAGAGAGCAACTCAGTTACTCTGTCCTACAATTACTCCAGATCTGCTGCTTCTTATGATTATTTCTTCTGGTATCGACAAAATCCAGGAACACCACCACAGTTTCTCATCTCTCACTCATCAACAGGAACACATTCAGCTCCAGTGTCTGGACTGTCTGCTTCCATGAGTGAGGATAAAACTCATATGAATCTGAGGATCTCCTCTGCTGCAGTGACTGACTCTGCTGTGTACTACTGTGCTCTGCAGCCCACAGTGACAGGAAACACCAAAACTCTCGACAAAAACTCAGGCTGACACACTGACATGCTGCTGAAAGCTTATACTAACATAGTTGACTTTGTCCTTTTACCTCCACTAGAGGGCCACATCATCTCATAGGTGATGCACTAGCTCAACACTGAGTTCAGCCATTCTGTCAATATGAAGAGCTGCTGAGAAGAAAAGTTTAGTCAGCCTGACAGACTGAGCAACTTCAGCTGGTTCCTCCTGTTGATTTAATCCTTGTTGTAGAGATGGATCATTGGCTGTGGATCATTCTGGCTGCTCTTTTCTTTGGTAAGAAAACTCAACATGTTTCCTCTCAACACTCTTTCTACACAGTTACACATGAAATGATCTTTATTTGGCTTCTGCAAATTTACACTGAAACCTACTGATGGTTCTCCTACAGTCTCCTGAGTTTATTGATCATCTCTTCTTCTGCTTGTTTTCTTCTTCCTCAGAGTGTGAAGGAGAAGACTCAGTGACCCAGACAGAGGGAGGAATCTTTGCTTTTGAAGGACACACAGTTACACTCAACTGTACATTTGATACAAGTAGTACAACTCCAACATTGTTCTGGTATCGACAGGATCTTCAGGATTTCCCAAAGTACATGCTGAAATCTTACTTAGGAACTGTTGAAAATGCACCAGAGTTCAACAAAGACAGATTTAGAGCTGCAACAAATGGGAAACTATTTCCTCTGGAGATCCAGAACCTTCATCTGTCTGACTCTGCTGTGTACTACTGTGCTCTGAGGCCCACAGTGACAGGAAACACCAAAACTCTCTACAAAAACCATTGAAAACACAATACTCCACAACATCCACTAGAGGGAGTCACACCCTGTTACAGCGATTGACTGTGCTGCTACATTCAAGACTTTTCTGTATTTAGAATAATGACAACAATGAAGGAAAATCAAACAGATTTATATTTTTCTTTCATATGACTCAAAGTAAAAAGGGAATGATGTTCAGTGAGGTAGAAAAAGTAAAATGAAGATATCAACAAAATGTAATCATGCATATAAAGAATAAAATCCACTGACTGTTAGTTTTGTTTAATTTTTATCTTAATAAGAAGTCTCTTTTTATTTGAAGTGTCTGTGATTCTTCTCGGTGTACCTCAGGGTTTAATTCTAGGTCCTCTAATTTTTTATTTTCCTTTTTTTTAAATGTTTGAATCAAATTATGAAGTGGTTCAGTTATTGCTAATGGTGGAAAGATTTTATCAAAATAACCTGTGATATTTAAACCACTGACTCTTTAAATAAACATTTGAAGCTCCACCAGGGGGCGACTTTATCAACAAGGAAGTACAACACCTCTGCAGAGAGTTAAACCATTGTGTGAATAATAACTGCTGCTGTGAAGAGAACACTTCTCACAGTGACTGTTGAACATCTGCTAGCCTGTCCTGTTGATTTAAACCTTGTTGTAGAGATGGAACATTGTCTCTGGATTATTTTGGCGGCTCTTTTCACTGGTAAGAAAGGATGGTTATGGTTTATCATTAAAGAAATATTAAGATCAACTGGAGTTAAAAACTGAAACTTCATTACAATTTAGGTCTTTAGGTCTAAAAAGTAAAGCATTACTTTCATATTTGACCCTGCATTTTCCTCTCAGCTACATGAACAACATCATTCTAATGACGTATTTTCTCCACCTTTTCCAGGACTAATAGATGGAGACAAAATCTCTCCTGTTAGAGATGAAGTCAGTGGAACAGAAGGACAACCTTTAACACTCAGGTGTAACTATGAGACAACAGAAGAAATTGTTGCCCTCCACTGGTACAGACATCAATCTGACCTCCAGGCCCCTCAGTTTATACTCTGGAAAGGAGCCAGATCTTATAGCAATTATGAATATATTCCAAATGGACGATATGAATCTCAAACATCAAGAAGCTCAACTGAACTGACCATCAAAGAGCTAACCCTGGCAGACACAGCTCTCTACTACTGTGCTTTAGACACACAGTGATACAAAGTGTAGAAGAGGCTGTACAAAAAGCTGAACACAGATATCTGACTGCTCTTCAAAGAGGAGGGAAGTGGGATTCAAACCACAGCTTCATATCAGACGGATTCTGTTTTATCAGAGTCACTGTGGTTACAGCTGATCATCAGACACTGTGGGAGGAGCAAATACACATCCATGACAAACTGACTGGATCAACCTTTCAAAATACAGAACATTGATACAGTACATAAAGTTAAATAAACTAGAAATAATAATCTTTATTTATATAGCACTTTTCAAAACAGGGTTATGAAGTGTTTTAAAGCTTAAAAAGCTTGTAAAGAATAAAACACTCAGATAATATCTTCAGTAAAAGCACATCCTTAAAAATGTGTTTTTTTAAAAGACACTTAAAAGATGTTAAACAGGCTTTCATTCTGATCTCCTCAGGGGGGTTGTTCTAGGGGGTGGGGAATCTAACAGAAAAGGCCTGGTCACCATAGCTGAAGGAAATTCTCAGACAACCAGTATTTATGTCTCTGATACAGTTTTTTAAATTGGTTAAAATCATTGGGCTTAAAAGACAGGTACAGCTGGGTATCATCCACATATGAGTGAAAACTTCCATTGTGTTTGTGGATGATATGACCCAGGGGTAAAGTGTAGAAAGAGAAGAACAGTGATCCAAGGACCGACCCTTAGGGAACCCCACAGGTCAGCCTCACACTGGATGATTGTGAGCTGCCTATAGCCTGTCCAGTAAAAAAGAGTGAAACCAGTTTCAAACTGAACCTGACATGCCAACCCAGTGTTGCATGTTTTCCAGTTAAATAACACGATCAACAGTAACAAAGAAAACACTCTAGTCTAAAATTGTCTCCAGATTTCAGTGCTTTGCATTTTATTTAGGACAGAATTTAAAGTAATTTTAAAAAGCCTACAAGACATTGCTACTTGAAAATATTTGATACTTTCAATTTTGAAATCTGCAACTGACTTACAAATTCATAAAAGATCAAATAAATGTACTTCAGGAATAACCCAGAACCAAATGATAAAGGAACAAGAGACAGGCTCTGATTGGTTAAAGTTGTGAGTAGAGTGAATAACAGAGAGCTGTGAATGAGACCTGTCTCTGGGATCAGGCTCCTCCTTCTAATCCTCCAACTTAGTGCTGATGTAGACTAAACAGAGAGATCACAGCCTTCTTTAGACTTGCTGGAGCTCAGAGTTATCAACACTGCAGATATGATGTCTCTGTTGATCTCAGTGTTGCTGGCTGCTGTGTGCCTTGGTATGAACTCCACTCTGTTTCTTTGACATCAATCCAGCACTGACATCAACCTGTAACAGTCATCTAAAACTATTTGTTGTTGTTTTACAGAATGTATGGCACAAACAGACAACGTGCTGCAACCACAAAGAGATGAGACTGCAACTGAAGGAGAGGCAGCGACACTCAACTGTCAATATAACAGCAGTTCATCAAATCCATCTCTATTCTGGTACAAACAGGATGGACACAACAGACCCAGATTCATCCTGAGTCGCTTTCAAGGAGATGAAGGAAACACACCAGAGGAATTTAAGGAGAGATTTTCCTCCACACTGAATTCCTCCTCCAAATCAGGATCAGTTCCTCTGAAGATCCAGAACCTTCATCTGTCTGACTCTGCTGTGTACTACTGTGCTCTGCAGCCCACAGTGACAGGAAACACCAAAACTCTCTACAAAAACCATTGAAAACACAATACTCCACAACATCCACTAGAGGGAGTCACACCCTGTTCATCTTTTCCTGGTCTGTGATGATTCAGTCTAGTCTTCTCTCTCAGGAGACATTGGTGATGAAGAGCTGCAGTCATGAATTGTTTTAACATCTAAGTCTCCTCCTCCTGACTGCAGAGGAGCTTCATGACAGAGATCTGTGTGAGTTAAGCTGAGATCATCAGACCAATCACAGCTCACCAAACTTCCTCAGCCTGATCCTTCACTTACAGCATTTCAACTCTACAAACATGGAAAAACTTTCTGTTCTTTTACTGTTTTCAGCTGTTTTAGGTTTGTATGATTCAAAGAATTTAATGATGAATAATTTATGTAACCATGAAAACAACTTTGAATATGAATTTTAATGTTGATCATGTGAAAACGTATTTTATATGACATTTTCAATATAATCTACATCTGATCAAAATAATTTATGGGAAACTTTTTCTCTTCAGGTGTCAGCTGTGAAGATCTCACTCCACTGGAGAAAGAAAAGTTCAGTTTAGAGAGCAGCTCAGTTACTCTGTCCTACAATTACTCCAGAGCTGCTGCTCTTGATGATTATTTCTTCTGGTATCGACAATATCCAGGAACACCACCACAGTTTCTCATCTCTCACTCCTCAACAGGAACACTTTTAGCTCCAGTGTCTGGACTGTCTGCTTCCATGAGTGAGGATAAAACTCATATGAATCTGAGGATCTCCTCTGCTGCAGTGACTGACTCTGCTGTGTACTACTGTGCTGTGAAGCCCACAGTGACAGGAAACACCAAAACTCTCGACAAAAACTCAGGCTGACACACTGACATGCTGCTGAAAGCTTATACTAACATAGTTGACTTTGTCCTTTTACCTCCACTAGAGGGCCACATCATCTCATAGGTGATGCACTAGCTCAACACTGAGTTCAGCCATTCTGTCAATATGAAGTGCTGCTGAGAAGAAAAGTTTAGTCAGACTGACAGACTGAGCAACTTCAGCTGGTTCCTCCTGTTGATTTAATCCTTGTTGTAGAGATGGATCATTGGCTGTGGATCATTGTGGCTGCTCTTTTCTTTGGTAAGAAAACTCAACATGTTTCCTCTCAACACTCTTTCTACACAGTTACACATGAACGGATCTTTATTTGGCTTCTGCAAATTTACACTGAAACCTACTGATGGTTCTCTTACAGTCTCCTGAGTTTATTGATCATCTCTTCTTCTGCTTGTTTTCTTCTTCCTCAGAGTGTAAAGGAGAAGACTCAGTGACCCAGACAGAGGGAGGAATCTTTGCTTTTGAAGGACACACAGTTACACTCAACTGTACATTTGAGACAAGTAGTACAACTCAAACTTTGTTCTGGTATCGACAGGATCTTCAGGATTTCCCAAAGTACATGCTGAAATCTTACTTAGGAACTGTTGAAAATGCACCAGAGTTCAACAAAGACAGATTTATAGCTGCAACAAATGGGAAACTATTTCCTCTGGAGATCCAGAACCTTCATCTGTCTGACTCTGCTGTGTACTACTGTGCTCTGCAGCCCACAGTGACAGGAAACACCAAAGCTCTCTACAAAAACCATTGAAAACAAAGACCTCCAGGATATCCACCAGAGGGAGACTCTCACTCTCAGACAACAAAGATACAGTCACAAAGGAAATCCTCTTTCTGACATTAAGCTTCTGAAACCAAAATCACTTCAGATGTTTCTTTGGCAGACAGACAACCTCTAAAAAGGTTATTCTTTGCCCCACCCACTGATACCAGAGTCAGCCAATGAGATTCCCTCCATCTCCAGAGCAGATATGATGGAGTAACTGTGAGCTCAATCATCTCAGTGTTGAGGATTAGATCTGTGCAGCAAAGAGCTTCTCTGTGTTTTCATTCTCTATCAGAGGAAGGACACTGATCATCTGCTGTCTGTTTGACTTCAACTACTCCAAAGACATGTGTCTCTACCTCTTTTTACTTGGCTCTAATTTCATAGGTAAGTGTTAGAACAGACAGCAAACTCCAACCTCACCTGCTGCTTTCAGCAGATATTTGGTCAACATTTCACAAGCAGAGCTTGATCTGAGTAAGCTAACATTTTCAGGGACTGATAGACATTTGCTGTTTGAAGAATCTCTCAATGATCCAGGATAACAGATGAAGTAAAGGACTGTTTTTCAGTCTCTTGGTGTCAGAGTCTCTTCTAACTAACATGAATTATACTCCTTTTTCAGCCCTGGCCTCCATGAACACCATAAAACCAGTCAGCCCTGGAGAAACTGTTAAAGAGGGCACAAACATCAACCTGACCTGTACTTATGATGGTGCTATCTACAATATCCAATGGTACCGACAATACCAGAGATCCAGACCAGAGTTCCTGCTCTACATCACAGAGAACGGATTAATTCATCCAACTGACTCTAATTTCCCAGTTTACATTGACAAAGACAAAAAACGTGTAGATCTACAGATCTCCTCTGCTGCAGTGTCTGACTCTGCTGTGTACTACTGTGCTCTGAGGCCCACAGTGACAGGAAACACCAAAACTCTCGACAAAAACCATTGAAAACACAATACTCCACAACATCCACTAGAGGGAGTCACACCCTGTTAAACTTAATGTGTATGTGTTGACTTATTTGAGTTTCACGTATTCAGAAACATAAAACTGATTTATAAAATATTACACAGGTTTAGTGTTGTTTTAGATGACACAGTATAAAGATAATCAGATGTAGAGTGATCATGAGGAAGGAAATGTTCATATAACAATATTCCATCATGCATATAAAGCACATGGTCCAACAAACCCTCTGGTGGTCTTCACATGTTAAGTGTTACACTAACATTGTAAAGATATGCTCTCCACTTAACATTTTCTACATTTACAAAACCGGTCGACTGAGAGAATTTTTAAACATCCAAACGTCACAATTAATAAAAAAATCAAAGTCTCAAAAGCATGTCTGAAAAAGGGGCTGTTTATATTTTCTCCACAGGAACATTCAGGTATTGTTGGACCATATAGTTTAAAGACAGGAACCCTTAAACACTTGAATTCATAGACTTGACCATTGATTGTTTTTAGTTCTAATTTTGAATATTTGTTATAAAAGTTTTCTTTTGTCATAAATGGCTGATTAATTTAAATTTAAAATATTTGAACCAAATCTTCAGTGTAGTATTCATCTTAAATATTACAGTTCTTTTTAATTGAGTTAACTCAGTTTTTTGTAAACTACTCAACTACATTTGATCTCCTGATGTTAAAGACCTTCAGACATTTTACAGACAAGCTGCTGAATGATTGTTTTCCTCACGGATTAAATAAACATTTGAAGCTCCACCAGGGGGCGACTTTATCAACAGGAAGTACAACACCTCTGCAGAGAGTTAAACCATTGTGTGAATAATAACTGCTGCTGTGAAGAGAACACTTCTCACAGTGACTGTTGAACATCTGCTAGCCTGTCCTGTTGATTTAAACCTTGTTGTAGAGATGGAACATTGTCTCTGGATTATTTTGGCGGCTCTTTTCACTGGTAAGAAAGGATGGTTATGGTTTATCATTGAAGAAATATTGAGATCAACTGGAGTTAAAAATAGAAACTTCATTACAGTTTAGGTCTTTAGGTCTAAAAAGTAAAGCATTACTTTCATATTTGACCCTGCATTTTCCTCTCAGCTACATGAACAACATCATTCTAATGACGTATTTTCTCCACCTTTTCCAGGACTAATAGATGGAGACAAAATCTCTCCTGTTAGAGATGAAGTCAGTGGAACAGAAGGACAACCTGTAAGACTCAGGTGTGACTATGAGACAACAGATGAAATTGTTGCCCTCCACTGGTACAGACATCAATCTGACCTCCAGGCCCCTCAGTTTATACTCTGGAAAGGAGCCAGATCTTATAGCAACAGTAAATATATTCCAAATGGACGATATGAATCTGAAACATCAAGAAGCTCAACTGAACTGACCATCAAAGAGCTAACCCTGGCAGACACAGCTCTCTACTACTGTGCTTTAGACACACAGTGATACAAAGTGTAGAAGAGGCTGTACAAAAAGCTGAACACAGATATCTGACTGCTCTTCAAAGAGGAGGGAAGTGGGATTCAAACCACAGCTTCATATCAGACGGATTCTGTTTTATCAGAGTCACTGTGGTTACAGCTGATCATCAGACACTGTGGGAGGAGCAAATACACATCCATGACAAACTGACTGGATCAACCTTTCAAAATATACAACATTGATACAGTACATAAAGTTAAATAAACTAGAAATAATAATCTTTATTTATATAGCACTTTTCAAAACAGGGTTATGAAGTGTTTTAAAGCTTAAAAAGCTTGTAAAGAATAAAACACACTCAGATAACATCTTCTGTAAAAGCACATCTATAAAAATGTGTTTTTTAAAAGAGACTTAAAAGATGTTAAACAGGCTTTCATTCTGATCTCCTCAGGGGGGTTGTTCTAGGGGGTGGGGGCTCTGACAGAAAAGGCCCGGTCACCTTTAGACCTCAGCCCAGACCGAGGGATAGTGAGCAGAGCCAGGGACATGACATTATGACTGGGCACATGTGGAGTGAGGAGATCAGAAGTGTACTTTGGTGCAAGACCAGAGTGTGCTTTAAAAGTCAACGATAAAATCTTAAAATCAGTTCTAAAACTTCCTGGGAGCCGATGAGCTGTAACTTGTACAAACTCTGTTGGTTCAGACATTTGAACAAAGAATTGCAGTCGTCCAAACAAGAAGAGATAAAAGCATGAATGATGATTTACAGATTATTTCTGTATAAAAACTATCTAACTCTGGGGAGTTATCGAAGATGAGGAAAACAAGAATTCACAACTAGGTTGACCTGCTGGTTCAGACTGAGGTTTTCATCAAAAATCACACCTGGATTTTTGCATTTTGAGACAGAAAGCCAGGATATGTCATCATTCCTGTTGAGCTTAGACCAATAATCATTTCCTCAATTTGATCCAAATTTAGCTGCAAGAAATTCTCAGACAACCAGTATTTATGTGTCTGATACAGTTTTTTAAAGTGGTTAAAATCATTGGGCTTAAAAGACAGGTACAGCTGGGTATCATCCACATATGAGTGAAAACTTCCATTGTGTTTGTAGATGATATGACCCAGGGGTAAAATGTAGAAGGAGAAGAACAGTGATCCAAGGACCGACCCTTGGGGAACCCCACAGGTCAGCCTCACACTGGATGATTGTGAGCTGCCTATAGCCTGTCCGGTAAAAAAGAGTGAAACCAGTTTCAAACTGAACCTGACATGCCAACCCAGTGTTGCATGTTTTCCAGTTAAAGAACACGATCAACAGTAACAAAGAAAACACTCTAGTCTAAAATTGTCTCCAGATTTCAAGGTGCTTTGCATTTTATTTAGGACAGAATTTAAAGTAATTTTAAAAAGCCTACAAGACATTGCTACTTGAAAATATTTGATACTTTAAATTTTGAAATCTGCAACTGACCTACAAATTCATAAAAGATCAAATAAATGTACTTCATGAATAACCCAGAACCAAATGATGAAGGAACAAGAGACAGGCTCTGATTGGTTAAAGTTGTGAGTAGAGTGAATATCAGAGAGCTGTGAATGAGACCTGTCTCTGGGATCAGGCTCCTCCTTCTAATCCTCCAACTTAGTGCTGATGTAGACTAAACAGAGAGATCACAGCCTTCTTTAGACTTGCTGGAGCTCAGAGTTATCAACACTGCAGATATGATGTCTCTGTTGATCTCAGTGTTGCTGGCTGCTGTGTGCCTTGGTATGAACTCCACTCTGTTTCTTTGACATCAATCCAGCACTGACATCAACCTGTAACAGTCATCTAAAACTATTTGTTGTTGTTTTACAGAATGTATGGCACAAACAGACAAGGTGCTGCAACCACAAAGAGATGAGACTGCAACTGAAGGAGAGGCAGAAACACTCAACTGTCAATATACCAGCAGTTTAACAAATCCATCTCTATTCTGGTACAAACAGGATGGAAACAACAGACCCAGATTCATCCTGAGTCGCATTCAAGGAGATGAAGGAAACACACCAGAGGAGTTTAAGGAGAGATTTTCCTCCACACTGAATTCCTCCTCCAAATCAGGATCAGTTCCTCTGAAGATCCAGAACCTTCATCTGTCTGACTCTGCTGTGTACTACTGTGCTCTGCAGCCCACAGTGACAGGAAACACCAAAACTCTCTACAAAAACCATTGAAAACACAATACTCCACAACATCCACTAGAGGGAGTCACACCCTGTTCATCTTTTCCTGGTCTGTGATGATTCAGTCTAGTCTTCTCTCTCAGGAGACATTGGTGATGAAGAGCTGCAGTCATGAATTGTTTTAACATCAAAGTCTCCTCCTCCTGACTGCAGAGGAGCTTCATGACAGAGATCTGTGTGAGTTAAGCTGAGATCATCAGACCAATCACAGCTCACCAAACTTCCTCAGTCTGATCCTTCACTTACAGCATTTCAACTCTACAAACATGGAAAAACTTTCTGTTCTTTTACTGTTTTCAGCTGTTTTAGGTTTGTATGATTCAAAGAATTTAATGATGAATAATTTATGTAACTATGAAAACAACTTTGAATATGAATTTTAATGTTTAACATGTTAAAATTAATTTAAAATGACATTTTCAATATAATCTACATCTGATCAAAATAATTTATGGGAAACTTTTTCTCTTCAGGTGTAAGCTGTGAAGATCTCACTCCACTGGAGAAAGAAAAGTTCAGTTTAGAGAGCAGCTCAGTTACTCTGACGTACAAATACTCCAGAGAAGCATCTGCTAGTGATTATTTCTTCTGGTATCGACAAAATCCAGGAACACCACCGCAGTTTCTCATCTCTCACTCAGGAGCAGGAACACCCATATCAGATCCAGTCTCTAGACTGTCTTTTCAAGTGAGTGAGGATAAAATCCATATGAACCTACAGATCTCCTCTGCTGCAGTGACTGACTCTGCTGTGTACTACTGTTCTCTGAGGCCCACAGTGACAGGAAACACCAAAACTCTCTACAAAAACCATTGAAAACACAATACTCCACAACATCCACTAGAGGGAGTCACACCCTGTTCATCTTTTCCTGGTCTGTGATGATTCAGTCTGGAGTCTTTTTGCTCCTGAGACATTTGTGATGAAGAGCTGCAGAAACTAAACTGACATCAGTCTCTTCTTCCTGATTTCAGAGGAGCTTCATGACAGAAGAAAGTTTGGTTTGACCATCAGACTGAAAATAACTCAGAAACTTTCATCACACTCATCATTCAGTCTCAGTATCTTTCCTCTGAAGCATGGACAAACTCATTGTTATTCTGTTTTTGTCTTCTATCATGGGTATGTATGAAATTATCAGTTTATTCAAATTTTCCCACTTTAAGTAAAGACAAGTGATTTAAATGTGACATGTATTTTCTCTCCTATTTTGACAGATAATATAAATGTGATTGAGAATAACCTGACCTTTAATCTGGACTGAGTCTTTTCAGAGAATAACTGAGTTTTTCTTGTTTCCTTCAGGTGTAAACTGTGAAGATCTCACTCCAGCTCAAAATGAAGAGTCCAGTTTAGAGGGCAGCTCTGTTACTCTGTCCTACAATTACTCCAAACTATCAACTACTGATTATTTCTACTGGTATTGTCAATATCCAGGAAAACAACCAGAGTACCTCATTTATCACCTCGCTTCAGGAGACATATTAAAAGCAGCTATCTCTGGATTAAAGATTACAGTGAAGAAAAACCTCATCAACATGACCATCTCCTCTGCTGCAGTGACTGACTCTGCTGTGTACTACTGTGCTGTGAGGCCCACAGTGACAGGAAACACCAAAACTCTCTACAAAAACTCAGGCTGACACACTGACATGCTGCTGAAAGCTTATACTAACATAGTTGACTTTGTCCTTTTACCTCCACTAGAGGGCCACATCATCTCATAGGTGATGCACTAGCTCAACACTGAGTTCAGCCATTCTGTCAATATGAAGTGCTGCTGAGAAGAAAAGTTTAGTCAGACTGACAGACTGAGCAACTTCAGCTGGTTCCTCCTGTTGATTTAATCCTTGTTGTAGAGATGGATCATTGGCTGTGGATCATTCTGGCTGCTCTTTTCTTTGGTAAGAAAACTCAACATGTTTCCTCTCAACACTCTTTCTACACAGTTACACATGAACGGATCTTTATTTGGCTTCTGCAAATTTACACTGAAACCTACTGATGGTTCTCCTACAGTCTCCTGAGTTTATTGATCATCTCTTCTTCTGCTTGTTTTCTTCTTCCTCAGAGTGTAAAGGAGAAGACTCAGTGACCCAGACAGAGGGAGAAATCTTTGCTTTTGAAGGACACACAGTTACACTCAACTGTACATTTGATACAAGTAGTACAACTCCAACATTGTTCTGGTATCGACAGGATCTTCAGGATTCCCCAAAGTACATGCTGAAATCTTACTATGGAACTGTTGAAAATGCACCAGAGTTCAACAAAGACAGATTTATAGCTGCAACAAATGGGAAACTATTTCCTCTGAAGATCCAGAACCTTCATCTGTCTGACTCTGCTGTGTACTACTGTGCTCTGCAGCCCACAGTGACAGGAAACACCAAAACTCTCTACAAAAACCATTGAAAACACAATACTCCACAACATCCACTAGAGGGAGTCACACCCTGTTCATCTTTTCCTGGTCTGTGATGATTCAGTCTAGTCTTCTCTCTCAGGAGACATTGGTGATGAAGAGCTGCAGTCATGAATTGTTTTAACATCTAAGTCTCCTCCTCCTGACTGCAGAGGAGCTTCATGACAGAGATCTGTGTGAGTTAAGCTGAGATCATCAGACCAATCACAGCTCACCAAACTTCCTCAGTCTGATCCTTCACTTACAGCATTTCAACTCTACAAACATGGAAAAACTTTCTGTTCTTTTACTGTTTTCAGCTGTTTTAGGTTTGTATGATTCAAAGATTTTACTGATGAATAATTTATGTAACCATGAAAACAACTTTAAATATGAATTTTAATGTTTAACATGTGAAAACGTATTTTATATGACATTTTCAATATAATCTACATCTGATCAAAATAATTGATGGGAAACTTTTTCTCTTCAGGTGTCAGCTGTGAAGATCTCACTCCACTGGAGAAAGAAAAGTTCAGTTTAGAGAGCAGCTCAGTTACTCTGTCCAACAATTACTCCAGAGCTGCTGCTCTTGATGATTATTTCTTCTGGTATCGACAATATCCAGGAACACCACCACAGTTCCTCATCTCTCACACATCAACAGAAACATATTCAGCTCCAGTGTCTGGACTGTCTGCTTCCATGAGTGAGGATAAAACTCAAATGAATCTACAGATCTCCTCTGCTGCAGTGACTGACTCTGCTGTGTACTACTGTGCTGTGAGGCCCACAGTGACAGGAAACACCAAAACTCTCTACAAAAACTCAGGCTGACACACTGACATGCTGCTGAAAGCTTATACTAACATAGTTGACTTTGTCCTTTTACCTCCACTAGAGGGCCACATCATCTCATAGGTGATGCACTAGCTCAACACTGAGTTCAGCCATTCTGTCAATATGAAGTGCTGCTGAGAAGAAAAGTTTAGTCAGACTGACAGACTGAGCAACTTCAGCTGGTTCCTCCTGTTGATTTAATCCTTGTTGTAGAGATGGATCATTGGCTGTGGATCATTCTGGCTGCTCTTTTCTTTGGTAAGAAAACTCAACATGTTTCCTCTCAACACTCTTTCTACACAGTTACACATGAACGGATCTTTATTTGGCTTCTGCAAATTTACACTGAAACCTACTGATGGTTCTCCTACAGTCTCCTGAGTTTATTGATCATCTCTTCTTCTGCTTGTTTTCTTCTTCCTCAGAGTGTAAAGGAGAAGACTCAGTGACCCAGACAGATGGAGAAATCTTTGCTTCTGAAGGACACACAGTTACACTCAACTGTACATTTAAGACGAGTTATGGGACTCCCACTTTGTTCTGGTATCGACAGGATCTTCAGGATTTCCCAAAGTACATGCTGAGATGTTACTCAGGAACAACAGAATTTGCTCCTGAGTCTGACAAAGACAGATTCAATGCGACAATAAAGGGGAAATCAGTTAATCTGAAGATCCAGAACCTTCATCCGTCTGACTCTGCTGTGTACTACTGTGCTCTGCAGCCCACAGTGACAGGAAACACCAAAACTCTCTACAAAAACCATTGAAAACACAATACTCCACAACATCCACTAGAGGGAGTCACACCCTGTTCATCTTTTCCTGGTCTGTGATGATTCAGTCTAGTCTTCTCTCTCAGGAGACATTGGTGATGAAGAGCTGCAGAAACTAAACTGACATCAGTCTCTTCTTCCTGATTTCAGAGGAGCTTCATGACAGAAGAAAGTTTGGTTTGACCATCAGACTGAAAATAACTCAGAAACTTTCATCACACTCATCATTCAGTCTCAGTATCTTTCCTCTGAAGCATGGACAAACTCATTGTTATTCTGTTTTTGTCTTCTATCATGGGTATGTATGAAATTATCAGTTTATTCAAATTTTCCCACTTTAAGTAAAGACAAGTTATTTAAATGTGACATGTATTTTCTCTCCTATTTTGACAGATAATATAAATGTGATTGAGAATAACCTGACCTTTAATCTGGACTGAGTCTTTTCAGAGAATAACTGAGTTTTTCTTGTTTCCTGCAGGTGTAAACTGTGAAGATCTCACTCCAGCTCAAAATGAAGAGTCCAGTTCAGAGGGCAGCTCTGTTACTTTGTCCTACACATACTCACTTGGTGATTATTTCTACTGGTATCGACAATATCCAGGAAAACAACCAGAGTACCTCCTTCATCACCTCGCTTCAGGAGACATATTAAGAGCAGCTATCTCTGGATTAACAATTAAAGCAAAGAAAAATCTCATCAACATGACCATCTCCTCTGCTGCAGTGACTGACTCTGCTGTGTACTACTGTGTTCTGAGGCCCACAGTGACAGGAAACACCAAAACTCTCTACAAAAACTCAGGCTGACACACTGACATGCTGCTGAAAGCTTATACTAACATAGTTGACTTTGTCCTTTTACCTCCACTAGAGGGCCACATCATCTCATAGGTGATGCACTAGCTCAACACTGAGTTCAGCCATTCTGTCAATATGAAGTGCTGCTGAAAGCTTATGCTAACATTAACTCACTACAAAAACCATTGAAAACAGAATACTCCACAAAGTCCACTAGAGGCAGTCACACCCTGGCTGACAACAATGACACTTCGTGAGGAATTGATCTTATTGACATAGAGCTTCTTAAATGTAAAAAAAAAACCCCAGCAAATTCCTGTCAAAGGCAGATCATCATTATGAAGCCACAAGAGGAAGTCACTTCCATTTAACCTTAAATAAGACATGATTGTCGACATTGGGTTCTCTGTCCTTGCAATCCACACAACAATGACAGACACGTGGGTATTATAAAAAATCTTTTGAAATTTAAACAGAGTTTGAAGCTCCAGCCTTGACTCCTCTGTCCATTTCTTCACTGTTTATTGACTCAGCAGTTTTAATTTCTGCCTGTAGGTCAGGTTGAGATGGAACAGACAGGGATCAGAGAGTCCCAGAGAGTATGCTGTCTTTATTTAGGTAGCTCTTGACTGAGATTGGCTCTGTTAAAATCCCCCAGAATGAAGAGCAGGGAGACCAGATAATTTTTCTCCACGTCTGCGATCTGGTCAGCCAGCTGTTGTAACACCTTCATTACTCAGGCTTAAGGTGGGATGTAAACACCAACCAGAACAAAGAAGCTGTTCAGGAAGTTCAGGAAAAGGGCCTCTCAACAAGGGCTGCATGATTTCTTCAGCACTGTGACACCCATACACCAACCTTCGTTCATGTAGAACAGAGTCCACCTCACTGTATCTCCCCCGAAAGGTCTGAAGCAGAGTCCACTCAGAAAAGTTGGAGGCCTGGCAGCTGTAGTGCACTGTCTGGGATGTGTTCATTGAGCAAGGTTTCAGTAAAACACAGGGCTGCTTAACAGCCAAAGTCCTTATTTCTCTGGATTAGGAGAAACCAGAAAACAAATATTTGCCTGGTGTAAAGAAGGGAGGACCGTGTATAAAACCCTTCTGCCTCAGCTTCACGAATGCTCCGGTTAACTTTCCGACTTGGCATCAAGTAAAAAAGTGAAGTACTGAGGCGCCCTGTCACAGCACCATCTTGATATATAAATAGGTGAAAAATTTGACTTCAAAAATCATGACAGCACACTCAAAGTAAGATTAGAGGAAATACCGTTTGTACAAAAGTGGGTAAAATGGACTGATTTCAGGAGGTCAGAAGAAGACACCACCACCTTCAATGAACAATAAAGACGTTGATATAAAGAAGATTAATGAATGCTGTAAATAGGTTTTGTCCCGACACTGTAACTGTTAAAGACGAAAATTCAATAAAAATTTTGTGAGCAAAAAAAAGTCATGACAGCTTCTTTTCTCTCGATAGGTGAAAATAAAAAAGTGAGACTGAGATGTAAGAGCAGAGAGACTGCATACAGGAGGAGCTTAAATGTTACTGAACTATATAAGAAAGAGGAACTTCATTCCTCAGGACAGAAACACCTCTTTATTCATCATGCACTCAATCCACCTTTGTGTCTTTTCACTACTTTATCTTTCTATTTTATCAGGTATGTTCTAAACAGCAAAGTAAACACATCTCAGTATATTATCTAAAAATATTCAATAGATGAGTCTTGAGAAATGACCAAATCATGTTTGTTTCCACAGGTGTCAGCTGTAAAGAACTCACTCCTCTAAAGGAAAAAGAGTTCAGTTTAGAGAAAGGCTCTGTTTCTCTGACCTACAGATACTCCAAAAAAGCAACTGCTGGTGATGAGTTTTACTGGTACAAAGAAAATCCAGGGAAACCACCACAGTTTCTCATCTCTCACTCAGGATCAGGCACACCCATATCAGATCCAGTCCATAGACTGTCTTTTCAAGTGAGTGAGGATAAAATCAATATGAATCTGAGGATCTCCTCTGCTGCAGTGTCTGACTCTGCTGTGTACTACTGTGCTGTGAGGCCCACAGTGACAGGAAACACCAAAACTCTCTACAAAAACTCAGGCTGACACACTGACATGCTGCTGCAAGCTTATACTAACATAGTTGACTTTGTCCTTTTACCTCCACTAGAGGGCCACATCATCTCATAGGTGATGCACTAGCTCAACACTGAGTTCAGCCATTCTGTCAATATGAAGTGCTGCTGAGAAGAAAAGTTTAGTCAGACTGACAGACTGAGCAACTTCAGCTGGTTCCTCCTGTTGATTTAATCCTTGTTGTAGAGATGGATCATTGGCTGTGGATCATTCTGGCTGCTCTTTTCTTTGGTAAGAAAACTCAACATGTTTCCTCTCAACACTCTTTCTACACAGTTACACATGAACAGATCTTTATTTGGCTTCTGCAAATTTACACTGAAACCTACTGATGGTTCTCCTACAGTCTCCTGAGTTTATTGATCATCTCTTCTTCTGCTTGTTTTCTTCTTCCTCAGAGTGTAAAGGAGAAGACTCAGTGACCCAGACAGAGGGAGAAATCTTTGCTTTTGAAGGACACACAGTTACACTCAACTGTACATTTGAGACAAGTTATGGGACTTCCACTTTGTTCTGGTATCGACAGGATCTTCAGGATTTCCCAAAGTACATGCTGAGATGTTACTCAGGAACAACAGAATTTGCTTCTGAGTCTGACAAAGACAGATTCAATGCGACAACAAAGGGGAAATCAGTAAATTTGGAGATCCAGAACCTTCATCTGTCTGACTCTGCTGTGTACTACTGTGCTCTGAGGCCCACAGTGACAGGAAACACCAAAGCTCTTTACAAAAACCATTGAAAACAAAGACCTCCAGGATATCCACCAGAGGGAGACTCTCACTCTCAGACAACAAAGATACAGTCACAAATGAAATCCTCTTTCTGACATTAAACTTCTGAAACCAAAATCACTCCAGATGTTTCTTTGGTAGACAGACAACCTCTACAAAGGTTATTCTTTGGCCCCACCCACTGATGTTAGAGTCAGCCAATGAGAGTCCCTCCATCTCCAGAGCAGATATGATGGAGAAACTGTGAGCTCAATCATCTCAGTGTTGAGGATTAGATCTGTGCAGCAAAGAGCTTCTCTGTGTTTTCATTCTCTAACAGAGGAAGGACACTGATCATCTGCTGTCTGTTTGACTTCAACTACTCCAAAGACATGTGTCTCTACCTCTTTTTACTTGGCTCTAATTTCATAGGTAAGTGTTAGAACAGACAGCAAACTCCAACCTCACCTGCTGCTTTCAGCAGATATTTGGTCAACATTTCACAAGCAGAGCTTGATCTGAGTAAGCTAACATTTTCAGGGACTGATAGACATTTGCTGTTTGAAGAATCTCTCAATGATCCAGGATAACAGATGAAGTAAAGGACTGTTTTTCAGTCTCTTGGTGTCAGAGTCTCTTCTAACTAACATGAATTATACTCCTTTTTCAGCCTTGGCCTCCATGAACACCATAAAACCAGTCAGCCCTGAAGAAACTGTTAAAGAGGGCACAAACATCAACCTGACCTGTACTTATGATGGTGCTATCAACAATATCCAATGGTACCGACAATACCAGAGATCCAGACCAGAGTTCCTGCTCTACATCACAGAGTATGGATTAATTCATCCAACTGACTCTGATTTCCCAGCTTACATTGATAAAGACAAAAAAAGTGTAGATCTACAGATCTCCTCTGCTGCAGTGACTGACTCTGCTGTGTACTACTGTGCTCTGCAGCCCACAGTGACAGGAAACACCAAAACTCTCTACAAAAACCATTGAAAACACAATACTCCACAACATCCACTAGAGGGAGTCACACCCTGTTCATCTTTTCCTGGTCTGTGATGATTCAGTCTAGTCTTCTCTCTCAGGAGACATTGGTGATGAAGAGCTGCAGTCATGAATTGTTTTAACATCTAAGTCTCCTCCTCCTGACTGCAGAGGAGCTTCATGACAGAGATCTGTGTGAGTTAAGCTGAGATCATCAGACCAATCACAGCTCACCAAACTTCCTCAGTCTGATCCTTCACTTACAGCATTTCAACTCTACAAACATGGAAAAACTTTCTGTTCTTTTACTGTTTTCAGCTGTTTTAGGTTTGTATGATTCAAAGATTTTAATGATGAATAATTTATGTAACCATGAAAACAACTTTGAGTATGAATTTTAATGTTTAACATAAAAATGTATTCAATATGATACTTTAAATATAATCAACAACTACACAAAATAATTTATGGGAAACTTTTTGCCTTCAGGTGTCAGCTGTGAAGATCTCACTCCACTGGAGAAAGAAAAGTTCAGTTTAGAGGGCAGCTCTGTTACTCTGTCCTACAATTACTCCAAACTATCATCTGGTGATTATTTCTACTGGTATCTTCAATATCCAGGAACACCACCACAGTTCCTAATCTCTCACTCAGGATCAGGCACACCCATATCAAATCCAGTCCCTAGACTGTCTTTTAAAGTGAGTGAGGATAAAATCCATGTGAATCTACAGATCTCCTCTGCTGCAGTGACTGACTCTGCTGTGTACTACTGTGCTGTGAGGCCCACAGTGACAGGAAACACCAAAACTCTCTACAAAAACTCAGGCTGACACACTGACATGCTGCTGAAAGCTTATACTAACATAGTTGACTTTGTCCTTTTACCTCCACTAGAGGGCCACATCATCTCATAGGTGATGCACTAGCTCAACACTGAGTTCAGCCATTCTGTCAATATGAAGTGCTGCTGAGAAGAAAAGTTTAGTCAGACTGACAGACTGAGCAACTTCAGCTGGTTCCTCCTGTTGATTTAATCCTTGTTGTAGAGATGGATCATTGGCTGTGGATCATTCTGGCTGCTCTTTTCTTTGGTAAGAAAACTCAACGTTTCCTCTCAACACTCTTTCTACACAGTTACACATGAACGGATCTTTATTTGGCTTCTGCAAATTTACACTGAAACCTACTGATGGTTCTCCTACAGTCTCCTGAGTTTACTGATCATCTCTTCTTCTGCTTGTTTTCTTCTTCCTCAGAGTGTAAAGGACAAGACTCAGTGACCCAGACAGAGGGAGAAATCTCTGCTTTTGAAGGACACACAGTGACACTCGACTGTACATTCGAGACAAGTAGAACAGTTCCAACATTGTTCTGGTATCGACAGGATCTTCAGGATTTCCCAAAGTACATGCTGAAATCTTACTCAGAAACAACAGAATTTTCTTCTGAGTCTGACAAAGACAGATTCAATGCGACAATTAAGGGGAAATCAGTAAATCTGGAGATCCAGAACCTTCATCTGTCTGACTCTGCTGTGTACTACTGTGCTCTGCAGCCCACAGTGACAGGAAACACCAAAGCTCTCTACAAAAACCTTCGAAAACACAATACTCCACAACATCCACTAGAGGGAGTCACACCCTGTTAAACAGAAATTCAGGACTTGTACATTTCTAGACCTGCCTTTTTATAGACATTGTGAAAAGAAAAATATGAGCAGATTCCATTTAAGCTTAACAATGTAAATTATGCATTCATGTATCAGCTAACCTGGTTAATGGTTTAATAAAATAACTAAATCCAACAAATCCTCTGATTAACATAATAATGGAGTTAATTTTGTTGTGTTTTTGTGACATGCTTTCTGCCAATCATTATCTGTATTTGCAAAGCTGCCTGAATTTTAAATAGCTTGAATACTAAAACTTAAGACTTGATTTAAACATTCTCAATCTCAACAATATGTCTTCATATCATCAATAAAGACACTTGAGTGTTATGATCAGTTTTTTAAGATTTATCTTACTGACCTATGTATGGACTCCTTAGCTCCAACACTAACAAGTGAGTCAGGTTATCCTTGCAGAAACCTCTCCTGTCAGACCTCCACTCCCACAAAGATTGAAAAATAGCAATCAAAATGCCCAAAAGCCAGATGCCCAAACATGTCACACAAACACATAAAACATTTGGAATCCAATGGATTCAAAGTTTAAATCCAATTTTATAAATTGATAAAATTGTAAATAATGTCAGGGCTTGAAGACCAGTTGTAAAGAACACTAATGCATGTGTGTCAATAGGTGATGTGTCTGAAAACAAGCCAATGATTGAAAAAAGTAAAGATTTGAACTCCCAATAATGGCTGACTACAAGACAGGCTCTGATTGGTTAAAGTTGAGAGTAGAGTGAATAACAGAGAGCTGTGAATGAGACCTGTCTCTGGGATCAGGCTCCTCCTTCTAATCCTCCAACTTAGTGCTGATGTAGACTAAACAGAGAGATCACAGCCTTCTTTAGACTTGCTGGAGCTCAGAGTTATCAACACTGCAGATATGATGTCTCTGTTGATCTCAGTGTTGCTGGCTGCTGTGTGCCTTGGTATGAACTCCACTCTGTTTCTTTGACATCAATCCAGCACTGACATCAACCTGTAACAGTCATCTAAAACTATTTGTTGTTGTTGTTTTACAGAATGTATGGCACAAACAGACAACGTGCTGCAACCACAAAGAGATGTGACTGCAACTAAAGGAGAGGCAGAGACACTAAACTGTCAATATAACAGCAGTTCATCAAATGATTACCTCTTCTGGTACAAACAGGATGGAAACAACAGACCCAGATTAATTCTAAGTCGTTTCAAGGTTGGCACAGGAAAAACAATCAATGAGTTTGAGGAGAGATTTTCCTCCACACTGAATTCCACAACAAGATCAGTTCCTCTGAAGATCCAAAACCTTCATTCGTCTGACTCTGCTGTGTACTACTGTGCTCTGCAGCCCACAGTGACAGGAAACACCAAAACTCTGTACAAAAACCACTGAACAAACAATACTCCACAACATCCACTAGAGGGAGTCACACCCTGTTCATCTTTTCCTGGTCTGTGATGATTCAGTCTGGAGTCTTTTTGCTCCTGAGACATTTGTGATGAAGAGCTGCAGAAACTAAACTGACATCAGTCTCTTCTTCCTGATTCCAGAGGAGCTTCATGACAGAAGAAAGTTTGGTTTGACCATCAGACTGAAAATAACTCAGAAACTTTCATCACACTCATCATTCAGTCTCAGTATCTTTCCTCTGAAGCATGGACAAACTCATTGTTATTCTGTTTTTGTCTTCTATCATGGGTATGTATGAAATTATCAGCGTCATCAAGTTTTCCCACTTTAACTGATTCAACACAAGTTATTTAAATGTGACATATATTTTCTCTCCTATTTTGACAGATAATATCAATGTGATTGAGAATAACCTGACCTTTAATCTTGACTGAGTCTTTTCAGAGAATAACTGAGTTTTTATTGTTTCCTGCAGGTGTAAACTGTGAAGATCTCACTCACAAAAGAAGGGTTTTCCAATTGCTCTCAACAGCATTCTACTCAGAAAGTGCCACACAAGTTTATACAATTGAGTAATGCTTGACATGCAGATGAGACAATGACTTCACTATGTCGAGTCCACGCCTAGAACATGGCACATTCATCTCTATTAGCAGGAGACCAAAACACAATGGCAATTATTTGTATGCTGGTTATGTTTTCTTGTTTACTGCCTCTTAAAATCCTACACTGACCTCCTTCAAACCCTGATTCAAATATGAAACTTACCTGCTTTACACCTGATTATAATCCTAAACTTACCTGCTGTACACCTGATTATAATCCTAAACTTACCTGATGCAGACTCTAATTTACACCTGAAACCTGTCTATAACACACCAGGGATAAAAATCACTATACCTCTCTTGCAAATCCTGGTTTGAATCTGAAACTCGCTGCATATCCTGATTTAAGTTTGAAACTTACCTGCAAACAACCCTAATTGAAATCCAACACTTACCTGCAGCACCATCACTAGTCACACCAAACTTACCTGCTGTGCATCACCTGATAAAGCAATACTTACCCAAACTGAGGAGACAAGTTCCTATTAGACTGTCCAGTTGGAATTGCAGCAGCAGAGGGCCAACAGTTTCTACCCTGATCTGGAGCCACCTTGTGGTTTTGGTCAAATATCCATGATGAAAAGTTTCTTTGGATAGTATTAGCCACCTGAAATGTGTTCATGTTGCCGATGGTAGAAGTTTCAGTCAGGAGTCACAGATACTGGGGTGAGGGAACTTCTCTGAGAGTTTTAACCATGTCTAAGGGTATTTCATGCTTGGTCGGGTATCACAGACGGCTTGGACCTGGAAACTGATGCAAGGAAGTTCAGCTGCTAGAAGTCTGATTATTTTTAATTGTGTCTTCCTACCTTGTCAAAGCTCCACTGTGCTGACTCACAGTCCTCTACAGCAACACTTCTTTCTGAAGGAGATGCTGATTCTTTTTTCCTGCTTTTCTTCCTGCTTCTTGAATGGCAGCTGGGCCTTTCAGGGTGTAGTGAAAGAGCTTGTCTGTTCTGTCAGTGTTTCAGGACAATGGTCTTAGAGATGGGAAAGGGAAACTTGTCCATTGCCTGCCTTTCTTTCAAGGAGTCTGTTAAAATAAAACACATACCAAGTCAAAATCCACTCTTAAGTACTCGAATAACAGTTTTTTTTGTGATATTATTATATGACTATCATAAAATTTAAACTTTAGAGTAATTTTATTTTTTATTTAAGGAGAAAGTTCCTTGTATAAATTCTAGCTGTATACTACAAGAGTGCAACACAACAACATCACTATTTTTGACTAAAGCAACAATAAAATTGTCTTGATTACCTTACAGTAGTCCTTAGTGATGACATAGTCCAATATCGTTCTGTAGCTTGTTGAAATGATCCATGAAGGCACATCTCAAATTTCACCAAGTAAAAATGAGATGAAAAATGTCAAAATACTGTGCCTTAAAATGCCCAATGTATGGCTGAGGTCATAGTCATAAATGACTCTCTTGCCTGACATGTTTCAGCTGGCAACTCTAAGTACAACTCCAAATAAATCAGGTTAAAATGTGTCACTAATCTTCACTTTTTAAATACTGTAAGTTTTTTACTTTTTTTAGATGGCTTTTATCATTGTCTGTTCTTTCCTTTTTACTAAGCTGCTTGTGCAGCCACAGACCACTCCAAACAGTTTTCATCTGTACAGACTTAAAGTCCAACTAACTACTCAAAAGTGTTATCAGTGGTCTATAAGTTGTGATTATTAAGTTTTTAGCCAAAATCACGTTACCCTTGTCATTTTCAAGTGCTTTTCTTCCGCAGAGCTCCAGCAGCTCATTAGCAATTCACCTCTGAGTTGTGGGTGGAGACAGCGCTGCTACTCCTTTTCACGCTAGCTTGCAGCCTTACATTACCGGTGTAGAAGAAGCAGGTAACATATGAGCTATCCGGCTCTCGGACACTTAACCTGTAACTGTAACTGTCAACCCTGTTACTGTCAACCCTGTTACGTTTCCACTGTAACAGGATTTGACATGTGAGTAACAGGGATGACATAGAACAGTGTTTACCCTCGTTGTACTCTCTTTAAAAGGCTAACCTTTTAAACTTAAAACATTTTTAGGTCATCAAGTGAACACTATTGAGCTAATAATTATTTTTTGATTGATACACCGGTGGAGAGCCAGTTACTGAGTGTCCGCTTACTTTTACTCTTATCAGCTCTGGTACCATAACATCCATCCTGTTATTGTCATTAATTCGATAAAAATGTAAAAAATTAAAACTCTAATGTGCTTTCAACACTCACCATTCTAATTTTAATTACATTATATTTTAGATTGGGCCATTTTTCAACATTTCAACGTGATCGCCATGCAAAATTAGGTTATATTTGATCATCTGAATGACAAATATCTAATTGGAGAAAAATATCCACAAAATAAAATGATCTCAATGGAGGGACTAAAGTACTGCTAATATATGTACCATATATTGCATAATTCTAATTAGAAATATTGTATTTTGTTAAGTTTATGTCGGTAACAGGGTTGACAAGATTATGAAAACAGTGAGGAGAAAAACAGTTATAAAATATAAATTAATACAGCCTGAGATGGCAAAATATCACTTCCTGTCACTTTAAACATTCTTTGATTCCTGGATACTTAAAAATTAACAATTAAATACAGTTTAAATTAAGTTTTCTAAGCTGAAAAGGCACAGATTTCATGTAATGACCCGGGGATTTTTCACTGACATGTAAAGAGTTGAACATAAGCACTAACAGCACTAAAATATTATGCTTTTAAATCGATTCCCCAGAGACTAGAATGAGGGCACAGCATAGTACAGTGAGTGTCTGCCTCTTACCTTTCAGCTGTCCACCATTATAAAGCTGTAGGTTTGCTAACACCTCAATATACTGACCCAGCTAACCCTTTAAGCTTCTGCTGTTCACCTCTGTTAGCTAGCTCGGCGCGTCGACTGTTGGCGGTAAAATATTCTCGAATGTTCCAGCCGAAAATCCGCGGCACAAACTCCGAGTAAAGAGCAAACATCTTTCACTGTCAGTGAATTATTCACTTTAAAGTTCATTAAAACTGTGTTTCTTCCCGTGTGGGCTCCTCTTTATCCTCATTCTCACGATGATGCGGGTGAAACGGTCGAGACTCAAACCGAAGCGCCGATCGGACTCGCGAGCTGTGGCTTTTTAAAACGTTTGACGGAAGCGCTCGCGACCGCTGCAGCGCTCGTGAGAGAATCAGCCAATCGCATGACGGCTAGATGCTCACGTGACTTTGATCGTTCAAGTAAATGGAACTTATCAGAGAAACCTGGGAGAGGTGACCAGATGCAGCGCAAGATGGCGGACCCAAAGATAGAAAACCACATTTACAAAACGCAATAAGTTCCTCCGATTGGCGGACCCAAAACAATTACTTCCGGTGGAAAGGCTTTCTCGTTGGCGGACTTCCGGCGCCGAAATACTTCAGGTAGTCGGATTTAGTCGCCGGATCCTTTTTTTTTTGCTCCGTTCATTCCATAAGAATCGAATTAAATTTATTATTGAGCTAAAAATCAAAATAAAACGTTTATGTATTAATTATGACTACTGTTTTGTTCTGATTTAATTCTGAAGTTTACAGTAATATGTATATATAGCCTGATGTCCTCATATTCTGATAATTTGTCAGAATAGGTAAATGTATGTAGAAGTTATCATCTTACTCAAATTCTTTTGTAAGAGTTTGCTACAAGTATGGACTGTTTTAACCTCTCGTTACACATCATATAACAGTGTTTTCTAACTTTTCTCTCCAATAGCTTTATTACACAGCACATCAATGTTTCTTAACTTCTCTGTGACCTTGTTTCTCCACTCCTATTAGGACCTCGTTTAATGTCAACAATGTTGCCTTGACCCTCACATATTTTCTGTTGTTCATAATTATGTTTTATGAGAGTGCTTATGTTGCTGCACAAATTTACTCCCCCCATCCTTTAGTAACATTGTGTAACCAGGGACATAATTTATGAAATGGTGTGCTTCCTGGTGAACCTCTTCAGGATTGCTTGACTGTGCAAAATCCAAGTATACAATAGTTGTAGAGACACAAGTCACATGATCTCTTTAAGGTTCAGAAGAGCCATATAGCAAAAACAATTGAATAGCGATATCATTACAGACTGTGTAAAGAAATGGGAAATTGTCATACAACTGCTTTGAAGATTTCTTTAATTTTTTCCAAACAAAATTGTGAACAGTAAAAAAAATATATATATATACAAAATTCAGCACTGCCGTCGGTGTGGTGGGGGGCTTAAAACACGTTGCCACAGGCCATCATCAGCTCTGCTCTGAACCGGTTGATGCCATGCTCCTTCAGTGCTTTGATCAAAAGCTGAAAAACAGTCAAATAATGTGAACAATTGAAGTTATGCAGTATGGGTTAATTGTTGTTCTTGAGCTTTCCAAATGAATAAGAACAACCTCTTAACAATATCATCATTTTTCAAAGCAAGCTATATAGTTTGATCTACTCACCTCTGGGAGCATGACGTCAAAAACGAAATCAAGCAGATGAATCTCGCCTCTCTTTATTTTTTTAGAAATGTTTGTTGCCACCTCAATGAACCGCAGGAGCTCGAACATCTATTGAAGAAAAACACAGAAAGTAAACACCTTTCAAATGTAACACCCCTGAGAGTAAAAATATTCATGATGGATGGCATTTTTACTTACGCGCTGCTCACTCCAACTTAGTGTCCTTATCTTAAGATGCTGCTTTAGTCGGAGTGAGGTGGCGGGATTCCTCCAAAGGAACATTCTGTTGGAGCGGATCTTTCCAGACAGTAGATCATCGTGTAATGTCTGAAACCAAAGAGCAAGAGACAAAAATGTAATCATCTGAAAAAGAAACGGTGGCTTTAACAACTGATAGTGCATTCAAAAGCAACCTTGATCTGTGTCTTAGAAAAGACAGCATGAATTCCTCAACTGTCAACAGCATCCTTGATCCTGCAGAGAAATAAGAAAAGAGCAAGCCCTCATTTTTTCATCCTTTGAGCCTCGTATTTTTGACTGATACTATGTTTCCTTGATAAATTATGTTATACCGAGGATGCTCAATGGAGTCCTCGCACCCGCAGTCAAACGGCTCCATTTCAATCCCAGCACAATCCTGATGCAGCCAGCCCCTGCACGTCTTGCACTGGACCCATTTTATGACGTTTACCTCAGGGTAAAGCAATCTGATCAAATGAGAGACAAACATAATATCAAACAAACACGCTGTCCAATTGATTATACCTCTGCAGCACATTTGAATGTATAAATAATTTTCCTGCATGATTCGTGCATTTAAACTATATGTAAAAGTGGTCACTTCATGGAAAATCACTGAATAGGCCCCGATAATTGCATTTATTAAATTGAGTCTGCAACACACCTCTCTCCTGTGTTGTTCGATGTCTGGTAGACACAGAATTGCATTGAATCTGCCATGCACATTCTTTGGACATCCGATACCGTCTGCGTCATGGTTTCCTTGACAAGGCAATTTGAAAAGTAACATCAATTACCAAATACATCGAGACAATGTTGATCCATACAACTGTGTGCATTTTGAAGGACTCCCACTGAGATAATACTGTTTTTACAAGGCAATTTCCTAACCTCTGTGTCCTGCTGCTCTGCCTTCCTCTTTAGACTGAAGACCGGAGTATGCTTTCCAGCAATGAGCTCTTGACATTCTTTGGTCCAGTGGGCGAAGATTTTCCCACAACTGTAATGACAATATGTCTTTAAGTACAATATATTGATTGTCTTCCAGTTAATTAGGACATCTAGTTTACTTAAACTGTCTACCTGTTCAAAGAATTGTTCTCCAGGAGCAACAGGCACCACCATCGCCGCCAAACAGGCATGTCATGCTGAAATTGTTGTTTGTATTTCATTTTAGTGCACAATACAAAATACAATCTTGAGGATGACACTGCGTGTTGAAAAGTACTTACAACTGAGTAGTCAAACTGTGACTCCATAACGATGTACATGGCAGACTTTAAAAAAAAAATTATGAGACAACATGTGAGATAACTTTAAAAAAGTCCATGTTGGAAAGTTATTCTAGATACAATATTTGTGCATTACAGCTCGTTATGACCTACCATCAACATGAATATGCCACAGTCTGAGCCGAAGTCCTGGCTGGGGAAGCCCTGATTTAACAAAAGCAAACGTTAATCATCTTGTCACATACACTTTGTAGGAGCCAGATTGGGGTTTTGCAGTTTATTGTTATGTATTTTTTGTGCCAGCAGATGGTGCTATTGTGCCCGTCTATTTAATGGGTGGGTTGATTATGAGAGGTGCGCACATAAAATGATGAATGAGTAAATAAATCAAAACAACAGAAAATGTGTGTGACATGTGACATTATTCCACCTGCGGGCACGCATCAACTCAAGCAAAAAGGTGTTCGCCACAAGTAACAGCATTGGAAAGCTGTTATACACTTTTCAACTGTAATATAGAGCATGCACAAATACCTCCAAATCTCTGCCCGTTTTCTCAGTCTATTGCCCAGGACATATCTTCTGCGCAATGTTCCTGTTAATTTGAGAGCGTCACTTAGATTTCCCATGATGGAAACAATGGAATGCAGGGTTAGGGTTAGTTTGAGTGGTCGGAGGTGAGATTGAATGAATGCGGACGGCTTGCTTCTTTTCAAACTTCCTGAGAGTTCTTCTTCTTCTGTAAATTTTGCCGTCAGAAAGTGTAGGTACATACCGCCACCTACTGTTCTGGCATCGCAAAGCAGAAGTTCAAAGTTCATGTTTTGGGTCCGCCAATCGGAGGTAATGCGGAAACTTATTGCGTTTTGTAAATGTGGTTTTTTATCTTTGGGTCCGCCATCTTGGCGCTGCATCTGGGTACTCTTGAAACCTGGAGGTAAATTTTCCTAATTTGTAAAATTCTTTTTCTTTTCTTTTTTTTTTTTGACTGACTCCTGTTACAAACTGTGAAACTTTTGCACATAGATTATTTTAGATGAAAAATGATCAGGTTTTTTTTATGCTACAGAAACATGTCTGCTGTACGGAGGCCCTAGAAGGACATGTTGTCAGTAATTTCCCCCATTTTGAGGTGATATAAGTAAACTTTGGTGTTTTTCTTGAGATCCTGAGTTATTTTTGTTATTATCATGAGAAAAGTTTATTTTCTCAAAATTAAATAACTCAAATCAACTGCAATAAGATGTATTTAAAAAACCAAAAAGTTTATAAAAGAGCAAGACTTGCTGAATTTTATGTAAATGTTCTTTATTAATACAACCCTTCCAGTGAACCAAAGTGCTTTACAATACATATAAAATAAAAATGAATGAATAAAAATAATAAAAATAATCAAAAGCAATAAAAAAGAATAAGATACAATGCAATGAAATAAATGGCACCACGTTACTGGGTATTAAAAGTCAGCATAAATAAATAAATACATTTTCAATGGAGATTAAAAAAGACCCAGGTCAGAAATAAGTCTCATTTCGGTCAAGAGCCTGGGACCAAGAACTAATAACTTTTATAACTTCTTCCAAAACATTTACTGAATTATGCCCACCCTCTTTAAGAGCTTTTCTTTTATTTAATTTAAAGTAAAGTAAAGTTTAGTTTTGCTTTTTGTAATTTTGATCCTTTTTGTGAGTGCAGCCATCAGCAGCATTTTCCCCTGTTCTGTTTAATTTATTAGGGGTTTTAAAGGTTGATGGTTTTAAGGTTCGATGACACATAAAACATCTTGATTTGTACCTTGAAATGCGTATAATCATGCTGATTCAATATTAAATGGAACACTTCAAGATTTGCGAAGATTTGCGATGTTTTAGACAAAATGGACAGAAAAAAATGACCTAACCCTAACCACCGAGGAAGAACTCAGTCCAGATTAATATCCATCTTTGATTAAATAATAATTATCAAGAACTTTATTGAAGAAAAAACTCACTGATTTCTCATAGTCTGATGAGGATCTCTCCAAGTTCCTGTGAATATGAACAAAATGTGACCAATGTGTGATCCACAGTTTTCAAACATGATCCGGGAACCTGAGTTTGATCTGAGCAGCTGTGTCCAACTTATTAATCCTCCAAATCAAGAAGGAAAAAACTTTTCCTTCAAACAAGAGAGAGAACCTGCTGTTTTCAGAGGTGCTGATCAATGTGAAGCAGTTCCTCAGCAAAGCCACATGATGGCGCTCTTCTCACGTGTTGTACATGAACAGCACTTGATCATCATAACAGATAAACTGAGTTCCACCAACCATCTCCAGTCTCACTGTGTGCCAACCAGTTTGAAATGAATGACACGTCGGTGTGAGCACCACTGGAGCAGGAGTGTTGGACCGAGGGTCAGAGGTCGCTGAGTGTACAGGGTTATATGGTGATTCAGAAGAAATCTAAAAATAATATAAAGTAAATATAAAGTTTTATCATGTGTCACGATAAAACATTAAATATTGATGACATGGCTTCATGGTAAACAGAGGGTGAGGACACTGAGATAATTCATGCATAATTAAAATACCAGTCAATCAGAAAAACATGATTTATTCCTGAAAAAGGCCCAAACATAAAGACAGCCAATCACTGACTGAGAACCCTTTGTACTCGAAGACACAGACTCAGTCACATCGCCCTGTGAGGCACTGATGGATGGCAGATTGTTTTGAGTTGGTAAAAATCATAAATTTTGTTTGAATAGAATTTAAAGTACAAAACCCAACTCCATTGAAGTTGGAAATTGTGATAAACGTAAATAAAAACTGAATACAATGATTTGCAAATCCTTTTCAACCTTTGTTCAATAGAATACACTATAAAGACAAGATATTTAATGTTCAAACTCATAAACTTTATTGTTTTTTTGCAAATATTAATTAACTCAGAGTTTTATGGCTTCAACACGTGACAAAGAAGTTGGGAAGGTGCAAAAAATCCTGATAAATTTGAGGAATGCTCATGAACTCCTATTTGGAACATCCCACAGGTGAGCAGGTTAATAGGGAACAGGTGGGTGTCATGATTGGGTATAAAAGCAGCTTCCCCAAAAATTCTCAGTCATTCACAAGCAAGGATGGGGCGAGGTTCACCGCTTTGTGAACAACTGTGTGAGCAAATAGTTGAACAGTTTAAAAACAACGTTTCTCAAAGTACAAATGTAAAGAATTTATGGATTTCAACATCTACGGTCCAAAATACCATCAGAAGGTTCAGAGAATCTGGAGAAATCGGCATTGAACGCCCGTGACCTTTGACCCCTTAGGCGGCGCTGTATCAAAATCCGACATCAGTGTGTAAAGGATATCAACACATGGGCTCAGGAACACTTCAGAAAACCACTGTCAGTAAATACAGTTCGTCTCTACATCTGTAAGTTAAAACTCTAAAGACATTTATCAACAACATCCAGAAACGGCGCCGCCGGCTTCTCTGGACCCGAGCTCGTCTCAGATGGACTGATGCAAAGTGGAAAAGTGTTCTGTGGTCTGACGAGTCCACACTTCAGATTGTTTTTGGAAATAGTGGACGTCGTGTCCTCCGGGCCAAAGAGGAAAAGAACCATCCGGACTGTTATCGACGCAGAGTTCAAAAGCGTCTGTGATGGTATGGGGGCGCATTAGTGCCCGAGGCATGGGTAACTCACACATCTGTGAAGGCAACACTAATACTGAAAGGTACATACAGGTTTTGGAGCAACAGATGCTGCCATCCAAGCAATGTCTGTTTCATGGACGCCCTTCCTGCTTATTTCAGCGAGACAACGCCACGCCACATTCTGCACGTGTTCCAACAGCGTGGCTTCGTAGTCAAAGAGTGCGGGTACTCGACTGACCTGCCTGCAGTCCAGACCTGTCTCCCACTGAAAATGTGTGGAGCATTATGAAGAGTAAAACACGACAACGGAGACCCCGGACTGTTGAAGAACTGAAGCTGAACATCAAGAACGGGAAAGAATTCCACCTTCAGCTCCAACAGTTCGTCTCCTCAGTTCACAAACGTTTACTGAGTTTGTTAAAAGGAGATGGAACACAGAGGTAAACATGACCCTGTCCAAATACTTTGGAGCGTGTTGCTGCCATGAAATTCTGAGTGAATTATTATTTTCAAAAAATAAATAAATAAAGTTTATGAGTTTGAACATTAAATATCTTGTCTTTGTAGTGAATTTAGTTGAACAAAGGTTGAAAAGGATTTGCAAATCATTGTATTCTGTTTTTATTTACGTTCATCACAATTTCCCAACCTCAATGGAACTGGGTTTTATAGGTTTTAGGTCTTGACAGGTGTGTTGTTTCACATTCTTTTGACAGAGACTCTGAGACTGTGTTGAAACAGAGCCGTAAACAACAGAATCATCCACTCAAATTTACTGTAAAACAGCTCTGGCAGGTTGAATTCACCTTCTTCAGTCAGTCTGAGCTTGACAGTTCATGAAAGGGTCCACATGGTCGTGCTAGTGTCACATGAAAAGACAAACAGAAACTCGCTCAATACGCCACCTACCGGACCTCCGTCATGTCATGAAATCTGAGGTCTGACATCTGAAAAGGACCGAGAGCAGAAATTCAAACCGTATCAAAGTATTGACCTGATAAAAACAGAAAAGTGAATATTTTTATCTGAGACAGAAGTCAATGATTAAAAATATACAGGTAAGCAAAATTAACTCCTTTATTTCGTGATTAAACCTTCTATTTTATTGTAAAGTTATTAAATTTTACAAACGCAGCAAATAAAACAGAAAGGCTATGGAAGCTGTGGTTGTGTGTGAAGTATGGTGTCCCACAGGGGTCACTTCTGGGCCCGGTCTCATTTTTTAATCTATTTATGAGTGTGAACCCCTCTCTCTAGCACATGACATAGATAAATATGATGCTTTATGCAGGTGATACACTGATGTTCGACCCTGAAACATCCTCGACTTTATAGAAACTTACGTAGACAGAAACCTAACCCTCATATTGAAACCCATTCATCTCCACTTAACTCAATGATCGACCTCGCTTTGTTCATTTCTGTACAGAGTCCTGGTCCTGGACGGGAAACCTGAGGTCACACCTGGCAGCTCTAGACCTTGACCTCTGGCCCCTGGAGTCCTCATGGAGCTGTAAAGACAGCAAACATGTTTTTATTGTTTTGACAAAATAAATTCAAAGCAAAGAAGACTTTTGAACCAAAGTTGGTCCAGATTGATAAGGATTTGGTTTCTGAATGAGTTTGTATTTCAGATCAACTGTCCTCTCAGTATTGTAGGGACCAGCACCTCCTCAACATTTCTTCATGAAATAAAACTGCTGCAAAAAGTGTCATTAGAGTCGCTGCAGTCTCTGAAATCTGGTACAACTTCTCTGCAACACAATGATTTTATTCTGATATCAAAGTCCTGAAAACATTCATGTTTTTAATTTCTAAAGTGAAACACATGAGTAGAGACTTCCTGAAACAGCTTAAAACATTTTATTTTTCTAAGTTGACTTTTATAAAACGGACCCAATCATGAGCTGTTTCTACAAGTTTATCACTCGTCCTAAAGACAGAACTCGTTAGTCTGATTGTGGAATAAAAACTTTCTTTATGCGACTCCTTTAAAGTCAGGATTCTTGGTAGACAGTGAATACTGACTCATTGTCTGTTTGTGATTTGATCTCTGTGTGAATCCTGTTTTTTTATGGTGCTACATGATGAAGTGAGTGTCACAGTAAACTGTCTCTGAACAGAGGTCAACAGGTGAAGGACAGAGGACAGGGTTGTTAACTTCGCTGTGGTGGTGATGATGATGATGATGATGATGATAATTGAGCGTAAACATGTTTTGATGTTTATTTGCAGTCATAATTAAAGTTCCTGTTGGTTCTGAAACTCTTTCAGCTGCACTCATTTTTGTTTTCCACCACGTGTTGGAAACGCTCTGAGGTTTCCTGTCTGCTGGCGGATGTTTGTCAGACTCTGACCTCAAAGCTTCATGCTGCTGCACCCTCATTACTGTTTTTTTTTTCACTTCCTGTGTGATGTGCTGCTGACTTCCTGTTAGCACCGAAGCTGCAGAAAAAAAAATAGACTCAACAAACAAACAAACAAAGTTTCATAACCACTAAAGTTCTCAGTCATGGTGTGACAGCGAGTCAAAGTGGGTCAGCGGTCTCTTCATCATGAGGACGGGGATGAACTTTTTATATTTTTAAGGTTTTCGTTGAGAAAACAGACGAGGATATTAAATGGTTCAAACATCAGTTCATAATGATGTGGGGGTTTGTTTGTTGTTTGTGGTTTACCTCTGCACTCACATCATTCTGCACAAAAACTGAACTGTCCATGGAGAATTCAGCCAATATTTCCAAGTATTGATTTATATAGTTTTAAACCATTTTAATAAATTAAACTTCTTTATTGTTCCTTTTTTTGATGGTCATAGTACTGTTTAAAAAAAGCCTTTTGACCTTTTTTATATTTGTGTATTCATATTTTTACATCTATTCTTTTTCTGTGTTCAATGTTTTAACACTAACGTGGAGTTCTTGCATGTGTTCTTGATAATAAACCGGATTCTGATTCTAAAGGACTAAATTTCTGAGAGGGGAAACAATGACGACACAGTTCTCACAGTGGACATAAATATGTGTGGATAAACTAACAGGAGGGTTTCTTGTTCACACGTCAATCAACCGACAAAAACAAGAAGGACGACAATGAAAGACAAAAAGGAGAAGAAATAAACTTACTTTAAAATAAAGAAGATCAGACACTCGATTACAGAGGCTGACGGTTTTATCTTGGACTGGCAGAGACGATTTTCTATTTTAACCTTAATACAGTTCAGTGTTTAAAGCACCACGCACCCTCAGCAGGAAAACATTATTATTATTATTATTAATTTTATTTCCAGAGAAGAGTACTTCACAGTCACGTCTTCAGCATCAGCAGTTTTTTCTTCTCTGTTGATCACTCTTCAAATTTCCAACACCACCTCAGTTTTCAGTGTTACTTCCTGACTATTGGCCAATCAAAGTTGACAAAGGATGGACTCCTGTTAATGTTTAAAATGTTTTTATTTGGTGTTTTAAACAGATTTAATTGTTGTTTTGTTGGTTTATTCTCAGCTGTTATAGTTTTTATACTTTTTATTAACCCTTTGAGCTTTAATTTATTTTTAACTGATAATATTTTTATCATTTTAAACTAATTACACTTGATTTCTCTTTTTGGACCTTTGAATATATTTTTATCTTTTATTTTTTTAAGTTTTGATGTTATTTGTTTTATTACATCCTTGTGTGTTAGTCTCTACCTTTCCTGTTTATAATCATGTAAATGTCCCATTTTCTGTCATTAATTCTTTTATTTTCATTTGTGTTTTTATTTTCAGTGTTTGACCTGTATAAAAAGTGCTTTATCAATAAAATTGATTGATTAATCAATAATGATGTCAGCAGACTTTCTCTCTCTTGCTTTGAAACAGTTTATATAAACTGGTTTGAGTTTTCTTTAATATGATTGAATAAAAGCAAATATGGAGCACACTGAGTTTTTAAAAATGAAAAAATGGTCACCACAAAGATAAACGGAGGCGCCGCCGGCAGCGTTCATCACCTCGCAACGATAAACAGCGATGAAAAGTGTCTGACTCGAGGTTGTGGACGCTGCTAACACAAACAAACACCTGAGCAGACGTTGTCCCTGAAGAGAGGAGGCTGATGTCGAATGTAGTTTTACAGTTTTAGATTTTGGTTAAAAAAGCTTCATAAATACAGACGTAACGAAACAGCATCAGTCAACAGGACACGGACACCAAAAACAGACATGAGACCACACAGAGGTGACTCGAACCCACCCATGAAAAACTCACACAGAATAAAACATGAACCGATGAGATGGACGGGTGAGGGTCCTGATCTGGACACATAAATCTGCTGATCATAAAATAAATCAGTTTTAAAGAGAAACATGTAAAAGGACCAAAGTCAGAGATGTTAGTGAGATGATGAAAACACGACTCGACCTGCTCCGCTCTGACCGGAAAATAAACAAAGGCTGTAATGAAGCTGTCTTTTCTTTATCAAGACCATCAGGTGAACTTTGACCTTCATACTTTTCTAAAACTTAAAACCAGTCTGGATGATTTATTGACTTTATTTCCAAACTTTAGTAAAATTCACAGAGAGAGAGAGAGAGAGAGAGAGAGGGAGAGAGAGAGGGAGAGAGAGGGGTGAGGAAGTTTAGTTCTTGGATCAGGAAATGACCGAGGAGTAAAACTGTATTTTTGTGGACTCAGGGCTTTTGTGGTGACTTTATGACTCTGAGCAGGTGTGTGTGGGTCCACCTGTGTCTGTGTGTCACACCTGACACACACACACACAGACACACACACACCATGAACACACTGAGCGACACACTTATATTCACACCTGACCTGCAGACACACGTTTAGATTCATATTTATTTCAGTCTGATCTCTTTTCTCACGCTGATCTGAGGCCACACCTGAAGACACCTCAGCACCGCCCACACACACACACACACACACACACACACACACACACACTTCCTGTCCCAGCAGGCTTTGAGGCACAAACCGCTGCCGCCTCCGCCTCTGACGCAGGCGTCTTCGTGCAGCTCGTCTTCATCGGGCGACCACATCCTGTGGAAACTGTGAGGGGGATGATTTTCCAGCAGCAGCAGCAGCAGCCAATCAGATCGCAGGAACAAACACTGTGACAGATACAGATTTACACCTTTAAAAAAAGAAGCTTTAAATAAATTTACGGTGAACTAAATAAACGTTAAAGTCTTTAAGGATTAATCTGGATTATTTCATCCTCATAATCTGTTCAAATTCACACCTGTTTTCAGATAATCTCAGGTTTTACTCAAACTCTCAAACGTCTCTGTTTCCACCACGTTCAACGACCTTTAACCTTCATTTAAACAAACCAACTGAGACACTTCCTTCGACTCTGATGTATAGTTTACATTTGCTGTTATGAATATGATTATACTGTATATTATCTATGTTGTTGTTTTTATAGTTTTTATTGTTTTTATTGTTTTTATAGTTTTTATAGTTTTTATTGTTTCTGGTTATTTTACTGTAAAGCACTTTGGTCGCCCCTGTCTGTTTTTAAACATGTTATATAAATGAAGCTGACATTGACTTTCACACGTCTGCAGACCCTCAGTTTATTTTCTGCCGACTCTCTCGCCTCGTTATGAAAGTCTAAAGTTTTCTCTAGATTACTGTTACAGATTATAGATTACAGCAGATTAAAGGAAACCTGAGACGCTTCACATGAAGACACAGCCTTGACTCTCGTCTTTCAGGTTCACTCAGCGGACTGTTTCTGGATGAAAACTCTGGAGGTGAACCCAGACTGAGCTGCAGACTGACGATCACGGCGCCTTGATTAAAAACATTTTGTTCACAAATCTAAGACGGTTATCAGGTGAACGTCGAGCGTTTACAGCTCTGTAAGTTTCACACATGAGATCCCACAGCTTCAGCGTCTGTCCTTTTTCTCTCTGCTGAAGGTTCGTTCACTCCTCTCTGGACATTCATGACTTCAGGGTCAGAAACCAGAACTGTGAGCGTGCTTAGAGCGCTCAGGCCAGTCTGGGTCTGATTGTGGCGAAAACGTACAAATCGATCCACAACCACGTTCTCGGGGTTTGTTAGTCTGACCGGGAGAAATTCATTTCAGTGTGAGTTCAGCTGGACTAAAATGTTGACGTGTGTTTATCAGTTCGAGTCGCTCTCATGTGAATACGTCGCGTTTTTAACAGTCAGAGCTGAACTGGATCGTACTGATCAGGTTTTCCCTGATTCTCAGCAGAATCAATCGTCAGTGATGATCAGGAACAACATCGTTCTCAGTCCACAACAGTCCAGTTTCAGAATCAACCAGAACACAAAGTGCGCCACAAACGACATGATGACTTTTAATGATTTAACTCAAACTTTCGAGTGTTTGTCACGACCTTCTTTAACTAAATCCTTTCATACAGAATCTCTGAAAATGTTCTCGGTTTAAAGAATTATTCATATATAAGACTTCAGTGTCAAAATAGGTCAGACCGGATCCCAGTGTTTGGTTCCTGGTTAAGGCGCCCCACAAGGGTCAACTTTAGGCCCCATGCTCTTCACTATCTACATCTACGACATCCTTTCTTCTATCAACGGTTGTTCAGCTCATTTTTATGCAGATGACTCTATCTTCTAAAACAGGAAGTCATCAGGAACTTTGATCACTTTTAGTACTTTTTAAAGGTTCTTATGAACCTCATGACTCATCAAACACCTCAAAATAAAAGCAGCACACTGTGGGAGAGTGTGAGTGGAAACCAGGTGGAGTGGAAGTGGGTAGAATAACAAGCACACACACACACACACACACACACACACACACACACACACACACACACACCCAGCTGTGAGTTGCTCTGTGTGTAGTTTCCGTTCAGTCATCGTCCTGTTTCTGGTTCGTTTCCTCTCAGCTGACGCTCTGAATTCCCGTCTCTCCACCTGAAAACTGAACTCTGAAACCTCCTAATGAGTGAATATATGAATATATAAGTATATATGATATATGAATATATGATATATGTATATATGATATATGAACACTCATAACAGCTCTTATCATTATGTACCTCTTTTCTCTTTTACCTCTTTTATCTTAATTCGACTTTCTGTCTTTTTTGTCTTTGTTTTAGTTAAAATCTTTTATTTAAACTTTTATTGATTTTTCCTGCCTATTTTTTATTATTCCATTTTGTCATTAATATTACCATCATTATTATTATATGATTTGATTATCCTTATTAATATCGTCGTTTTATATTTACTATCCTGCTTCCTGCTTTCTACCCCCCTTTTTGAATGGATGAATGAATGAACGAACGAATGAATGCTTTTATTTCGGTTTAAAAACAAAAAAAAAACATATTTTTACAAAAGAACCCATCAGACAGAGAGGAATAGGCTGAAGCCCCAAGGCTTACTTTAGTCTATCCTGCACCATCATGGGAATAATTCACACTAAAACAGTTTATCATAAACTGGTCCATCATTACAAAACACAGAAGAGCTTAAACTGAAAGATCGAATTCAATCAAATTTCATCGTAATCTTTGATAATGTTACAGTCTTCTTGAAAACCAGCAGAATTACACATCTTTATTTCATCTTTATTTCATCTTTATTTCATCTTTATTTCATTTTTATTTCATGGTTTAGTCCAAACTGACCCACATCTGTACTTGGATTAGTTCTGACTTTATAAGTTTCAAAGATTAGCGCCCCCTTCAGTTATTAATCCTCTGCTTTAGCTTAAACATGTTTTGAATACTAACAGGAATTGTCTTATTTACCACTCCAAACATAATTTCTAATGTTTTTAAATAAACAATATCCAGAAATTTGATTGTTTGTGATCTTATAAAAGCTGATTTGTAGAATCACGGTATCCAACTTCATTTATTCTCCTAATAGCTCTTTTTCTCTGCAGTTTAATTATTGAATTCGTTTTATTTCCCCAGATTTCAGCAGAGTCTGTCATATAAGGCATCACGAGTGAAACGTACAGCAGATGAAGGCAGTTCTTATTCAGTCAATCTCTTGTTTTATAAAGAATAGAGATAATAGACTTGGATAATTTCTGTTTTACATATTTTATGTGAGGCTTCCAACAAACTTTATCTATTATTACTCCAAAAAACTTAGTTTCAAATACTCTTTCAATTTTCACATCGTGTAAATTCAGTTTGACCTCAGTGTTAGTCCTTTTACCACCAAACAACATAGATATAGTTTTACTTTCATTTAACAATAACTTATTTAAAGAAAACCATTTGTTTAACTTCATCAATTCTTTTCTATTTTTATTACATTTCTTTTTCTTACCTGTTTTATGTTTTTATTTTGATCCTCATGGTCTCATTTTATGTTGTAGGTTTCTTGTATAGTCTGGGTTCTTATGTCAAATTAAATTGGCCTTCGACTCAGAGGTCTTGTTTTTAATGAGCTTTTGTTTTTTACTTGTTTTTATTTCCTAATGTTCTGAGCTTTACGACTGTTTGTCTAAGCACTTTGTAAACTTCTGTTTTTAAAAGTGATATAAAAATAAAAGTTATCATTAATTAAAACAGTGATCCTTGATTCTCTGTCAGTGAAATGTCTCACTAACATGTCGACTCTGTACGTCTGTAAACACTGAGTTTATTCACAGTTAAATATGATCCCAGAACACATCAGTCATAAACTCACTGCTAAAAGCTGTTACAAATGTGTGTGTGAATACATTTAAAATGAATTAGTAGTGATTTTTAACAGGAAGTGTTACTGAGACGGTGAAGGGTTCGAGTCTCTGATCTCACTGGAGGATTCTCATGAGGTCTGGAGTCAGACGGGCCGGTTCTGGTATCGACTGATCGGACTTTCATTCTGAGTTTTAAGGATTCTGATCGTCACCTCCGGTGTCATGTTTGTGTGTTTAGCTGCTCATTGTCTGTCAGCCACCATATCCTGATTCATTAAGAGGTCACACAGTTGGACTTTTCATACTTTTCCAAACCCGACTTCTTAGAATTATTTTTGGAAATTCCTTCTTTTCTATTTTTAGAAAACAGTAAATTAGAACTGTGGTAATAGTCTGGAAACACAAATATTTTTCCATACTTTACTTTTCATTTTCCATAATTTTTCAGACCTGGATATTGATCAAACTACTTTCATACTTTTCCAAACTTTCCATACCTGCGTAGGAACCCTGAAAATACATTTACACCGAACCAGAACCTGTGACTTCAGTTTGATCATTAAATGATCCCACACAGCTCATAAAAACACCATAAAACAGCTAAATTAGTGTGTAAGTAGTAAAAGACAGAGGAAGGATTTATTTTTTAAAAGATCAATTTGATTATTAATTATTTAAAAAAGTAAATTCTGGAGGAAATACAGAAAAGGGAACATGCAGTTTACTCCAAAGTTCACCTTTTTTCAGGAGTAATGAACCACAGCAGTTTGGTCTATTATCACATGTTTTATTGAACAAGGTCACACAGAGCATTTTTTTTTCTGCTTTTGTTTTTTTTTTTTTTTACAATAGATTGAATGTAAATGAGATATTTACAAAAACAGGACAGAAAGCATCAAATTCATCATCAATTTAAAAAAACAAGACGATCACAAGAACCACAGGAAACCTTCTTTTCTGCGATCGTAGGTGGTATTTAAACACATTAACAGCAAGTATAATATCTTTACATATTATTACACAAATTACAAAGTAAGAAGACGTGGAGCTGAAGTTTCTGAGACTTTAGATCCTTCAGGAGGTTTTTCTCTGAGGAGGATCAGCCGAGTTTCTGTAAGACATAAAATAAAGATATTTAATTACTGTGTTAAAATAGACGCTGTAAACTTAAATAATAGAGTTTCAAACAGATTTTATTTATTTCTGCTTTAATTTGTAAAAACTGAGAACAGAGCGTGAGCAGGGTTTCTAAATAATCCTGCACAGAGATTCAAACCATCACAGAAACCTGATCAGACAATATTGATTATCAATATTGATCCTGATCCAGATTTGAGTGATGTCACACATGGGTTAGAGGCCGCCATATTGGAAGCTGATTCACACCAACCTCTGACTATCTAGAACCAGGCTAAGAGATGGAGGGCAAAGCCGATCCTCCTGTCAATCAAAAAGGCCACGCCCCTAACTTTTATAAACGGTTTGTGTGACTCTTAGCCGTAACAAACTGATGTGTTCCATAAAGTACGAGCAGAGTTAAGGAGACCAAAAACTCTTATTTATTAACTATTTAAGCACCAGGCTGTAAACATGCTAACTTCTGGTGTAAAGATTTACATTTTAACATGAAGCTCTATGGCGATTAGCTCACTTTTGGTGGCAGCCTTTAGTGGACATTCATGGAACTGCAGTTTTTGTAACATCCATTTGCTTTAACAACGAAAGTTTCAACCTGTCCTATAATCCTATCCTATAATTTCCTTAGGAAGCTGCGTCTTCATCCCAAACTTCTTAAATTCACACTTCCTCTCTGAGGGGAACAGATATTTATTTATCTGAACAGGAAGCAGATCCCTGAACTCCACAAACATTGTTCATAAAAGTCTGACTAAAATCTCATTCATTTGAGTTTCTCACAGCCAGACTATCGTACCTAGATAATGTAGCTGGGGTTGAATGTGTCCACCTCAGTCGGACCAAAACTGGCCTTGGTACTCTGAGAGTGCTCCAGAGTTTGAACAGGAAGTCAAACAGCGTTGTAGGAAGTCGGATTGTGAACAGAAACTCGACAGAAGAAGAAATGACGTTAAAAAAATGTCGACGAAAGTCTCAAATCGTTTGTAGGAAAAGTTCAGAGCTGTAGAGATGTTGATGTTTTGATTGTTCGACATACAGCCTGTTAACGTCTCGCTAACGTGTTTTTTGATTGTTTTGGGCCATGACCCAATAGAACCGAGCCGAGAGGGGTCACGCTGTTCCTGTTGGATTTGCTGTGAGTCGACTCTTTCAGTATCTCCAGTGTCAAAGGTGGACAGCTCCATGATTTACCATGATTCAGAGTAAAGATAACGAGCTGAATCAGTAATTATTGGAGGTATTTGTGTGAGTGTGTTGGTACTCACACTGACTGATCCACAGTCTGAACGTCAGCAGGACGTTGAAGATGATGGTCTTGATGAAGATCACCCTGAGGCCCAGGATGGTCAAAGACATGAAGTTCACCGTCGGATCTGCAAACAGCATCAATACAAATATTAAAGAAATATTTTCACATATGATATTGAATTGAAAACAGCCATCCAGTCATGTTTAGTACACACCTGGCTGCAGAGTAACTCCACAAGCACCACCTTCACTCTCCACTGAAAGAGATCACAGACGGCCGATTATTCAGGGACAGAGATGAACTTTTGAATGCAGATTAAAAACAGTTAGATATCAGTGTTATTCAGGAAGAGTCACAGACATAATGGGCCTGAGAAACAGTTTTTAAAAATGCTGTCCATGATTGAGACGGTTAGTCAGATTTACAAACTTTATCAAAGTTTACCTTTTTGGTTTATTTCTTTTAAGATCAAATTACCATGATGAGATAAAACATCAAATCATATTTTGTACTTACATGCACTGCAACTCTCCTCATTTTGGGAGTCTAGGTAGACCACCTGGTTGAAATCAGAGTCACCTTGTACTCTGACAGGTTCGGGGCCGTTGGTAAAGACAGACGTGTTCTTCGTCGCTTTGAACCTGGTGAAGTCAGTGGCCAGACACGCCTTGGTGTTGTTACTTTCCAGTTTGTAGTAGGACGGCTCAATCACTTCATCTGCAAAAACACAGAGAGAGAACTCATTAGATCTCCAACATGGACCGATAACCCTGTCCACAACCAAAAACAACAGGCTGAACACTTTTAGAGACGTGTTTAACAACTGAACATATAAAATGGAGCTGCAAAGAAATGAACTCCACAGCAGACACGACTCACAGACACACCGTGGTAGAAATCCACTCAAAAACAGACATGACCGTCTTTTCGAGCGCAGCTTCCAAATACAAACATCAGCAAATACAAACAACCCAGGAACCTTTTAAAAAATCTAATCAAGACTTCAGGATAATAATAACAAATAAAAAATACACCATTTCCTTTTTTTAAAATAAGTTAAATTCAACGTGAAAGTGCCGATACAGTCACAAAGTCAAATACAAACAATCTGTTAAATAAGGTAAAATAGTTATTTTGTGAACTGAAAATCAAGAAAACACTTTTAAAGGCTACTTGTGGCTAACTTGCAGTACCTGCACCATCCACCGGGAGGGCAAAACCCGAAACTTTAAGAATGACCACTTTTCATCCCGATTTCTTGATTTCTACTTTCTAAATGAGCGCACATCTATCAGCTCTGGTGTTTCTTTCAGTTTTTACCTTTTCAAACAGCATTAATCATTGATTGTGTCGATTTAATTTGTAAAGCTCTTGTTTAAAAAAAAGGTGCGATGATATGAATGTGAAAAACTCTGAAATTAATTTCTATATTTTATAACCAACTTACTTGAAACAATAAACACTTTGGACCCTGATCCAAACAGGAACTTCCTGTCATTGTAATTCACACATTATTTAGTTCCAATACAAAAAAGACCTGATCTAAAGTACGTGAAGCTGAAGGTTTGAAAAAGGGAGAGAAAGACTTAAACCGGAGTTTATTAAACCTTTTTTAAAAATCACGTTAACCTGAGCACAAGTGTAAGAAATCCGAGTGTCTTCATGGTGGTTTCATGTTCACACACGCCCTTTGGTTTTTAATTCAGACAAATATTCAAACTTCTATCAGTTCATTTAAAGTCTTAAATACAGCCTGTATGTCTTTTAAACTCTACTGTCAGGCAGTCCTTCTAAATATTAACCTCATTATTTCATTAAAAAGTTCACTTTTTGGTATAAAGTCTCACACTTACTCATCCCAATGAAAAGATTGATTCCAGATCCAAATATAATCCTGACGTTATCATTCACACAAAGATTCACTCAGCAGCAAAAACCTTCACAGCACTCTGGCTAAACATCGGGATATGTAGTTTTAGCTCAAAGGTTTGTGTTCATATCTGACAGGATTTCTTATTTTGAACCCAAGTGCAACCAAATTTTTTTTTACAAACTTTTGTTTTTATAAAGTAAGAAAAATAAAACTGTCAAAACCAAAAAATGAGTATATCTATTTTTTTTCAATTGAGTATTTGAAAAATAAATCTTCAGTTTTTCTTTGTTTTACCTCTTAATGATTTTTTTTTTTTTTTTTTTGTAGATGAGTAAAAGTTTCATTTTTGTTAAGAAACTGTTTGACTGTTTCTACTACAGGTTTGTGATTTTTGTTAAACAGGTATCAATAAAGTTAAGAGATGGTTTTACATGTTTTTTAAAGTAATATTTTCTGTGGTGTATGATCGTAATCTTTAACCCTGATGGTAAAAACCATGGCACTGATAATAACGCAGAAACTTTTTCTAAAATATTCAGAATAGTTCAGATATTAGGAAAAAGTGAAGGAATGATGAACTTACTGGACTGAATGAATAATCTGGTTCCAAACCCAAATCTAAGTTTGTCGTTATTCACGTTCACACAGCGACTAAACTGATGACGAATACTCATTCAGATGTTCAGCTCTCAGTATCAATCATTACAGAGACAGAATAACACTAATCAATAATCTATGCTCCACGGTTTGTTTGTAACGGTTTTGATTATAAATCTGTGAGCCGTTCAAAGTCAAACTTATTACAGTGTTTTTCTGATGAATGTGTGTTTAACATTTCCAGTTCAGTGGCTTCACATTAAAAAAAGTCAAAACTGAATTTAATTTATTGAGCCGTATTCAAACTTACATTTTACACCCACTAATCATTTTAATTTTTTATGAAAACAAATATTCATCACCTGGATTGTCATTATTTTAAATGTTATTAAGACTTGAGATGAAACATTAGATTTCCCAGATTATTTCAATCAATCTATTTTTATTTATATAGCACTAAATCACAACAATCGTTTTCTTAACACACTTCTCAACAGACAGGTCTAGACCAAACTCAATTCCTAACACTAAACTGCCGTAACTGCATTAAAAAAGGATCATATAAAAGACTTCACAAAATCTCTGACCATTTTAAGATACTAAGAACTTTTCAACACTTTTTAATTTTTATACTCAGCGAGTTTTATAAAGGAATTAGATGGAGCATCACTTTTTGTTAAAAAAAAAACATTTTAAAAGACAGATGAGCAGTTTTGTCAAATTCAAAGGTTTGAAGGATAATTAGGATGCTAAACACTTAAAATTCATTTTAAACAGTCACACAGATATAAGTATCGACCCTGTTTATACTGAGTTATATTTGTAAATTGATCTTTTAATAACTTGACCATTGAGTGATTGTTCCATCACTGTTAAGACAAAAACAGATTTAAATAGTCCCCTTCTCTACATTAATATTAAAACTGCACACTTGTGTTTGTGTATTGTGTTTGGATCTGTTTGTTGTGTTTTGACTCACTTGTTTGAATGTTCACGTTTATTCCAGCCCCAAAGATGATTTTTTGTCCAGCAGCGTTCACACAGTGCACACCGCAGCACAAATAACCCAGACAGAGATGAGACCCTCAAACTGAGCTTTACTACATCTGTCAGAATTCATGATCGACTCGATGATCCTTCTGTCTAAATGTTATTTGATAAACTGCCAGAAAATAAATTCACATTAATTTAAATGTTATATTTTGTGGATGTCGTTTTGAGTGCGCCATGTTTCGTGGATGTTTGATTTTCATTTTATTTGTACAAATATGACAGTGTTGTCATTTTTCAGTACTTAATATTAAGTGTGATCTTGTATAAGTAATGTGTGTGTGTCATTGATTTTTGTTGTTGTTGCTATTGAAAATGTTAAAAAGATGTTGAAACTGGTCTACCATCCCTCCCAAACTTCACCAACTGTGTTTCTAATTTCCAAAAAACATAAAAACACAACGGTCGCGCTTTGGTGATGAAGTGTGAATGTTCAAGTTGAAACTGAAATCACAGATATAACTTTCTCAAATTAAATAAAATAAAAAGTCAGTTTCTAAATGATTTTACCTGAAAAAACATTCAGTCTGGTTCCTGCTCCAAAATAGAGTTTGTTCCATCCATCATTCACACAATCAGTAAACACACAACATTAACTTCACCTGCAGTGTCTAAATGATGAATAAATCACTGCTTTATAAAAGAATCGGTTTCTTCTTAAAACTATAAATTTAAAACATGAAAGAAAACTCAGATCATCTCAGAAATAATATTAAATAATATAAGACTGATAAGTTCAGATACTGATAATGATTTGACCTAAAGGTCGTCTTTAGGTTTCAGTAAGAAGGTAAGTTTGTTTTTCTTTTTGCTTATTTATCAGACAGCAGGACCACTCTAATGAATAAAGTTATTGAACTATATTAACTTTCTTGTTTTTATGTCAGCTTATATTGAATATTGAATATATTTAAAGTAGTTATTTCTAGTTTATGGCTGATTTACTGCTCCTTAAAGAAATTGAATTGAACTCACTTGTTTCAACTAAAAGACGAGTTCCTGACCCGAACACAAGTCTTTGGAGTCCAGACTGAGTCACACATCCCGCACAGCTCTGACAAGAACTTTACTGCTGCGTAATTTAAAGTGGTATGGACACCAGCCAATCAATTGTCAAAGAATGACCAAAGTTCTCGTTATGTCAACGTCTGAAAATGATCTTAAAAAGAGGTTTAACTGTTTTTAGAGGCCAAAGCTTTTCTGACCTTTATATCTCCTTTTCTAACCAAACCTGTACTTCTCGCCTTCGCCTCTTGTTTATCCTGTTTATCTTGTTTATTGTTTTACCTTGTTATCCAGCCTCATTAACTACAGCTCTGGTGACACTTTATACTCTTTTAAAATGAGAATTTCTCTGTAATTCAGTCCTACTACATAAATAAAGAATAAAAGTTCTGATTTATTCTTACTGGATTGTACGAAGAGTTTGGTTCCTCTCCCAAAGATGAGTTTACGAGCAGCGTCATTCACACTGTAAATGTTCTCACCACAAGAACCTCTGGGCTTATGAACAGTCTCAACTCCACACTAAATAACGTCAAATATTTTAGGAAGAATAATTAAAAAAAAACATTATTAGATGATCCGTCTAAGTCTTTCAGTTTCCTGGAAATGTTTAAGTTTAAAAACACAGCCGACATGGAGTTGGGAAAAGCATTTATGAAAATTGGGTTGTAACTTTAGAAACTTTAACATCTTAAAAGCGATTCTCAACGTAAAGCAGCAAATCGAGGCTTGACGATATTTTCAAAGTTGTGTCTAAAAAAAAAATTGAAGTTTACAAATTCAGAAAACCTTTAAACCCTGATTTAACAAACGATTTCTTTAAAGAAATCATCTTAGATATTTCAATGTACAGTTTGAAGATTAAAAGGACTTACTACTTTGAACCGTCAACCTTGAACCAGATCCAAAAATTATTTTGTTTGTCGCGTAGTTCACACAGTAACACATCTCAGTGCAAATACACTGCAGGAAATAATCTCTGGACTTCAATTTAAATAATCTGGAAATAATCCAACAGATCAGATTTAATCTGACTAACACTACAAAACAAAGTCTTCGACAGACGGTGAACTTTGGGGAGACCGGCACAGTATGATAGAGAGTTATTTATGTAGTTATTTATGAAATAATGAAAATTCAGTGTCTTACTGTTTTGTATTTTTAGTTCAGTCCCTCCTCCAAATAAGAGTCTTCTTGTCCCGTCATTCACACACTGTCATACTTCACTACATAAACTAATAAAGAGGAAACACATGAACCAGCTTCACTTTTACATTTAAAAAGGAATACTTAACAATTATAGAAAGTAAAAATAAAACAAAAATCAGCTTAAAACTTAATATTGAATTTCTCCTCAGGGATAAATAAAGTTCTTATCTTTATGAATGAAGAAATGAAATATTCCAAATGTAGATAAATGCTGAAAAGGTTTGTTTAGGAGTTTTGTTGGTTTGCTAAAAAGTCAAAGGATGATAATAATGTTAGAGTCGAGTTTCATTTTTAGATTCAACACCAAAAACATACAGAAACAACGAATTTAGACCAAAGAGATGATTTTGTTTGTTTGACAGCAGGAAACTTAATCCACCACAGATAATTAATCTACAACTGAAACATAATCGGTATCATGTTTTGGAACAATGTGTCCTGATCTGATCAAAGTTCAAGAGTCGGAGTAATTGATTTGAGTCGCTGAACTGGACTACACCTCTGATGTATTCCTGATGGTTTTTCTTAAATTATTTAAAGATAATAATTGTGACTCACTGGTTTCAATGATCAGTCTGGTTCCTTTTCCAAAGATGAGTTTTCTCACTCCAGAGTCAGTCACACAGTTCTCAACTACAAACCAAAAACTGGAACAGGTTTGGGTTTCGCTTTATTTAGTAATACTTAAAAATATAATGCCTTTAAAAGAGATCGGTGATTAGAAATTTAAATCTGCAGAGGTGCAGGTATCAGGCTTATACTTACTCTCTAAAACACAACAAAAGACTCAGTTTATGAATATATGGTATTAAAAGAGGTAAAAAAAAAAAAAAAAAAAGAACATTAAGCACATTTAACGTTTCCCTGGACTGAGCTGTTTTAACTAAGACATAAATGAAGTAGTGAGATATTTTAATGAAGCCTTTGGGTCATTATATGAATAAAATAAACTCTAAACACAAATTTCACAAACTGCTGTGAAATCACAGTGAATCTTGTCTCCTTTGAAACTGGTATTTTTTAAATGCTGCCGGTCTCTGTGAAATACCAAACAGAATTTCATTTTTAACAACAACAATGCCAATAGTCACATCTCGTCTCATGTCCAGACTTACTTGACTTGACCATCAATTTGGTCCCAGAACCAAAATACATCCGATAATTTCCCATTCCAGTCACACTGTGATTCAAACACCGTCAGAAACACTGACCTCAGACCAGAAATGACTGACAGCTACTGTTTAAAATTTACAACTTCAAAATTTCTCATTCACATTTTTAAATGAATGGTAATCACGATTACTTATTAAGAATTATTTAATATATTGCCTGTCATTTGTAGTGACACAAATATTAAAACTGAAGTAGAAATTCAGTGATTACAGAATTAGATAGTGGAGTTTGTGTCAGTCTTTAGGTGATAAAATTAAACTTACTTGATTCGACTGTCAGTTTAGTTCCAGAACCAAAAAACATCCTATTTACTCCGGATCGAGTCACACAGTGCTTCGAACAACTTCACGAACACTGACCTCAGATCAGAACTCTGTCAGAGATTTTTAGAAAATGTACCTACTATAAATGAAGAATTTAACAAATCTTAAAAGTTTTTCTTTTCACCCTTTTTTCAACTCCATTTGAGCTCAAACAATAAAGTTTAAACTGACAGAATTAAATGTGAAGTATGAAGAAGTTAGACAACTAGACTTGTTTGAAAAGGTATTACAACCATTATTGTTGCACAGAATTAACATTTAATCTCAACTCTCTGTCCTATCAAATTCGTAAGCACATATACACTTCACTGATTTAGAAAAATTGACTAACTCAAACTTTCAGAGATTTAGTTGAGGACTTAGTGGCTCAATCATGACTTTAATTTAATGGGTAACATGTTTGACAACTATGGCAGCTAATTTCATAATTTTCTGTAGACAGTGAACGGAGTAGAGAAAATATCTCACAAAATGATGATGATGAAAATAAAGCGTATGTAGAAATTAAGTAAATGCAGAGTTTAAAATGGTGTAAGCATCAAAGTTTAGGTGACACACAAAAAAAAAAAAAAAATATATATATATATATATAACTTACTTGTTTCTACTGTGAGTTTAGTCCCTGACCCAAAATACATCCGATAACCTCCAGATCCAGTCACACCGTGATCCAAACAACTACAGAAACACTGACCTCAGACCAGTGCTGATTCTGACGGCTGCTATTTAAAATTTATGACTTATTATTATGTAATTTTAACATCTGAATGGTTTGGAAAACAGTTCAACAAAACATTGTTTCTGACTGACAGCATTAAATATTTGGTAGTTCTTTTCTCGAGAGATCTTTAAATCCAAAAAGTCAAACTATCGTATAGAGCGCCAAATCATCAGCATATGAGCAGTACAGTATTTCTAAGTTATTTAAAATTTTCATGTTTCTTGTTATCCTTGTAAAAAAAAAAAAAATGGTCAAATTAACCAGTTACTTTATTTACAACTAAAATATGCAATTGGATTTGTTAAAAATACTCAGCTGCCATTTCATCATGAAGATTAACATTTTAAGATGCACTGGATTGGATTATAAAAAAATAACTCAAGTGAATTTGATTTGTATGGTTACTGGGTTTTGTCCTCTAACCCAAGTTAACTCATATACAGTATTATAAGTTGTATTATAAGAATTTCAGACATATTTTTCAGGTTTTATCTTGTCTTACTTGTTTCTACATGCAGAGTTGTTCCGGAGCCAAAGAGAAGCTTCCCTCCAACATTCACACAATGAAAGAGTCTATACAAAAACAACTACAACATTCTGCAAGACTAAATTAGATAACTAAAAGTCTTAAATTTGATCAAATTTTTTGCTTTTATACTTTATATTGTACTCACTGCTCTCCACTGTTAGTTTGGTCCCTTTTCCAAAAATTAGCCTCCCTCCAGCTGAAGCAGTCACACCGTGAAGTTACACTGAACAAAAATGTCCCGGACTGTTTTCTCTGTTTAGAAACTATTTGCTCATTTTTATGAATGTCTAATACATTCCAAACAGTTTTTGAGTACTGTCCACAAATTATTGGATGGACAGAAAAGGGATGCATTTCTGGCAGATTTTTAATGTTACTAAAGTTGGTGTGAATCTGAACGTTTACCAAAACAAGTTACACAGAAAAATAATTCCCATCACACAAAAATGTGTTGGAGAAATGAAACCCACCAAATGTTTTATCTGTTACGTATTTCTTCAAGTTTAAAATTAGGTGGGGAAAAAAAAACAGAATTGAATCAGTTTAAAGTTAAACATTATTCTCCATAAAATAAGAAAATATCTCACCTGATTCAACTAAAAGTTTGGTGCCAGAGCCAAAGATCAGTTTGTTGACTGACACACTATAAACAACCTCATGACATAAACCAGTGGGAATAAAAACACAAAGTTACCTATACTAACTTTATGAAAACTAGTTTCATTCACAAATATTTTCATGTTCACGGAATCTTAAATAACATGTTTTTGTCTGAAGTTCAGATTTCTCTGCCTTCTGTTAAAGAAGCTAAACGACATTTCAGAAAGTTCAGAGCTGGGTTAAAAAAAATAGGTACCAGGTATGAAAGCTCAAGGTAGTCATTTTAAATTTACACTTGTTAATAATTATTCATCATTATACTTCTTACCTGATTCAACATTTAGTTTGGTGCCAGAGCCAAAGATGAGTTTGGTGTTTGAAGACAATGTCACACTATGTACAATCCAACTACACAAACCAGTGGGACTGCAAACCCAGTCATGTACTAACTGTTTGAAAACCAGTTTAATGCAAAAGTATTTTTGGATCCACAGAAAATATAACTTTCCCGAAATGAGACTTCAGAGAACAGAAATATTGTAATATTTAAAAATTTAAAGTACAAAATTTTCTGTCTGCAGAAGCTAAAAAACATTTCAGGTTCTTTAGATTAAAAAAAAAGTTAAAGGCTGAACTTTTTATAAGATTAGCTATTGTTTCTTTTAAAATCTGCAAAATCTTACCTGATTCAATCTTGAGTTTGATACCAGCGCCAAAGATTAGTTTGGTGTTTGAAAAATCAGTCACACCATGAATCAACAAATAACATAAACCATCAGCTTAGAGACGAGTTATTTTCCTCATGAGACAAACTATTTTTATCAGATCAGGTTATTAAAAAGTATATTAACCCTCAAACTGACAGATCTGAGATGACAGAAAATACATAATGTTACATAATGTTATATGTAAAGATTGGAAAGACATTTCAGCTTGACCCATAAAACCAAGTGCTGGTATTTGGTGGTTTTAGATTAAACATTGTTTCATAAGAAAAGAAACTTACCTAATTCAACTAAAAGTTTAGTTCCAGAACTAAAGATGAGTTTGTTGACTGAAGTAGTAGTCACACTGTGAAAACCACATTTACATTAACTGGTAGAGTTATAAACACACAGCTATTTAAACTACTTTTACCAAAACTAGTTAACTCCAAGAAGAGTTTAAAATCACTGAATAAGATTATGTCCAAAGTAAAACAAGTGAAAAATCTTTTTTTTTCCCCCAGAAGTTTTTTGTTTTTTTTTCCTGAACTGAGCAGGTGAACTGACTAAATTATGTTTAGGTGAATAAAATATCTTACCTGGTTCAGTTACTAATCTGGTGCCAGAACCAAAAATGATTTTGGAATTTGAGAGTCCAGACACACCGTGAATAACCCGACTACATAAAGTAGATCACTTAAAGACTAGTTTGCATAAGTTGCAAGAGAAGTTAATTCAAAACAGTTTTTATATTTACAGAACGGATTAAGTGCTGCTATGAGGTTTTAAAGAAAGAGAAACAATAAAAAATATTTTTGTCTACAGTGAACCTTTTTGTGTCTGCTGTTTGCTTCGATTTTAAAAACGTTAGATACAGGTCAGGAGTGGCTAAATTTGGCCATTTTTGATTATTTAATTTTTGTCTTATCTGCTGAAACTTTTAGTTTGACAACAGAACCAAAGATTAGAGTTACTGTGGCCGGATACACAGTCAACAACCAGAAAACATTATCTACTGGGTTAAAAATATGGAGACATCCAAAAATATGTTCATATTTTACAGAGAAGATAATAATTAGATATTAGAGAAAAACACTCATGAAAGCTGATTTCTTTTTTTCTTTTTTTTTTGTATGTACCGAGCTGATAAGAAATTTCAGCAAAGTTTTAAACATAGAACCAAGTAAACTAGATTAATTTTGTAATTTTAGATAATTTTTTTTCTTTAAATAAACAAAATCTTACCTGATTCGACTAAAAGTTTGGTGCCAGAACCAAAGAAGAGTTTGAAATTAGAAGAGCCAGTCACACAATGACCAACCCAGTAACATAAACCTTTGGGTTAAAATAATGGGCCAATATCACTCGTAATAAAGTAACATCAATACAGGAAACATACCATATATGACTATAAAAACTGTTATATTTGTTCTACATGTTCAAAACCAATAAACACAAATACTATCATAGAATTAGAGTTTTTTAGAACAACTAGTTTTTCTCTCCACCTGTAAGTTTGGTGCTGGATACCATTGGACAAATGACAAACCAATAGTCTTTAAGGTTTGTTGTGTTTTGCAAACTTTTCCTTTTTTTTTTTTTTTTTGCATTAAGGTTAGCTAAAGGTTTAAATTCCTCTCTTGGACCTCAGCCATAAGTTTTGCAACTTTATAATTAACTTACTTGATTCAACTGTCAGATGTGTGCCAGAACCAAAGATGAGTTTAGAGTTTCCATATCCATTCACACAATGGGAAACACAACTGCATAAACCGAGAGGTTACCGACAAGGACTGTATCCCAATGAAACTATGACTGCTCCATCAATAATGGGAAAATTATTGACAATCCATTAACAATTAAATGATATAAAAGGAATTAAAACAGCTTAATTGGAATTGAGAAAAGAAGTTCCATGACTTTAGAAATGGAAATGCTGCCATTAATTTTTTAGAAATAAACACATACAAAATCTGACTAAAATGGTTTAAAAGATGGATAAATGACTAGAATAAATGTGTATGAAATGTCATTATCTTTTGGCTTAGTTTTTTTTTTTTTTTTAAGTAAATGAGTTATTGGTGTAGAAACAGTCAAAATAACCTGAACACAGAGAAACTATTGGTCAAGGATCCTTTCTTTAAAAAAACAAATGTAACTTACTGGATTCAACTTTTAGTTTTGTGCCAGATCCAAAGTAGAACTTGTTCCCATAATTAGTCACACAGTCAAACATCCAATGACTTTAACCCTGAGATTGACTCCATGGTGTCAAGAGTTACTGAGGCAAAACTAAACTGGGCCAAAACTCATCAATTCTACAAAATGACGCTTCTTATTTAATGTTTGATTATGAAATCTGTTGTCCAAAAATTCAGGTTTTTGACTTTATCAGTACTTGAATCAAGTATGTGTTTTCTGCAGGAAAACTGAGAATTTAACAGTTTTTAATTCCGGTTTATAGTCTGAATGGTCTTTATAACCCCAGATTAACAAACACAGTGTCATGTACTCTCAAGCAAAAGTCCCATGTGACAACCTAAACTGGAAAAGAGTTAATTTATTCAAAGTTATCTCTTATAAACTCTCTCCAGCTAAAAATATTAGAATGAAGTGGCAATTTAATGAAATTAAGTTTTACATGTGATACCTTTCAGGATGTTTCTCCAGTTTCAATTACGTTAAGAAATTTTCTACCTGGATGCTCTGCAGTTGTGTATTTGTGTTTAATGTTATTACTCACAATAAAAAAATCTCATATCATTGCTAATTTGTCTTGAAAATCTAATCTGTGAAAAACAACAGGGTGTGTTTGATGAGCTCAGTGTTAAAAGAAGCTGACAAAACAGAAAGATTTTTCTATTTAAGTATGATCTGTAATTTTTCCAAAGATTATTGAAAATATTTTACATGAAATTGTGAAAAAATTAATACTCACTGGCTTCAACAGTCAGTCTGACGCCTTCACCAAAAACTATTCTCCTTCCTGCCCCATTCACACAATGTTTACGCCCAGAACAATAAGTGATGCTGAATAAAATAAAGATTTGTATTGACAGAATTACATCTGAATTTAAGACATAAGTGGCTGTTTGATTATGTTTATACTTAATAAAATAGTTTAGATGGTAAAAGTTGAGACCTGATGTTCAAACTCAGTGTTATCTGAAGAACCATGTTATCTATGGCGATGACTGGCCTTTACTTTTGAATACATTAAACTTGACCAGAAACAGGAGGCAAAGAGTTACAGTGAAAAAACTGTGAAAAGTTTTTAAATTCATGGTACTCACTGAACTCTACAGTAAGTTTGGTTCCTTCTCCAAAATAGATTTTCCCGGTTGCTCCTCCAACATTCACACAGTGCCTCTGACCTGAACAATAACCATCTCTAACAGCTCACCAACAAGCTCCACTTTTATCACATTATCAGAAACTGAAAAACCTTTTTTTTAACCAAATCTGTTGTCCAGAGTGGGTTTTCAAAAAAATCAAGAAATATTTAAATGAGAGTTCACTTGTTAAATACTTAAAAACAGCGAATCATATTTAATTTCACCTATTTTTTGCAATGCAGCAGGTTCAAATTGTGTGCACTGTTAAAACACACTACGAGTTTGTCCTGTATTTTCATCAGTATTGATAAATTAAAAACCTGAACGTTTGTACACAAAGAAAAAATTATATATAGACAGAAAGTTCAAGAATAGTTAGTAAATTGGCTTTTAACACTTCTCTTACTTGTTGTAACGGACTTATAAGGAACATAAATTATTTTTTTTTATTAACAAATCATCAAATATTGACTGAGATAATTATACTTAAATTGATCAATACAATAGCTTTGATATAAAAATTGATTGAACTTACTCTTTTCAACAGTCAATTTGACGCCCTTCCCAAAAAACAGATTCAAGTTTCCAGTCACACAGTGTTAGCTCTCTCTACAAAAACACATTTAACCCAATAGAAGCAAATAGAATCACATGATCTACAAACAGATACAAATTTATCAAATTATAATTACAAATGTTTGAATTTGGGGTTCTGTTGAGTTAAAAGGATCAAAATATTTTGGTAGACAGAAAGCGCTCAATCAAGACGGTTGAATTTCTGAAATCTGAAGATTGAATTTGAATTTTTTCTGTCTCCATCTCAGTTTTGTGTTGGTCTGTATCGCTAACAGCTGTCTTAAAATGGCCTTTTTTAATGAAATGTTTATTTCCATTGTTTGAGGAACAGGACAAGTACCTCTGAACGTTTCTACATCGCTGCTGGAGTTGGTGGAGTAAAATACTTCAGAAAGAAAAGCAAAATAAACTTACGGTTTTTGATCCTAATTTATCTTTCCTTGAGGGGCCAATCTGTTTGTTGCTCTAACCCTAAATATACATTTTACTTTTAATTTACTTGTTAGAAACATACAGAAGAACTGATTTTTGCATAATCAAAGCAGATAAATGGTCAGCTTAATGAGTTTGGCTTTTTTGTTTAGTCATAATTGTTATTAATTAAATGCAACTTACTGTTTTCCACAATCAGCTCAACACCCTTCCCAAAATATATCTTCCGACCTCCTGTCCCAGTCACACATTGTTTGATCTCTCAACAAAAACTGCAGCAAAAGCTGACAGTAACATGATCAGATCATCTGTGTGTTGGTAGAAATTCGGCTGTTTGCAGTGATTAATATGTGGAGTAATGGTTCTGTTTGGTCAAACAAATCACAACAGTTTAAAAAAAATAATAATAATTAAAAAGTATTTTGACCTCTTGTAGAAACTGAATCAGAATTTTCCTTGTCACCATCTTGGCATTTTGTTTTCTCTATAAAAACCTTCAGCTGTTCTCGATCCACTTTTCTATGTTCTTAATTATTGTCTCAACATTCAGACTAAAAGAGGCTTCACAGGTTTTTAAAATAGAATAGAAAAGCTATTTGTGTAGAACAGGTACATTGAATTTAATATGCATCATGCGTTGTGTCAACTTAAATAAATTTAAAAGATAAAAAAGCAGAAAAGTACTTTCTTGATTATAAGATCTTGTTTACTTATTTAATGGACTTCTTAGAAACAATGTGAAACTGTCAGCTAAAATTCAGGGAGTCCTTACAATTGAGTCAATACAAATCTCAATTTTTTTTAAAAATTATGATTATTAAAAATAACTGAATTAGACTCACTGTGTTCCACCTTCAATTTGATGCCGTTCCCAAAGATTAGCTTTCTACTCCCTGTCCCAGTCACACAGTGTTAAATTTCTCAACAAAAAGAGCAGCACATTAACTTAACAGAAACTAATGTAATCATATTGTCTGCAAATGGTGGAACTTTTACCAACACACAATTAGAACTGAAGTGATACAGGGTTGTTTCAAGTTTAGAATTAGGTTTGTAACAGAGTTTTATCCCAATAGAATAGAGTCCATGTCTTTTTTGCCTCTTTTTTTTGTTATACATTTATATGTAATAAAAATGCACATAATGCCGCTACAATATCAAAAAGTTCACTTGGAGTGGAGTTATGTCTTTTCAATAAATTGGAGATAATTGATAACAACTAATACTTAATGATCTCTACAATAGGTGATTTAAACAATCCTCATTGTTCAGTCGATAAACAGTTATTAATATTAACGTAACTTAACTTACTGTTCTCTACAGTCAGTTTGACGCCCTTTCCGAAAATTATTTTCCAGTTTCCTGATCCAGACACACAGTGTTTGTTCACTCTACAAAAACTGAGGCATGTTAACGGCAATGAAACAAATAAGATCATATCATCTGCAAACTGTTGAATTTATTTATCAGCATAAAGATGATTTCTGTAATGAATGTAATACTCAGGAAACAGGATTTTGGTTTCGTCCAGACTCTGAGTTTGTATTTTCTCTTTATTGCTCTGAGCTGGATTCTTGGTGTTATTGGTGTCCGTTTTGTTTTTAGATCACAATTATTCTATGCAGTGATTCTGTTTTTTTGTGTATGTTTTGTTTACTAATCATCTCAGCAAATGTTTTTCTGTTTTAAACTATTTTTGTTTTAATATTCTTGCTTCTCTTCTTTAAAATGATCACTTAAGTATGCTTAGATCTTTCTGTTTATAATGACTTTTAAAAACCTTTTGAGTGTTAATTCTGTGTGTAATTTTTTCAGTAATCCCAGCAGTTGTAATTACATCTTTTAACACTCAGAGGTGAAAACTGAACAGCATGATGAACCAGTTCAGGTTCTTTATACTCACTGCTCTCGACTGTTAGTTTGGTCCCTTTTCCAAAAATCAGCCTCCTGTTTCCTCCAACATTCACACAGTGAATCTGACCTGAACAATAACTGGACTGTTTCATCCTCAAGCTCTACTGCTGACATTTTGTACAACTATAACATTTAGTTCAATCACAATAAGACTGCATAGTATCACTAGAAAATCATTATTAATCCCATTTCTCTGCAAGTTTAATTTTTAATAATAATAATTTTGCTACATGGAAAATGAAATGTGAAGAGAATTTGTTGTAATTTCATGAGCTGGTGTATGATGGGAGTCAATGCAGATTAGGATATACAGTTTTTATTTGAATCAAGTATGTGTTTTCTGCAGGAAAACTGAGAATTTAACAGTTTTTAATTCCGTTTTATAGTCTGAATGGTCTTTTTAACCCCAGATTAATGAACACAGTGTCATGTACTCTCAAGCAAATGTCCCACGTGACAACCTAAGCTGGAAAAGAGTTAATTTATTGAAAGTTATCTCTATAAAACTCTCTCCAGCTAAAAATATTAGAATAAAGTCGCAATTTAATGAAATTAAGTTTTACATGTGATACCTTTCAGGATGTTTCTCCAGTATCAATTATGTTAAGAACATTTCTACCTGGATGCTCTGCAGTTGTGTATTTGGGTTTAATGTTATTACTCACGATGAAAAAAATCTCATATCATTGCTAATTTGTCTTGAAAATCTAATCTGTGAAAAACAACAGGGTGTGTTTGATGAGCTCAGTGTTAAAGGAGCTAATAAAACAGAAAGATTTTTCTATTTAAGTATGATCTGTAATTTTTCCAAAGATTATTGAAAATATTTTTCATGAAACTGTGAAAAAATTTCTACTCACTGGCTTCAACAGTCAGTCTGACGCCTTCACCAAAAACTATTCTCCATCCTGCCCCATTCACACAATGTTTACGCCCAGAATTACATCTGAATTTAAGACATAAGTGGCTGTTTTAATATGTTTATACTTGATAAAATAGTTTAGATGGTAAAAGTTGAGACCTGATGTTCAAACTCAGTGTTATCTGAAGAACCACGTTATCTATGGCGATGACTGGCCTTTACTTTTAATGCAACAAAAACTGAAAAGTTTTTAAATTCATGGTACTCACTGGACTCTACAGTAAGTTTGGTTCCTTTTCCAAAATAGATTTTCCCGGTTCCTCCTCCAACATTCACACAGTGCCTCTGACCTGAACAATAACCATCTCTAACAGCTCACCAACAAGCTCCACTTTTATCACATTATCAGAAACTGAAAAACATTTTTTAAGCTTTTTACAGTAAGTGACCACATAAACGTAACTATCTCACCTACAGACAGTAATTTTAATAAAGTCTCTCAAAGTGAAATCTGTAAAAACTTAACATGATCAGATGATAAGACTTCCCAGTGTTGATGGGAAAATACTCGGTCCTTTCCCATCTTTATTTAATGATTTTAAAGTTTCATCATTTGTACATGTATCAGTTGAGTGTTTGCGTTAACTTTCTACTGATTTAAACATGTAAAAATAACGTCACCATATATTACTCTAGTTACTCCTATAGTCATTGTTTTTTTTTTTAAATTTCTTTATTTTGGTGGAAAACTAAAAAAAAAAGCTGATCAGAAACCTGAATTTTGTCGTTTTATATTTTCATAAATTACATTTTTTTTGTACAAGTAGACAGCGTGTTCAGGGACCTGTCCAAAAATCTTTGACAGACTGGGTGAAAAAGCAGTTTACTACAGTGGGATCTGTTTCTGTCCTGGGATTAATGTCAATATTGAACAAGTCCAGAAATAAAGGGTTCAATACTCACTGGTTTCAACAGTCAGTCTGACGCCTTCACCAAAAACTAGTTTCCCTCCTGCCCCGGTGTAAGTCACACAGTGTCTACACTCTGAACAATAACTGATGGGTAAGGACAGAGTACATTTATCACGTAACTGGCTGTTTTAGTATGAATTATACTTGCCAGATGGGGGACTAATCAGGAACATTGATTTTAGATGGATTATTGGAGCCCCAGAGTTATTTTAATTAAGTTGTGAAGAAGAGGTACACAAACACTAAAACTATCACTCGACCACGACAGACAGCTGATAATATAATTTCTTATTATTTGACCCTGTCTGTATGTTGGTCTTTTTACAGCACTGCTAAACTGCTGTGGTATCAAAGCAATGACCGGCTTTTACTGTTCGTTTCAGACATAATAAACCCAAACATAAAACACCTGTTTGTTTTTTTACTGTAATAAATATGTAAATTCACGGTACTCACTGGACTCTACGATAAGTTTGGTCCCTTTTCCAAAATAGATTTTGTAGTTTCCTCCTCCAGTAGTCACACAGTGTTTCTGTCCTGAACAATAACTACAGCAGACTACTCTGCATAAGTACGAACTTTGAACACTAAATTACAAATAAAAACTAAAGGTTAAAGACAGATGGTTAAGATTAGAGATTTAAGCGCTGTGAAACTTTGTCTTCATCATAACCAAATACCACAACGACAAAAAGTGGATTCTTAGAACAATTTTAACAAACAGTTTTTAGTTTCACTCATTTGCCCCTAAACTGTATTTAGCTTTATGAATGTGCCTCTCTCCCTCTTGCATCAACAGCATTTCTTATAGATTTAATATCTAAATGTACGACATGTTGATACTTACTGGTCTCCACTGTTAGTTTGATTCCTTCTCCAAATATGAGTTTGAAACTTCCTGACCCTGAAGTCACACAGTAGATCTGAGCTCTACAAAAACCACACGGACTATCACGGACTACGTCTGCTTAAAACAGACCAATTTACATCAAATCAGTAAATAACTTTTTCTGATTTAGACATGTTTTTTGTTGGACAGTAGCAAAGGTGTTTTTTTTTTTTTTTTGGTTCCAAAATGACATTAAACCATTAAATGTCTAATTTCAGCTAAAATCCTTTTAAAGATGAAATCATACTCACTGGTGTGCACTGTTAACCGTGTTCCTTCTCCAAACAGTAATCTTCTATTTCCTGATGTAGTCACACAGTGTTTCTGCTCTGACCAAAAACTACACAATACAATCACATCGTCTGCATACAGACACACTTTTTATTGAATGTGTAGTTTGATTATACTGGAGTTTAGTTTTATGACTGGAAAAAAGAATTTGAGGAATTATTTCTTAATTTTTTAAAAATCTTTTTTTCTGACAGCACCGATCAGTGAAAAGGAAATATTTGGTGTAAAGGCGTAAAACTACTCTAAAGAAACCATGAAAAATCTTGTTTAGAATTTGGAATAAAATCAACATAAAATTAATTATAATTGACCCAAAATTTAAGATTTGGAGCCGCTCATGGGTTAAGAAAAGAACGTATTATTGCTGTGAAGCAAAACTTAAAACCGCTGAGCTTTTGCATATTTGTATAATAAAGAATCAACCTGTCTGAAAAAAAAGAGGCAGTGATGGATTTCACCACATCATCCTCGAACTGTTGCATTTACCAAAAAATAAAAAAGATGAAAAAGTGAATCACATCTTTAGCTGGAATACAAGCTTTTTTAAAATGTATTTCAGTCAAGAGTCTGTCAAGATGAAAATGTTTTAACTCTTACTCTTTTGATTATTTTCTATTTTATTTAAATCAAATTAAATCATCAAAGTTTTAGTTCCACATTTACGACCCACTAATTCATTATCAGTACTTACTAGATTCAACATGTAATCTGGTTCCACTTCCAAAGATGATCTTAAACTGGTTCCCAGTATTCACACTATATGAAGCCCCATAACATAAACCCAGTCTGAAGTCAGTGTGATCAGCAGCACCAATCCTCAGGCAGAAAATCTGGATTTTTACATTTTGGATTTAACTAGATTTCCTCTATCAAACCACATCAACCACCTGCTGATTTAAGTAATTATGTTAATTACAGTTACATTAATGACTGTTGGCTGAATAGAGTTAAAGGTAGATTTTTAATAAATCACCATTTCCATGACAGCACCTACTTGTTCTTATTTTAAAAACTTTAACTGATTGGATGTTGGATCTTAATTAAGTACTCACTGGTTTCAATAGTTAATCTGGTTCCTGTTCCAAAGATGATCTTCTGGTTCCCAGTATTCACACTATATGAAGCCCCATAACATAAACCCAGTCTGAAGTTTGTGTGATCAGTAGAACCAGTCCTCAGGCAGAAAATCTGGATTTTTACATTTTGGATTTTAACTAGATTTCCTCTATCAAACCACATCAACCACCTGCTGATTTAAGTAATTGTGTTAATTACAGTTACATTGACTGTTGGCTGAGTTAAAGGTAGATTTTTAATAGATGACTGTGTTGATACATCTCCATGACAACACCTACTTGTTCAAATTTAAAAACTTTAACTGATTGGCAGTAGGATCTTAAGTACTCACTGGTTTCAATGGTTAATCTGGTTCCTGTTCCAAAGATGATTTTATATCCACCAAGATTCACACAACATGAAGCCCCATTACACAAACTCAAAAAAGGTCTCCACTGACCTAAACCTTTACTTCAAAGAAAAAAAAAAACAACCATTCTACTTTTTAACATTTGTCCAAGACACATTTGTCATTAAAAAAAAAAATGCTGAACTGATGATCAATTAATTTAACAACTCATATAATGTACTTAACTTGGTAACACTTGACGCCTCTCTCTTTAACGCATTTTAAATATATGTATAACGCATTATAATCACGTTATAGCTATTATAATGTGTTATAACAGTTAACAACTCACTGACAATGCCCACATAGATAATGCAATGCAACTACTGTTAACAGTTAAAACACATTATAATACCTGACCTTGTAAGTCATGATAAAATGCTTTAAAATGTGTTATGATTATTGCTATAAAGCATTATAACCATTTATGAGTGTTTATAACTATAGTTATACGGTGCTATAACGGGATTATAATGCATTATAAATATATTTATGATGCGTTATAGAGATAGGAGTCAAGTAAAGTGTTACCCTTAACTTCTATACTGACGCATTTCCCTTCTTGGCGTCTTAATTATGTGATTTTCTTTGGAATCTTTGGAAACTGCAGCATGAAAGAATTACCGACATTTGGAGCTGAACGCCTCAGTTACTGTTCTTGGTGTATGTCTCAGTTTAAGACTGGTTTCTAACAAAAAAGATAATATACTGTGTGACTTCTGTTCATAATTTAAACTTACTGTCTTCAACATGAAGTCTGGTTCCTCTTCCAAAGATAATCTTGTTTACACCAGAGCCGTAAGTCACACAGTCTGAAGCTTCACTACACAAACCTCACTGAGAAACTCAATATGCAGACGATACTCTGATTTACTCTTTTTGTTAAATATTGACTTTTAGCAGCAAAATATTATTTTAATGAGCTTCAAGAATCCGATGAACCTTTTTTGGTTTTGTAAGTCAAGTAAATCTCACTTTATTTAAAAAGATCTCTGCTCAAATTTGTCTATAAATTAAAATATTTGTTTTAAATATTTGGAGTTTGGATTGTTGCTATCATAATATCATAATTTTAAAGATATTCAGTCTTATTATAGGGGATTCAAGTCTTCTGATCACTCTTAAACCTCAGCCTGATCCTGTTGAAACAAGATCGACTTTCTAAAAAGCAGATTTCTTTGATATACCACGATAACTTTCGACTTTATATTTTAAAACCTCTGTTGACTATATTTTAAATCTATTTCGGTACTTACTGGTTTCAATGGTTAATATGGTCCCCTCTCCAAAGATGATCTTATTTACACCACCAGTCTTCACACAACATGAAGCTCCATTACATAAACTCAATGAGGCATAAACTTAACCTCCAATTTTAAAAAATATCTTAAATTTTCCAACTTTTGTAAATAAAACTCATATACATCTCTTTTTTTAACTCCTACGTTTCTTCATCCTTTAATTTCTTTTTGTATTTATGTGAATTTGAAATTTCTCTCTGTGGGACTAATAAAGTAATATCTTAACCAAACCTCACTGAAAATGATAACAATTTTACAATTTGATGTTCATGATAAATGTTTATCATTAATTGTTGTACTGTTCTTTTTTAGTACTTGTTCCTGGATGTGATAAATGGGTCTAAAAACATTAAAATGATAACATTTTAAGTCTTTGGATAATCCACAAGCTGCTGCATAATCCACAAGAAAAAAAATCCATGTATATTATTGACGTTAAGAACTTGAAGAAATTTGGTTCTTTTTGATATTTCCTTAATGCCTCATTTTGAGACTGGTTTTTAAAACGCTCTACAGCAATCAATCGATCTAAATAAGTGCAACCTCTGTTCAAAGTTTAATCCAAGTCCTTTTCAATGAGGATACTTTTGTTACTTCAAAAGGCAAAGAGAACCAAACTTCATTTTAAAAAACAGCATTTTTCTCTGAAATTACCAAATTATTAAACAAATGGTAAAAATGTACAGAATTTTCCAACTACACTCATTTTAAAGTATTTGCTGTCCAGCTGAGACACTGTTGTGACTGTTTGAGAAACACTGCTCTATCTGATATTCTGATCGATTCATGTTCAGTTAATTGATTTTGTTTGGTTTGATAGAGGCAATCATCCAGCCCTTTAAAAACCTGAAATACTTTAATACTGTAATCTGTGTCAGCACTTACTGGATTCAACATGTAATCTGGTTCCACTTCCAAAGTAGATCTTGTTCCAGCTCCCAGTATTCACACAGTATAAAGCTTCCTAGCACAAACTCAGTCTGGTGTTGATGTGACCAACAGAACCAAACCTCATCTAAAAAAGTAAGGATTTTGACAAACTGGACTTGGACAGGACTTCTTTCTAAACACAACAGTTATGCATTGATTTGAGTGTTTGTCTTTTATACTACATTAATATGATTTTAACTAAATTGTTGAGATACTGATGATTGTTTGGTTAATGAATAAAGTTTCTTAATTTCATATTTTCTCCAGAGAACTTAAATAACTGAACTTACTGTCAAATACATGAAGTCTGGTTCCTCTTCCGAAGATAATCTTGTAACTACCAGAGCCGTAAGTCACACAGTCTGAAGCGTCACTACACAAACCTCACTGAGAAAACGACACACTGATTTTTACAGCAAATATAATTTTATGTCCAAAGAGTCTGACGAATCCTTCACCCTGTTATTCTTTAACAAGTTTGGTTTGCTGGCAACTGCTTTTTGGAAAAATCTCATCTTAAGCTCAATGTAATTTTTAACATTTTCAAAAATGTTTTGACTGTTGCTTTATCAACTTTACAAATTATTGACTTGTGTTGTGATTTGGATTTATACTAACGGGATTTCTTTCAAATATTTCTCATCTGAATAAGTGTAAATTTATAGATAACTCTGAAGCTGCAACTTGATCCTGAGAAAATAAAAACTGAAGTTCTAAAAAGCAGATTTCTTTCATATAACACTATACTACTCTGTTCGCATTTTAAAACCTCATATTGATAGATTAGATATATTTTGGTACTCACTGGTTTCAACAGTAAGTCTGGTCCCTGTCCCAAAGATGATCTTATATCCACTTCCTCCAGTCACACTACGTTAAGTTCCATTACACAAACTCAGTGAGGAATAAACTTTACCAAACCTCACTGAAAAAAGTAACAATTTCACAATGTGATGTTTCTAACGTCAGTCTGGTCTTTTAACTATTTACAATTCTTGTTTTAAAAGATTCAAGTAAAAGACAATTTTCATGGATTATCTGATCTAACTTTATTTCTTAAGTAAACTAATCTGTGCTGTTTCTTCTCTCCAAAATCGTTCTTTGGTATGATTGAGGGAGCTATCATCGTAAAAAGAAGCACTCCAGGTTACCCAGAAACATGATGAAGACAAAAAAGTGTTTTTGTTTGTTTCTTTTCGATTATTGACAGTTAGGACTCAAAGCAGAAATCTACTTCTTTCCTTTGTGCGACAGTTTAAAACTGATCTCTCAGATGATCAATAACAGTTCAATTAACCATCTACTAAACCTGCAGTTTTAAATGTGAGACTATTACAGCTCATTAAAACTTGTCCATCCACAATAATGTTAATGTTTGTGATGTGACTGTTTTAGAGACAGTGCTGTTAAATATAGAGTTCTAACTGAATCATACTAAATCACTAAGACATTTGATTGGGATAAATATGGTGAAGACAATCATCCAGCCCTTTAAAAACCTGAAATCTTTACAATCTGTACTATAATCTGTGTGAGCACTTACTGGGTTCAACATGTAATCTGGTTCCACTTCCAAAATAAATCTTGTTCCAGTTCCCAGTAGTCACACAGTATAAAGCTTCCAAGCACAAACTCAGTCTGGTGTTGATGTGACCAACAAAACCAAACCTCATTTAAAAAAATAAGGATTTTGACAAACTGGACTTCTTTAGCTACACAACAGTTATGCTCTGATTCAAGTGTTTTTGTCCATTAACATAGTCTTAATTTTTACATAAACTATAGAAAAGCAGAATATTAACAATCACATGTCTGCACTACATCTGCCACTATTATAAAAAAATCTTACATTCTCTGATATTATAAAAACATAATAGATATAAACAATTTAGTGACAACAGTACAGCTGGGCTACTGACTCCAGCTGTTACAGATTTAATACTCATATTTAATGAGACAATGTTCCGGTGCCAAGTTGATCAACTCAGGTTAGTTCATTTAAGACAACCACTGAGCCTCTTTTACTTAAAAACCTTCGAATCTCTCCAGTTAATTACGCAGTGAAAGTACTTACTGGGTTCAATGGTTAATCTGGTTCCACTTCCAAAAAACATCTTATACTGGTTTGCACCTCCAGTCACACAACATGATGAACTATAACAAGAACCCTACGAATGGATTCTATGAACCAAACCTCATTTATAAAATACTCATTTTTATTCAAAATAAATCTCAATATGGAAGTTATCTTTGATGTTACTATGAACTTCTTATTCTGATTACTTTAAATTTTCATGGGTTTAGTTATTGTCACCAGCAGTTAGGTCATCGAGTTTAATTTCTTTAAATGATTGAATGTCTTTGCACATTTTTCTCTCAATTGTCTGAACTTGTGTTTGATTTATTTATTCTATTAATTTTTTATGCTCTTGTTTTTGATTGTAATGCAACAACAACACCAAAACTTATGTCTTGTATGTAAGTAAACATACCGTGCATTATGTTAAAAACCTCATTCTGATTTAAGAAAGACTCTAAATCAGAGCGTTTGAGAAATTTGAAGCACTGCAAAAATACAGCAACATTAGTATTTAAAAGCTCTGAATAAGTACTTACTGGTTTCAATGGTTAATCTGGTCCCACTCCCAAAGATCAGTTTGTTGTAACCAGAATTCACACAACATAAAACACCATAACAGAAACCCAGCAGCCTGACTAACCAAACTCCATTTACAAAAACAACATTTTTACATTTGGAGGTTTTGTCGAATTAAATCACACTTAATTATTTATCATCAGTTTTATTGATTTATTTTTAAATATTATTAGAAATAAGCGAGTCCTGGATAAATTCTAGCAGTCATTTATGTGTTAACGTGGTATGTTATTTGTCTTGTATTTTGGGAATGTAAAACTGAGTGTTGTAAGATTATTTTTAATTTTTGAGGACTGTTTTAGTCTAAAGCCGTAAATCAATCAGCTCGATTAGTTTCAGCAGCTGTTCACCCTTCAATCAATTCTGATCATTAACACTTTATTCTTGATTTTGTTAAGTGTGACTATTTTATTTTTTAATTTAATACCAACGATAGGAAGACAGCTTCATCATCTAAAATAGATTTTAGTACTCACTGGACTCTATTTTAAGTCTGGTTCCACTTCCAAAGATGAGTTTAGTTCTTCCTCCAGTATTCACACAACATGAAACATTACAACACAAACTCAGCCGACCAACACAGGTAACCAAACCAATTTAGAAAAATCTGAATTTAACAACCTTTGGCTGCATAAAGAAACAGCACATTAAAAACAAAAGCGCTTCCGGGTGTTGAATAGATAACAGCAGGGTTTAACTTTTTTACAAATCTTTGATATTTCAGGAAAACTGTAACTGCAAATTTTTAAGATCCCTTAATTTATCAGAAATATTATCATTCAACATTAAAACAGAATTTGGAGTCTGCATTGTTACTCACTCGGTTCGATGGTTAATCTGGTTCCTCTACCAAAGTACATTTTATATCCATCTCCAGTATTCACACAACATGAAACTCCACAACACAAACTCAACCAGCCAACACACTTCACCAAACTTCATTAAGAAAAATTGGATTTTAACAGCTGAGTCTTTAGTTAAGTGGAGGAATAATCATTTAAAACTAAAAGTGCTTTCAGATGTTGAATTTGGTGTAAATCTCCTGAACTGCAAACAAATCAAACATTTTCATATATCCTCTGTTTGACAAAAAAGTGTAACTTAAGTTTTTTTCTAAAACTAGTTGTTGATATTTATTATGTTAAATTATCCAAATTAGTTTGTGTTGATATACAGTTCGTATGACGACTTACTTGGTTCAATGATTAATCTAGTTCCTTCTCCGAAGATGATCTTGTTTGCATTAGTCACACAACATGACACCTCATTACACAAACTTAGTGAGGTCAACTGAACCAAACCTCATTTATAAAAATAGTATTTTTATGTTTTAGACCTCTGCTGGAATAATTACTTTGCACCTCTAACAAAAAGCAGCTGTTTAGATTTAGAAATACATATTTTAAGAAATAAGGTTAGCTTTTAGTAAAGTTTTAACGTTGAAAGGAGAGTAGAAAAACTGAAAACGTTTCTAACCCTTTATAAAAAACTTTATTTAAAAAATACTTCTGCTTCTATTTTATCTCAATTTCAGCTTTTTTATTGAGTCCAAGTTTTTTTCTGACAATTCTGCTTTTTTGGTCACACACTATTTTAATCTTTGATAGAATTAAAACGAACAAATAAGTTTTAATCAAAATCGTCCTGAAGAATTTCATGAATCATTTTTATCGATGCCAGCAGCTGTTAACTCGGGTTATTATAAATCTGTCAAATCAGTTACAGCAAGTTTGTTTTATGAGGTGTCCTTCATAAAGTATAAAAATATGTTTTACTACTTACGTGGTTCAACATTTAATCTGGTTCCTCTCCCAAATATGATTTTATCAGTGATAGACACACAACAGAAAGCTTCATAACACAAACTGAGGAGCTGCACTAAAACGTCATTAGAATATTTATTCATCTAATACTTTAAACTGGAGTAATCATTGAAAAAAATATGCACAGCTTATTATTGATAAATAGTTTTATGTTCGGTGAAATTGAAGATTTTCTTTAAATCATTTTTCCTATCGAACACAATTTGTTTGTTTTCTGTATCAGTAATAAAAACATGATTCTAGTAGAAAGACTCAAATTAAACTCTTTAGCCGATCTGCTGTTTCTCTGAAAAACAGCAACTTTTATTTTAGAAACATCTTTAATAAATATTATTTTAAAAACTACTCACTCGGTTCGATGGTTAATCTGGTTCCTTTACCAAAGTAGATTTTATATCCACCTCCAGTATTCACACAACATGAAACTCCACAACACAAACTCAGCCGACTGACTGAACCAAACTCCCTTTAGAAAAACAACATTTTGACTTTTTTTTTGTTGGATTTAATCACATTTTCTATCAAATCATTGATTTTCCAAACAGGATCATAAATAAAGAGTTAAAATTATACTTAAACGATGATTGTATGAAACAGTTTTCTGTCATGATGATTATAAAAAGCTCAAGAACTCAATCACCATGACGTACAGATTTATTTCTAAACTCTTACTTATTTAACGCCATTTTTTCTTATTGATCATTTTCTTTAATCAATTAACTGAGGATTTGTTGATTTCTGCAACTCATGAAATAACCGTTCTTTACAGTACAACTTAATTAAACCTTTTTAAATCTAATTTTATTGTAACTCACAGTAAGCTAGGTAATAATTTCGACAGTTTTAGTGTTTTTTTACTCTCCAGTTCATCTGGATCAGAACCAGCTGATCTTCTCCTTCTATTGTGTTTTACTTAAATGTATAAACAGCAGAGTTTAGACTGCAGTAACATCACTGAGATATTTACAGCACATATTTAGTACTCACTGGGCTCTATGGTTAATTTGGTTCCACTTCCAAAGATGATTTTAGTTCCTGCTCCAGCATTCACACAGTGTGAAACACCGTAACACAAACTCAACAAACACAAATCCATCCTTCGTTCATGATCATGTCATTTTTACTGTGTAATCTGAGGTGGTCAATTTAATGTAAATTTATTCAACAGTAAGGATCTTTTTTCCACCCAATCGGTCTTTGAAGTTCATTGAAAACAGAAACTTTTTCTTATTTTGGAGTCCTTCAGTTAATTTACGGTCGTATCACTAATAATAACTCGTTTACTTTAATTGGTTTTGTTTAAAATATGTATCATTACTTACTTGGTTCAATGATTAATCTGGTTCCTTTACCAAAGAAGGTCTTATATCCGTCATTCACACAACATTCAACTTCATTACAAAAACTCTGTGAGGTCAGCTCAACCAAACCTCATTTAGAAAACCATTATTTTTACATTTTAGACTTGTGCTTGAATAATTACACAACACAGACATTAATTAGCTTCACTTCTGATCTCAAATTAACATTTAAATCAACAGGAATCAACTCTTAGTTCACTTTTTAGATTGGCTGATTGTGTTACTTTAATGTCTCGCGTTTCTGATTTTTGTATTTGATTTTATTTTGCATTTATCATTACGACCAAAAACCTCAAAGCTTATTCCTTATAGGTGTAGAGCTTGATGACAATAAAATCCTGATTCTGATCCTGGCTGTTGAAAATGTCATGTATTGCTGGGAAATGCCTTTTGTAAATGACTGATTTAATCTCTACTTACTGGGTTCAATAGTTAATCTCGTTCCAAGTCCAAAGATGATTTTTCCTATCCCTCCAGTATTCACACAACACGATTCACCATAACAAAAACTCAGCGGACTGAACCAAACCTCCCTAAGAAAATCATCAATTTTATAATTTAAATCTCAGGTTGAATGGAAAAATAATACTTTTTCAAATTTAATGAGTTTGCTCATTAAACTCATCGAATGCACTTTTTGGTTTGGCTGATATTTGGATTTATTTTTAGTTTGAAATGGATTAAAAGTAAAACCTGATTTAAATTACCCACAGACATTTATGAGAGGTAGAGGAAGCCCAATATCAACAATGATAATCTTTATCAACACTTACTGGGTTCGATGGTTAATCTGGTTCCTCTCCCAAATAGGACTCTTCCAACACCAACATTCACACAACATGAAGCACCAGAACACAAACTCAGCAGATTCACACAACTAACCAAACCTCATTTTAACAACATTTTAGCATCTAAGGGCTTTTTCCAATTAAAACTGAACATTATTAACGGGTGATATGGGAATGTTAGTCATTTCATATCTTAAAAATAGTATTTTAGGGGGTTTGTGATTGTGTTCATGGATGTGTTAGTATAATGGACTAAATGAGCAGGAACATTTCAGCTCATAAAGATTTCATGTGTTTTTAAAATGATTTCACTAAATATATTTTTTACTGTATCAAGTTTTTGTCTGGACGATGTAAGCCTGATTCTAACTGAAGATTTAAATGTTTGAAACATTTGATACTTTCCTGCAAAACAATAAAATTAACATTAAAAGGCCCCCGAGGACATTAGTTTAATAACTACTCACTGGGTTCAATGGTTAATCTGGTTCCACCTCCAAAGACGAGTTTAGCTGCACCTCCAGTATTCACACAATGTGAGACACCATTACTATAACTCAACCAAACTTTGCTTTCACAGATCGGATTTTAACTTAACATTTGTTGAATAGAGAAGAAATATATTTTTTTAATACAGGAAGTGCAGTTGGTTGTGAATTATGTGTAAATTTACAGAACTGTGAGGACACTGAACTTTCTGATGTGTCTTTTGGATCTGTGGAAAACTAACGTTTGAACATTCTTTAAATTAAAGTTGTATTAATAATACTGACTTATTTACACGAGTTTAATGAGTTTATTTTAGATTATCACTTACTTGATTCAATATGTAATCTGGTTCCTTCTCCAAAGATGATCTTATATCCAGCATTCACACAACATTAAACCTCATGACACAAACTGAGTGAAGTCTAACTGAGCCAAAGAAGGATTTTTACATTTCAGATTTCAGCTGGAATATTAACTTTACAAACTATTAGCCTTATTTCAATTTAAACATGACATATTTATAAATAACAGAGAACTTTAAGTTAAGCAGAGATATGAAAAAGAGTGAATCTTTCTCTCACTGTTAATTCCATGTGGATAAACCGTCAGATCAACAAGTTTCTCACTGCACAAAGTTTTCAATAAAGTCAGATTTTTAAAAACAAGAATAAAAATCATCCATCTTACTGTCTTCAACATGAAGTCTGGTTCCTCTTCCAAAGATAATCTTGTTTCCACCACCGTAAGTCACACAGTCTGAAGCTTCACGACACAAACCTCACTGAGAAAACTCAACATGCAGACGATTCACTGATTTACTTTGGAGACTTTTTTCATTCCTTTCTGTTTTACAGGCCTGAATAAACATTTCCATCACTTTCAGCAGCTCTCATTGATAAAACATGTTTAAACTGATCAGGCAGAGGAAGAGACCGACTGGACTGAACCACCATCAGAGAACCAGAACCAAAGCAGAATCTTTGACCTTTACTCACAGTCAGACAACAAGAGTGTTCTGAACAAATACACCTCTGACTAACTACAGTCAGAAAATCTACAGTTTACCCATCCAGACACATTCAGACACGCTTAAAATGACCAAGAGTCTGAGTTAGGGTGAGAGATTAACATTCACAAGGCAACAGGAGAGGAAAACCTCATGTGAACAAAAGCAGATTACAAATCTTTGGACCGGTTGGTCTGAACTGGACTGAAAAATATACTCAGTTAAAATAGTCCAGGAAGACCTGTGAGTTCAAATGTTCCCTCTCATGATTTAAAACAACTTTAAAATACTTTCAAACACTTTCAAAAGACAACAAAGTCAAACAAGTAACTGAAACTCAACATTTTAAAAAGGTACAAATCTCTAAAGGACATGAACTAGCCTGCAGCATTTACTCCTCCAGAGATCAATCCAGATCGATATTATTCTTCCATATCCAAATCAGTACTTACTGGCTTCGATTGTTAATCTGGTTCCGCTCCCAAAGATAAACTTCCCAAAACCAGTATTCACACAACACGAAGCACCATAACACAAACTCTGCAGATTGACACTCTGAACCAAACTTCACTAAGAAAAACAGCATTTTAACAACAGGGACTTCTTCTCCTATTAGGTCAATAACGTTATTGAATAAATGATTAAATTTCACAGTTACTTTTTTTAATTAATGTTTGAACCTCCATGGTATATCAACTTGATCCTGATTCATCAGAAACATGTCTCAGTAACTTTTTATATTTTTACAAAACAGTGACGTTTATATGGAAAGACATATCACTTAAATAAAAAAGACCAATAACTACTCACTGGTTTCAATGGTTAATCTGGTTCCGCTCCCAAAGATTAACTTCCAACCAGTATTCACACAACACGAAGCGCTATAACACAAACTCTACAGACTGACACTCTGAACCAAACATCACTCAGAAAAACAGCATTTTAACAAACAGTTACCTTTTTTTGTACAAAACAGTGACGTTTATATTGAAAGACACATCAGGTAAATAAAAATACCAACAACTACTCACTGGTTTCAACGGTTAATCTGGTTCCGCTTCCAAAGATCATTTTACCGTAGCCCCCACTATTCACACAACATTAAACACTATAACACAAACCCAGCAGACTCACTACTTAGAAAAACAGCATGTGGACATCCAGAACTTTTGGCCATTAGAATAAACTTTTACATCAAATTAATGATTTTCAACATATTTTTACTACTTTAATATCAATATTTTTTAACAACTGCTCAAAAACTGACAGTGCCTAACTGTTGTACAATATGATAGGTAATAAAAAACCTGGGTTATTATGATATGTAGACAGTTTTTTATAGTTCATTTTTATTTCAATAGCGTTATTTTGTTTTGTTTTTTTTTTTGTCGTTTTGTGTTTTTGAATTTCTTTGAATAAACTTTCATTACTCAACTAAAAATGCTTGTTTATTGATTCCTGATAATGACATAATTATTTTGATATATCCTTCCACTGTCCTCCACAGACAGACTGAACCAAACCCCACTTCAATAAACTACATTTTTGGCTCTTATGTTGGGTTTAATCAAGGTTTTCATTGAATAAAATCTTTTTAAAGAAAAGGATGTTGGTAAATTAATCAAACTTTGATCTGAAGTGTATTTTTTTCATTTGGACTCTTAAATCCCAAGAGTCTGACTGGGATCTCTGATCAAATCACTGTTTTGTTCTGAGTTATCTCTTATTATTAATACTTGAGCTAAAAGTGTGAATTGAACATAAACATCAGAACTTACTGGGTTCAATGGTTAGTCTCGTCCCACTACCAAAGATGATCTTTGTTCCAGCATACACACAGTGTCAAACACTATAACACAAACTCTGCAGACTGACGCATACACTTCTTTTCCTATTCGATCAATAATGTTATTGGAACAATGATTAAATTTCACAGTTTCCTTTTTTTTAATTAATGTTTGAAACTCCATGGTATTATAACTCGATCCTGATTCATCAGAAACACGTCTCAGTAAATTTTTATATTTTTACAAAACATTGACGTTTATATTGAAAAACACATCCGGTAAATAAAAATACCAATAACTACTCACTGGTTTCAATGGTTAATCTGGTTCCACTTCCAAAGATCATTTTACCGTAGTTTCCACTCTTCACACATCGTTAAACACCATAACACAAACCCTGCAGACTGACACTCTGAACCAAACTTCACTAAGAAAAACAGCATTTTAACAACAGGGACTTCTTCTCCTATTCGATCAATAAAGTTATTGAAAAAGTGTTTGAGTTTTACAGTTACTTCTTTTTAAATTAATGTTTGAACCTCCATGGTATTATAACTTGATCCTGATTCATCAGAAACACGTCTCGGTAAATTTTTATATTTTTACAAAACAGTGACCTTTATATTGTTCAATAAAAATACCAACAACTACTCACTGGTTTCAATGGTTAATCTGGTTCCACTTCCAAAGATTATTTTACTGTAGCCTCCATCATTCACACATTGTTAAACACCATAACACAAACTCTGCAGACTAAGTATTTAGAAAAACAACATGTTGACATCCAGAACTTTTAACTATTAGAATAAACTTTTACATCAAATTAATGATTTTCAACATATTTTTACTGCTTTGATATCAGTAAAATTTAACAACTACTTAACAAACTTTAACTGTTGTACGAAAATATAGGTAATAATAAACTAAGTGCTGGATTATCATGATATATAAATACAGTTTTTTATAATTCATTTTTATTTAGATGCTGTTGTTTTGTTTGCGTTTCTTTTAGTTCTTTTTCATTATTCAACTAAAAATGCTTTTTTTTTAAATTCCTGTTACTTAATATTATTTTAATATATCCCTCCAACAAATTTGAAGGTTATTTTTAACAAGCGTTGACTGTGTGACTCTAAAGAAGTACATTAGTCATGTTTCATATCAGTTTTAGCAGCTGTTCAGTTCATGGGCCGGGCTGAGGTCCAGTGGTTTTGTTCCAGTGCTGTTCTGGTTTGTCTGAGTTCATACCCAGTAAAGACTGACTTCATGTCGTTCTGGGAGATTTATAAAATATTTAGCACTTACTGGACTCGATTTTTAGTCTGGTTCCACTTCCAAAGAGGAGTTTAGTTCCACCACCAGTATTCACACAACATGAAACACCACAACACAAACTCAACCAACTAACACACAGAACCAAAATATCGTTGACAAAAATACGAGGAAATATTTGAATATTTGGAGATTAAGGAAAACCACAAAAACAATGGGGGCCTTTTGGGTGGGGGTTTAATATGACTTTTTTTTTTTACATTTTCTTGCTCCAGATATCTTCTGGAAAAGTCTAACATCAGATTTTTAAGAACCAACACGAGAAAACTTAAGTTGGTAAATAATATTCTGGATTATTACTCACTCGGTTCGATGGTTAATCTGGTTCCTTTGCCAAAGTAGATATTTCTAGCCCCAGTATTCACACAACATGACGCACCATAACACAAACTATGCAGACTGACACATCAAACCAAACCTTATTTAGAGGAACGATTTTCATGCAGAGAACTTTTGAAGAATTAACAGTGTGTTCAAAACATCCAACCGCTGTTAAAATCATAATATTTTCATGTTAAAAAGACAACTTCAGTTTTAACTTTAGACGACTGTAGAGCAGGAATACTGCAAGAGGACCTTTTGTCTCCGAGTATAAAATACAAACTGAATAAACCATCAGATCAACACGTTTCTCACTGCCCAAAAAGTTTCCTATGAAGTCAGATTTTTAAAAACAAGAATAAAAATCATCCATCTTACTGTCTTCAACATGAAGTCTGGTTCCTCTTCCAAAGATAATCTTCTCGTAAGTCACACAGTCTGAAGCTTCACGACACAAACCTCACTGAGAAACTCAATATGCAGACGATTCACTGATTTACTTTAGAGATTTTTTTTTTAGTCCTTTCTGTTTTACAGACCTGAATAAACATTTCCATCACTTTCAGCAGCTTTCATTGATAAAACATGTTTAACTGAACAGGCAGAGGAGGAGACCGACTGGACTGGACCACCAACAGAGAACCAGAACCAAAGCAGAAACTTTGACGTTGTTCCTGATCAGCTAAATCAACACAAACTTCAAAACTCTGATTAAAACTTAAAACCAGGTTCAAAAACTCCTGACAGTTCTGTGAGGTAAAACATTCCCTCTCCTGTTAAAAGTGATTTAAAATATTTTAACTTCTGTAAGACGACAAATGTTCAACAGATGCTGAAGGTAAACATTTTAAATACGACACAACAAAAACTTGAGATAGATCAATAAAGTTTATAATTCCCACCAGTACTTACTGGGTTCAATGGTTAATCTGGTTCCACTTCCAAAGGTGAATTTATTTGTGTTGGTATTCACACAACATGACGCACCATAACTTAAACTCCGCAGAACCTGACATACTGAACCTCATTAGAAAAAACAGCATTTTAACAGCTGGGACTTATTTTCTAATAACTGTCATTTAATCAGTGATTATTTTTTACTGTTATATACTTATTTTTATTTAATATGTGAACCTACATGTCATTCAGACCTGATCACGACTCAGTATAGAAACCTAAAGAAGCATTTCAGCAAATTTTACGAGTATCTGCATTATAACAACATTCAGATGAAAGGAAACCTATGGTAAATAAATAAAAGTGTCAGTAACTACTTACTGGGTTCAACGGTTAATCTGGTTCCACCTCCAAAGAAGAGTTTATTTAGACCTCCAGCATTCACACAATGTCAAACCCCAGAACACAAACTCCACAGACAGACTGAACCAAACCCCACTTAAAAAAAACTACATTTTTGGCTCTTATGTTGGGTTTAATCAAGGTTTTCATTGGATTAAATGTTTTTAAAGAAAAGGACGTTGTTAAATTAATCAAACTTTGATCTTAACTGTTTTTTCATTCGGACTCTTAAATCTGTAAAGTCTGACTGGGATCTCTGATCCAATCACCGTTTTGTTCTGAGTTATCTCTTATTATCAATACTTGAGCTAAAAGTGTGAATTGACCATAAATATCAGAACTTACTGGTTTCAATGGTTAGTCTGGTCCCACCACCAAAGATGATCTTTGTTCCAGCATACACACAGTGTCAAACACTATAACACAAACTCTGCAGACTGACACTCTGAACCAAACCTCATTTAGAAAAATGAGATTTTAAGACGTGAAACTATAACTTATATAATCACATCAGTTTGAAACAATAAGTTATTTGGTAGAATTTTTTTAGTGCTGAGGAGATCCTGATATGATTTAATTCTGTCTGAAAAACTAAAGTTTAATGTTTGTCTGTCTGAAGTATAATATATATTTTTTTTAAATAACATCTTAAAACCTGATAAGATTGCTTTTGTTATTTGTGTCATCAAACTCTTTTAATTGTGTTTTACAGACTATTTATATAGATGATAATCTTATTAAATATCATCACTTAAATATTAATTTACTGGGTAGTTGGCTTTTTTTTTTTTCCAGGTATCTTCTGGAAATGTCTAACATCAGATTTTTAAGAACCAACATACGATACCTTTAGTTAATAAATAATAAATCCAGATTATTACTCACTCAGTTCGATGGTTAATCTGGTCCCTCTGCCAAAGTAGATTTTATTTGCAGCCCCAGTATTCACACAACACGACGCACCATAACACAAACTAGACAGACTGACACTCTGAACCAAACCTTATTGAGAGGAACGATTTTAAGTATCATGACTTTCAAGGTTTGATGGTTGTTCATTTTTTTTATGAACCATTTCTGAAAACCTTTAAGCTCTAAAATTAGATCAGTTATTTTACAGTTTTATCAGCTTTTTAATAAGACTTAAAGTAAAAGTTTGAGAAGTAAAAGCTGAAGTAAGTTAATATGTTTAATATTTAAATCATGTCACAGAAATGTTTAAAGGCTGTATTTTTATTATTCTTTATTCAAACTCTCTCTTCTCTTTTTAACGCCTGAAACTTCACAGGATTATCAGATCCAATTTTACTCCGTCTAACTTTACTTTCAGGGTTTTCTTGCTTCATATTCTGCTTCAGACTAAGTGTCTCTGACTTTAATATTTTACAGTGTAATAATTATAAAAGATTTTAACTAAAATATTCTTAAAAATGCCTCTTACTGTACTCGATGGTCAGTCTGGTTCCTGATCCAAACAAGAGTTTTTCGAAGCCTCCAGTTTTCACACCGTGTGGAGTCTCAGTACAAAAACCTCAGACCGATCAGAGTTCAGCTGAAACTCTTTAAAAGGTGATTATAAAGTGAAAAAATCTACTAAAAAGATTTGAGATAATTATAAATCTGCTCAAGTTAAAATTTCTTAACTTTAAGAAGATTAAAAAAAGGTGCAAAAAGTGAGAAAAATACATCTCAGCATCCAAACGGAAACCTGCAGCTAAATTCAAGAAACTTTTGAAAGTTTCTCAGGGGTGGAAAGTTTTTGATTTATTTGAAGTCATATCTATTTTCTAACCAGAGTCGAGGATCCGCTGAGTCCCTTTATGATCAGTAATCCTTTTTGTTTCTGTCCGGACAGATTAACACTCAGAGGAACTTTAACTTTGATTTTCTGCTGAAATTTCTCCAAATCGTTTATTTTTACTGCTAACATCGTCTTTAGAGTTCGACTACTTTAGACTTTCAGAGCTTAATTATCATCAGAAATAATCCAAATAACTGACGGATTTTGCTGTTGAAGATCATGAATTTATCCAACATTTCAGATCTTGATGGTAAAGTTGATTTGATCTTACCGGAGTCGACCATCAGCCGAGTTCCTCTCCCAAAAACGATTTTATCAGTGCCGACATTCACACTGTGACTGACAGCTGACAGAAAACCTCAAACAGACTCAAAGCAGATCCTCATATTCTTCTTTATAGTTTCATTTCTACGTTGGTCGTTTGATTTCATTATCCCAATTCTCATAATTCTCATAATTCTGCTTCTTTTATCAGAATTTAGTTTTTATTCAAAGGAACATTTCTGTAAAGTTTCAGAGCTGAAGTGACTCTGAATTATTACCTCGGTGAGGCTGATTGAAGTTAAAAAAAGAGATTTAATGTGAATTATTTGCCGTTAAACTCACTTTTCTGGACGTTCAGTCTGCAGCCTGATCCAAACAGCAGTTTACCCACAGTCCCAGTGTTCACACCGTCACAGACAGCGTGACAAAAACCACATACAGAGTCAGCGACTAAAAAACGATTCTTTAAAATCAGAGTCGCTTAAATCATCCTGAACAGTCAGAGTCTTTAAAGGTCACTCAAATATCAGGATATATTTGCAAACATTAAAATCTCATTTTTTAACCGATCTGAGGATGGATTCATTCCCCTGGATTTTAACAATAACAGTTTTTTTTTAAGGTTTTTAAATGTCTGTAATATTTTAAATGACAGTTTTGTTCTTTGCTGATTCAAAAGGTTTTAACTGTCAGAGTTCTGATGATTTTTATTTTATTTTTTTATCTTTTTACATCCCATTAAACTCTTCTACAATATTTTAACTTTTTAAAATTCAACGTCCAACTCTGAAATATCTTTTAAAAAGCTTTTCTCTCTTAAACTGAAGGAACAAACCCGCAGACTTAAAACTTCTCAGTGATTTTAACCTTAAAACTCTTTCAGTGAAAACGTTTTAATATGTTCACCGACCTGTGGACACCGTGAGCTTCGTACCGTCACCAAAGATCAGCTTATTTCCAGATCCATACACACCGACACACACACTCATACATAAACCTCACACACTCTCAGACACACTTCTAACACACTTATTTACATCTACTTCAATTTTAGACTCAGTACAGAAGCCCACATCTGCCAAAAAGCTAAATTATCAGCTGTAATGAATCAACTGTTTTTAGTCGTGTTTAGAGGAAAACGAAGATTTTTAGGATCAGTGAAACTTTTAAAGTTAAATCTTTAAAAAAATGTAAAATTGACTTAAAAGTTAAAAGATTTCACATGTTGTGGTTTCGTGTCATAAAAAAAAAACTCACTCTGTAATTCCTCAGTCTGAACTTTGTGTGTCTTCAGAAGTTGTTTTCAGTCAGCGTCCCTCTCTCTTGATTTCTGCACATATTTGTTTTAGTTTTTCTTAATCGGTTTTAATTTTCCACATTTTTACGTCTTCTTAAGGACGTCATGAACCACGTTTCTATTCAGCAAAGCTCCTCACAATCCTGACAGTCTTGAGTTTGTTCTTTAAATTCACATTTTCAAACTTGCGACATTAAAATAAACTCAGACAGATTATAAAGTTCATTTTCAGTCTCACCGGGTTGAACCGTCAGTTTGGTCCCAGAGCCAAAGTAAAGTCGGTCTGCTGAACCTCGATTCACACAGTCAAACACGCTGTGATAAAAACCCTCACACTCTCACTGATCTTTATGAAATCTTTGAAAAGTTATTTTTCCGTTCAGATTCTCCTCATTATTATTTTTATTTACTTTTGTGTCGTTTTAATCTAATCTGCATTGTCTCATTTCAGATTAGTGATTTTTGTCAAATATTTCTGTTCACAGTTTTATGTTTTACTCTCCTGTCTGTCATCTGTCAATCATTCTGTTCATTTATCTCTCCTAATGTTAAAATCTAATATCAGAGTTTTCACTTCTCACCTGTTTGAACCGTCAGTTTGGTCCCGGAGCCAAAGTCAAGTTTGTATCCCTGATTATTCACACAGTCAAACACGCTCTGACAATAACTGTCCTGTCGCCTTTCTCAGACTTTCTTTGCTCATTTATCCAAAAAATACGACTTTGATCAAGTTTGACTTTATCCTTTTACTTTGACTTTATTATTCGACTTTGATTGTTGTTTTATTTGATGTTAAATCTACAGACTGAATGTGTTTCTGCCCTTTTTTAATAAGATTCAGGTAAAACTGTTTAGAATTAACTCAGTAAACGTCTTAAGTCTGTTTTCTTGGAAATATAACATTTTAAATCTCACCTGTTTGAACCGTCAGTTTGGTCCCGGAGCCAAAGTAAAGTTTGTATCCCTGACTGTTCACACAGTCAAACACACTCTGACAATAACTGCTGCCTCTGTGAGTCTGAATATTTCAGTTTCACTAAATAATAAACTCAATATTTCACCTTTTTATTTTAAAGCTCCTCTCCATCTTTGTGCCTGTTACTCTTTAATTTGACTTTGTTTGTTTTTTCTTTATATCACAATGAAACTGAACAGAGCAGATAAAGACTTTTTACTCGTTTTAAAGTGTTTATCTAAAATCTTACCGGGTTGAACGGTCAGTTTGGTTCCTCTGCTGAAGTAAACTTTAAATCCTCCCTGATCCTTCACACTGTAAAACTCACTGTGACAAAAACTGCTGCACTGTTAGAATAACTACTGTTATCTTTTAAACCGATTTAACTCGACATAAACACTTTTTATTGAACGGTTTATTTATGCAGATGATTGACAGTTTCTCTGCCTCTAAACTTCAGGTTGGTTTTTAAAATAGTGACTCAGTTTCAAACTAAGAAGATGTTTTTTAATGTTAGCAGTCTGAACTCAGCTTTAAAAAGATCCAGTAAACTCTTTTAAAAGTTAAACAGACTCAGTTAAAAATGTTCACTCATTAAAACTTCAGCACTTACCTCTCTCTACGGTCAGTTTGGTTCCTCTGCTGAAATAAAGTCTCTGATCGTTCACACTGTAAAACACGCTGTGACCAAAACTGTTGCTGCTGAGCGTCTCAGTGAGTCTTTGTGAATTAAAAAAAACAGTCTGAGCCTTTTTTAAAATTGAAGATAATTTACCACGTATTCAGCAGCAGATTTTAAAAAAGGACTTAAGTCTGTTTTAGTTTTTTTAAATGTCGTTATTCAGACTGTTTGGTTTTTATTTAAGGTCTGGACCCTGAATGAGTTTACCGAACATTCAGCTGAAACCAGCCGAAGATTTTAAGGTTTTATTTTTTTAACTCATTTTAACTCCTAAAATAATTCTTAATCTCTCATAAACTGCCGTCTGAACTGTTGACTGTGTTCATCTTTTATAAGTTTTCTTTTATATTTATTATATTTATTAGCACATAAATGTTTCCTTTTTCACTTTTCCTCCTTTGTCACAGTCTTTCCTGGTTAAAATGACTCTTAATTGAGTATTTAAAATGGTGAGATTTATTTGATTTCTGTGACAGAGTTGTTGTTTCATCGTTAGATTGATCAAATATCCTTACAAAAAGTCTAATTAAGGTGAATTAACAAAAACAATGTTGTTAAAATCCTGTAAAATCATTAAAATCACTGATCTTACCGGTCTGAACCGTCAGTTTGGTTCCTCTGCTGAAATAAAGTTTGTTTCCACCCTGATTATTCACACTGTAAAACACGCTGTGACTAAAACTGCTGCCCGTTTCATCAGCTCGGTTTTATCAGCACCATAATGCTAAAAGATCATTTTAATGCAAGATATTTTTTCAGCTTGAGAAACTTAAATCAAAAATCAAAGTTCAAAATTAATTTTTCCTTTATATTTTTATTCACTCAGTTTTTCTTTGTCTCTTAAATTTAACTCTTATTTCCTTTAAATTAAACCATACTTGTTTAATTTTCACAAATTAAACTTTTTAACTTATTTTGTTAAATTTTATTTTGTTTATTTTTGTGATTTAATTTTTCCTGCTCTTTATTTCTGTAAAAATATTCAATACCATTTTCAAAATAAAAAAAAATTCAAAAAAAAAAAAATCAAAATTTTTCTAATATTTATTTATTCTTTTCTTTTTCATTTTTTTAGTTTTTTTGTCAATTTTTTTGTCATTTGCTTTTTTTTCTGCTCTTTTTTTCAATAAAAATATTCTTAAGTCCATTTTCATTAAGATTCTAAATTTTTCGCTTTTTTTATTTTTGAGGGTTTTTTTGTTAATATCTTTTTTAGAATTCCCTTTTTTACAAAAAACTTTTCGGTGTTCGTCATTTTTTCATTTTATTTTCAGGATTTTTTTTCTAATTATTCATTTTCAAACGTGTGTCGTAAACGTTAATGAAACTGACCTTTGACCTCTCAGAGTCCATCTTGTCCACTTCAGGCTTGAATGTTCGGTCCTGGGATCCAGTCCTGATTTATAAAGATTTCCTTTGGCGCTGCTTTTGTAAAGAAAATTTCCCAGAATCCTTTTCTGTCGGTGATCCTTTTTAAGTAAAGCGGTCCTTCGTCAAACCTGACCAATCAGAGTTCAGAGTTTAGATTTCAGAAAAACTGACGTCAGATCGACAAAGTCAGCGGTGAGGGGTCATGTGACAGAGGTCAGGCTGGGTAAAGTCGTACCTGTCGGTGAGTTTATATCCAGGTGGATCTTTTCTGATCAGGTTCTTCTTCAGAAACTCTGTCAGTGAAATAAACAAAAACTCTTTTATAGTTTCAAACAGGAAGAACGAGCAGCAAAAATCACCTGTGACCTAAAAACACACAAAAAAACTACACTGGGTGTGTGTGTGTGTGTGTGTGTGTGTGTGTGTGTGTGTGTGTGTGTGTGCGTGCGTGTGTGTGTGTGTGTGTGTGTGTGCGTGTGTGTGTGCGTGTGTGTGTGTGTGTGTGTGTGTGTGCACCTGTTTAGACTCTGGTCCTCACTGAGACAAAGAACTGTAAGATGTTCATCATAGATACTCTGTACGGTGGCAGTTTCAGGACACTTGTTTTCTTTTTTATTGACATATTGATATCAATACTCCATCAACATTTCAGGACATTTACTTTGTCAAAGTTCTGAATTCACTGTGACCACAGCTTCATTGTGAAGTGACCCTCATGCACACAAATATCTCTCCACGCCTGTTTGTGTTGAACAATGGTGACGTTTGTCTCACATTGATGACGTAAAGGTCGGATGAACTTGACCTGAGCGTCCACACTGCAGTCACATCAGATACATATCTGATTTATATCCACATACAGAAGAGGGTCGGATCAGAACCAATCAGAACTGACCTGTTCACACTTAGATGAAAAAATCAGATATGAGTCACAGATGGTTAAAACATCAGAATGACCTGCAGTCTGAACGTAGACTTAGTCACTAGATTTAGCGACTCTTCAGACCCCCGAGCATCTTATTTTCAAAAAAGGACCTAGCAACAAATCGACTTTTTCTGGAGTTTAGAGACTCCGACATAAACGCAGGTATAGATGTTACTCTTCTCAGACACACTGCGGAAGACTCCTCCTCCTCCTCCCGGGGGTGGGGGGGTCGGCGACGACAGAGGGGTTGACTGAGAAATTATGCAAATTAGGTGATGACATCATCTAGAAACTTTTACGACAGCGACCTGCATCTTTCCTTACTGAGGAGTTAATAAGACTGCATACTCCGACCACGCCGGTTACATGGTTGAAAAAAATCGAATTCCAATCACATTATCTGTCTGACTAAAATCGGAATTCTCCGACTCCGATTTTAGTCAGACTAAGGTGTTTACATGCACTTCAGTGGTCCGGTCTGAATCGGAATAAGGCGATAATTCGGTTTTCTGGAGTGTCATGGAAACAGACGGTAAACAGACTTGTTAGATTTCCACCTCTGAGTAAACTCTCAGTGAAACTCACCAGCTACAGTGAAACTGAGACCCCCCACAAACACATCAGGCAGGATTTAACAGCAGAAGAAGAGA